TCCGACCTCCCGAACAGGCGCCTCGTAGTACGTGTTCATATCTGTAGTCTTTATTCTCGCACCGCTTTCTTGCGTAGTTGATTCATCGTTGGCTTTTTTGTACATGCTTGCTTGCTTGTTCATTCTCTGTACAACAGTTTTCTTTACTACGGGGAAAGAGATGGGTCTGTTCAAATGCCATAATTTATTCCTCGCCTCATGCTAACTTCGCGTATTTTATTTCCACAGCTTGCCACGCGGGAAAAAGACCTTCGACTGCCACTTCCTTATTGTGCTACAATGCCGACCTACAGCTGCGACTACGGACCAGATGAGGACACGGCAGCAGTTTAGGAAAATTCCTGTTTCGGTCGCCGAAGCCTTGCGCCACTATGCCAAGGCTCAAACAGTACGTATAATGGATGACATTGATAACACCAATAGGCAGCCGCTAATATTAAACATTCGTATTTTTGGTAGGGTACTCGCCCTGCAGCCTGCTGGATGGCAATATGAACGCGCCATACCGCACGATTCTAAACACTGTGCCTAATACCACGGTGAATCCGGGCCAACGACACCGCCCCCGCTGCAGAGTGAAGTAATGGCACTGACTCAGACACACCTCTCTCCGGGTATAAATTACGATGAGGCCTTCTTGTAGGACGGTATCGATAGTGCCCTCTCCCTCGCCTTCACCCTCGCAGCCACCGTCCGCCTATGTCAATTCTCCCGCTTGGAGTCTGCTTCGTCGGACTTGTAGTGCAGGCGGCGGCACAAGATGTCCCGCAACTCGACCCTTTCGCCGACCCCAACCACGATTCTCGAAACCTCCTCAGATACATCGCCTCGAACGGTTTGACGGCTGTTGGCTTTTGTGAGTCGTCAACTCTCCTGTCAGGACAATTCATTAACCGATGGATTTCACTTAAGCCGGCATGCTTGTGGTAGCAGTGCTGCAGACATGGTGCATGAAGCGATGGGGTGCGAGATGGATCGCTGCAATGCCCATCGCTGCGTATTGTACGTGTGCCTCTCCTTTGGTGAAGACAGGCGATCGACGTTCATCCTGGAAAATTAACAGTCTTCGCACTCGGTCTTTCCTTCCGCTTGGGTTGGCGCTGCACCCCCACTCCAGGCCACTCTATATCGCCATGTATCTTTCTGTGATCCTTTCGGTAAGATGTCTAGCATCTAATTCTGAAAATTCTCTTCTGACTATGGGAATCATGCGCCAGCCCTGTGGCTTCATTGCGGCAGACTACGTGCTCCTTGGAAAACTTGCAGACACTTAAATGCAGAACATCATTTGTTGCTTTCTGCCCGGAAGCTTACGATCGTGTTCGTGTCGTCCGACATTGCGACGTTCCTCATTCAGGTCGGTGGAGGCGGTATAATAGCGTCAGCGGACTCAGACAAGAGGAAGGATTTGGGAACAAGCTTTCAGGCTGGAAATAAAATAAACATTGAATCTAACGTCTTCCAGGTCTTCCTCGCAGGTCTAGTCGCCTCGTTTCTCTTATTCACGGCGATCTTCCTCCGCTTTCTCTATCGCGTTTGGAAGTACGAGCCCAAGATATGGGCGTGCGATGGACACAAAGTGTTGGGGAAAAGGTGGACGACCCTTGCGCTCGTCTTGGCGGTCAGTTGCGTCGGAATTTTGGTGAGTAAAATTTGTTCCTTGTTCCTTACGCACAAGCTCATTTGGACAAACTTCACCCTGAAGGTCCGTTCAGTGTTCAGAACCGTCGAGATGTCCCAAGGTTTCCATGGGCCGTTAACGGCCACAGAATTTTGGTTTTACGCTCTTTGGAAAGATGATTCGTAATGGAGATAATACGTAATTCTTTATTGGATGATTCGGTTAGCCGCGGCCGACGGAAGACTTCGCGACAATGCAACTTTCGCGTCAGTAGGCGCGCATCGAATCTTGGAGCGGCAGCCTACTAGCAGAACGAAGGCAATATTTGCTGATATGGTGGAGGATCGGTACATAATTCTTTTCTCACCTGAAGCGTTGGCGTGACCGGGAGTTAGCAGTCTTCAGATCAGCGCAGGCTTCTTGAGGACAAGGGGACGAAAGATGACCTCGCTGCTTCATGTTCCGGCACCGTTCTAATTTCCAAATAAGCACCGTCCGGAGTAACCAATATTTAGGGCCAATTCCAGGCAGTTTCCAGAGTCGAGATAGAGGATGTCTGCTATAGGATACCGTACACAATGCACTGAAATGGTGTTCAACGAATTTTGTATGTACAGAACTACGATACAACAACAAAGTGGTACAGACATATAGATTATTCGTTTACATCGGCTCGTTATCTTATTCTTCCCATCGAGGCCCCTTTACTTCTTTCCCTTCGCCTGCTGCTTGGCCTTTTGGGCGGCGACGTTCTGAGCTGCCTTGCTTCCAGGGTGGTTGATGTGAGTCTCCTTCGAAGTCGTCACCGAGTGCTTAAGGGACTTTGCGACCTAGCATACGAAAGGGAGTTAGCGTTGAATAGACGACAAAAAGTGTAGTAAGGATAACGAACTCGACCTCCAGACGGCTCCGCCCCTCCGTGGATAGCCACCTGCCCCACTGTGCTAGGCTGACCTTTCTTGACGTTGTTCAGCTGAACTGCAACCTTGTGTTGGCCCTGGGCATTGGTGGGCTGCTGACGGTCGAGGTGGAAGGCACCGTCAGACTTGGTAGTCTTCGCAGAGCTTCCACTAGCAGCGGCGCGGTCCAGCTGACCGCCTTCCTTTGCTTTATCGATGAAGGCATATGCGGCCTTCTTGGTGTTGGGTTCTGCGACGTGGAACTTGCCCTACGAGTAGTGGGATGGTCAACGAACGAGACGATTGAAGATGGAGGGCGACTAACAACGCGGGCAAATAAAGTGTACAACTCGCGGGCATCTATTTCGTCGACGTCGTAGTACCTGAAACGAGTGAATAGATTTTCCACAAATAAATAAGATGAAGTATACCTTTCAACGAGGTCATCGATATCGACGGCGTGCATCAAGGGGGCGGCAATGGATAGAGCAGCGCAGCAGAGGACGGTAAAAGTTACGGCGGAGAACTTCATTTCGATAGCGTTTCTCGTGGACAGGACAAAGATTTGTTGAGGAAGACGAGGTTAAGCGACCAGCGCTTTAGAGTCGTGCTTTTGTGGGTAGACCAGCTGAAGAATCTCGAGCGTCCCTGCTCTGCCCTTTATACCCGTAGCATACCTCACAACTCTACCCACGCCACGCGCGAAGCGCTGGAACCATGAGTCATCCACTACAGAAGTCGACCTCCTATGCTCTGTTTCTTAGGTACCGAGGTCCAGGCCGGAAGGCAACAATTCATTCATGCTCGTCCCAACGGATATGCAAATCAATAGGCAGATCGTCAAGCATTGTGGGGTCTGTCTGCCGGAACTGGGAAGTGTTGCCATTCTGGGTGGTAAAGCGTGATGGCATCACAACCTCGGGAATCAAACCATCAGAACGTGGAAAGAAGACTCCCTTAATTGGACCTGGAAGCGGCGATCTCCGGGTTACCGAACGCACACGACTCACATGACCTTGAGTATGAAAAAGACTCCCTTCGTCCCAGAAGTTGGGGAATGATGGATCGTTAACAACCTGGTAGCTCAGCTTCGAATAGGGTCATGGCCGGTGGGTAGTAGAGGGGCGTTCATAGCAGTCTGAATCGGCGGAAAGACAAAAGATTATCTTTCGTTCGGAAAAATCCAATCTTGTCCCGTAAAAGATCTGAGTCAATGGACGGAAGGCAGAGAGGGAGTTCTAACTGCATGCCCTTGTCAGGTCAGTCATGAGCAAGGCCATAAATATCCGGTAGTTAGCATGAGCAACTCCCCGGTCCTTCGATCAGCCTTTCTCCTCCTAATCGAGTTCTGGTTTTCTTCCTAGCCCCATTCAATACGCCGAAGGATAATTTGAGGACCAAACTCAGTCGACGTTCATCAGGAATCCATACGTCTTCGAATCCTTTGAATAGTGTACACATGATTCAAGCCTTGGTGGGGCCGCGGCTGTGGAGCATCTCCAATGCATCATCGCATGCCCACTGCATCAACCTCTTCGCGCCTCTTTTGTGGGAACCGTCTTCTGGACCTTCTGTGTCCCCATGGTGCAGATATTCAAACGTGCACTGGCCTCCTTGACACATTTGAATCAAGTTCTACTGAGCGCCCATGTTGTTGGAAAGTACCAAGACGACGACATGTACACGACAATGAGGCGAATGATGAGCCGGCACAATCACAACTAGCAACAGCGTTTGAAGTCGAAGTCCGACGTCCAGACAGCATGAAATTAATACATATACTCTATCCAAGCTGATTTTATTTTGTTAGTCTTGCTCGCATCTCGGCCGGTGATCGTGGACGTTGCGGTTTTCCTACAGACGAGCCTCAGCAAGGCCGCGCTATTCAAACACTTTTGGATTTCTAACACAACACCAAGCTAACCCAACCATGATCATCCCCCGGAGTCCTCAATCCTCGGCCTCAAGAAGTAGTGTTTATAAGTCCGGCGATCCCCTGGCCAGTAATAGACGAGGATGTCCTCTCCGAGTCGTCGTATAGAATGGTGAAGATCCAACGAAAACGAAGGGGAGCAGCGAGGTTACCCCTATTTCTGAATGTCTCAGGGTCGGCATCTACATATATGACATGCCTGCATCAAACTCCGCCACTGTCCTTTGCACCACCACTGTCACCACCAGAGTCGTTTCCAGGCAGCGCAGAATCGCAGAGAAGCTCGAGAATGGTGCGCCACTTTCGTAACTATACCCCAGGGCTCGAAGTAATGCTTCGAACGCTCGCATAAACATTCCAGCCACCAAAGAAGAAAGCAACCACCCACAAAACTGAGCTCAGCGGAGACACTCAGACATTGTCGAAAGTCGAATCCGTTCCTAGCGAGGTCATTGCGCGCATCTTGCAGAGTCTCTATTCCCACACCATGGTCGTCGAGAAGCAAACTCCACAGAAGAAGGCCTCTCCCGGAGGCGTATACCGCAACAAGCCTTGCATTCTGGACATGAACGACCAGGTCATATCCTTCGGATGGCAACCCGACCGAGAGTCACCTAAACGCTCGAAGGGGGTCTCGTTTACCTACCATCTGCATGTGGCCTCCGGCGTCTGTCGACAATGGCGGGACGTCGTCCAGTGCCTTCCCGAGTATTGGTCGCGCGTCGTCATTTTCGTCGACCGGGATGTGAAGCCTGCGGATATAAAGGAGCGTATATCTTCCGCTAAAGACCGTCCTCTCGGTGTACTCGTCACTCGGTCTAATTATGGCGGAGCCCACTACGACAACAACGACAATATGGCGGAGAGCAAGCAAGAGAAGACACGGGCCAAGAAGGTCATAAAACTTTTACGACCTCTCGTTCCCAGGTGCCGATCTTTCGTCTTTGACGTTAAGTACAGCTCCTCCTTGCCATTCATCTCCCAAGACTTCCGTGGCACTGCTAGTCACCTTCGTGTTCTCAAACTGCAATGCCGAGTGGACAAGAAGAACATCGCGTGTCCACGAGTTCCTAAGATAAAACGCAAGGACGAGTTCGTCTTTCCTCGGTTGTCGGTGCTTGTTCTTGACGGCACCACGTTCATGGACGCGTGCAACATTTCTTCCTTCGGGAACCAGTTGAAGGACATGTATCTTGATACGCTCTCTATCTCCCGATTGACGGCTCCGAACCCCGACGACGACGAAGACGAAGGCGACGAAGACGGCCCTGCTGGGTTCGACATGTATAGTTTGGCAGCCCATCTCGCGAACATTGGCTACATCCGACACCTCACTCTCGCCTACATCGACGTCGCATATGATCCAGGCACAGCCGACCAAGGGGAGCATCAGTGGAGAATCGACAACCTCACCATCAAAGGGCAAGACGAGCCGTGGGTCGAGGAACTCAACAGCATCACATCTGGATCGTCTCTCTGCTACTACCACCTCGTCGATTCCTCCATCCATTATGAGAGCATGATGGTGGCGCATCACCTTCGACTGGAGGCCATTACCGATTTGGGGTACCACTTCGGCCACACCATCGGGAGGCATTTTGGGAATCGCCTCGATATCGTCAATTGCGACCGCTTCACGGACCACCATCTCGACGTCATCGCGGACAATTGCCATTACCTACGTCGCCTCTACCTCGTCGACTGCCCGAACTTTACTGTTGGGGGCCTGAAGCTCATGCTCACCACTCGGGACGCTCTGGCAAGTCAGGACGATGAACGCCCCGAAGGCCGTCATGATACGAGTGATGAGACCGAGAGCATCGTGGAGTTGGATGAAGAAGACGATGCCGAGATGGCGGATGCATACTCGACGTCAATGGGAGCCGCCGGATCGAGGTTTACGCCTATTCACCGTCTGCATGTCAAAGGGCATCCCCACAAATTGACCACAGCTGAGCACCAATGGTTCAGCGACCGTCTTGAATTCTTCTCCTGGGATTGACTCGGAATCGACTCCTGTCTACGTGTACCCCTATTCGGGAGTTTGCCTTTTTTCTGTTGAACTACGCTCCCAGTACTGTATAAAATCAATCTACTCGTGCCCTCAGTTGGCTTAATGCCTTGTCTATGGTTCTGGAATCTGGAAAGAGTAGAAAAGGCAACGTTGCTCGATGCACTCTTTACTGCTGCCGAATGACGAAATGGACATGGTTGAAATTTGTCTTCCGGTTGCTGAACACGGGGTTGCATCTCATTCTGGTATTACACCACGGCTTCACCAAAAAGCTCGACGTTCAATTCTTCGGATCTAGCAACAATCCCTCATCGTTCGTCAGAGTCGAAGCGGTTCAATCGTATACGGGCTACTAAATGGTGAGTCGCACCTGAAAAATTTTGACCATTTTGGTTGCCAACCACATGCAGCCACCCAAAAAGCAAACCAAGACGAAGGGGCAGTCCTCGAAGAGTAGATTATCTTCCTACATCGAAGAGCTACCTGTCGAAATCTTGAGCCACATTTTCAGGCTCACCCACCAGACAACTCTTCTCGAGGATACAGCCAGACGATTAGCATCTCCAGGCGCGGTGTACCGCAGAATAGGCAAAAACGACCGTGGACCCCAGTCTCCCGGAGTTGCAGACCTTTCTTTTCCCCTCTACACGATCGCGGCCGTCTGCAGACAATGGCGTGATATCGTATCTTCCTTGCCAGAGTTTGCGACCAGAGTCGTTCTCCCGATTGACAGGACGGATCCTACCGCCAAACTTGACAAGATTATGGAAGGCCTTGAACGAGCCAATAGCCTTCCGCTCGACATTCTCGTGTTTCCAAAGGATACCGGGGCTCGTCGCAAGAACGATGTGGACATTGAAGGAACCCACACTATTCAAATCATGGAGTGTCTTGCCCCTATCGTTCCCCAGTGCAGGTCTTTCGTGTTCAAAGTGAAGTATAGCAGCTCCTTACCACTTATTTCCCAACAATTCCGCGGCCGCGCTCCCCACCTTCGAGTCCTCAAACTTGTCTGTGAAGAGGACACCGATGAGGATCTGCCATGCGTGCTGCCCGACGACATACCCAAGGACGAGGAGTTCGTTTTCCCCCTTCTCACCACTATCCACCTTGACGGGTATACCTTCATGGATGCGTGTAACCTGCCCTCGTGGAAAGCGCAGCTCGCGAAGATGTCCATCGACACCCTGACGCTCTCCAACTTCACTGCCCCGATGCAGGATGAAGAATTCGACCTCGCCGAATTTTCCAGTGCGCTGGCGGATATCGGGCATATCAGACATCTTACCTTGTCCGACTATAGGGTCGGTTTCACCGAGGGCGATTCGAACGAAGGGTACAATCCTCTCAACGTCGACAGTCTGACCGTCGAGAATTTAGAGGACATCCAGTTCATGACGGAGTTCCTGACAGGGGTCTACGCGGCCAAATTCTGCTTCTACCACCTCGTGAACACGAACCTCAGCTGGGAGTCGATTCCGCCGGTGCACCATCTCCGGCTTGAAAGGATCCCCGAGCTCGATTATGGCTTCAACCACGCTTTTCAACGGTTCTTTGGGAGCCGCCTCGACGTCGTTGATTGCGAACATTTCTCGGACTCCCATCTCGACACTATTGCGAACTTCTGCGAACCGCTTCGTCGGTTGTATCTTATCGACTGCCCAGGGATCACGGCGAAAGGACTGAAGGCGATGATTACCTCGCGGAACAAGCTCGTTTCGAAAACCGCATCCCTCGGATCCGATGATGATGAGGAAGACGGCGACGGCGAAGAAGAAGAGGGCATCGATAGCGACGCAGAGACTATTGTGAGATGTACGGTATCGGACGACGAGGGGCTCGAGAATCTGTTTGAAGGGCCAGAGAAGCCACCGCGCGGTGTTGCCTTCAGGCCCATTCACCGCATTCATGTACAAGGGCACCCGAAAAAGCTGTCGAAGGCTGACCGAGACTGGTTCATGAAGATCATCAGGTCTTTCCGTTGGGACTGACCCAAGTAACAGTAGCTCGAACTTCATCCTGGTATGTTCATTGATATTAGATCATTGAATCCTAGGTAAATATTCGAATACCACCAAACATCGCGTCCACGAGTCTGACACCAGTGCTCAGACTCAGTTACCCAGCTCTCTAGGACGTAAGAGTTTAGAAATGCAATATGTTTTTGCATGGATGCATAGCTACAGTACAGTGGCGATACATAAGATTATTTGTTGGTGCAACTCGTTAGTCTAACTCTATTGTAAGGATTAATTTACTTCCTGCCCTTCTTGAAAATGCCCTGGGAGGCCCTGGCGTTACCGGCCTTCTGCTTGGCCTGGTTGCGGGACGCCTTCGCGGCCTGCTGCGCCTTGTTGTGGGCAATGTTCTTCGCCTTCTTACTGTTCGGGTGGTTGATGTGTGTCTCTTTGCCAGTCGTCACGGAGTGCTTCAAAGCTTTCGCGACCTGCATAGAGGAATATCATTAGCTCGAGATGGAAGGCCAAAAATAAAAAGGACGTACCCGTCCGCCGGATGGGTGGTGTCCACCGTGGATAGCAACTTGGCCGACCGTGCTGGGCTTGCCTTTGCCGACCTTGTTCAACTGAACTGCGACCTTGTGTGAGCCATGGGCATTGGTGGGTTGTTGGCGGTCAAGGTGGAAGGCGCCATTGGATTTGGTAGTCTTTGCGGAGCTGCCCCCGGCGGAAGCGCGATGGAGCTGACCGCCCTTCTTCGCGCTGTTGATGAACGCGTGCGCAGCCTTCTTGGTGTTGGGCGCAGCGGCGTGGAATTCACCCTGAAATAAAATTTAAAAAGGAAGCGGTTATATTGAGTCAGACAAGAGGGTGAGTGTCCACTTACAGTACGGGGCTCGAGGTCGAACCATTCACGCACGTCGAACTCGTCAATTTCGAAGTCCCTAAAGCAACCGTTCAGACGAATATTCAAGAAAAAATCATCTACTCGATGCATACCTCTCAACGAGATCGGAGATGTCATTGGTGTTCATGAGGGGGGCAGCGATGGACAGCGCAGCGAAGCAGAGAACGGTGGCGTTGATGATGGAGAACTTCATTTCGATTGATAAGTCGTGAAAGGCGTGAAGGTTGTTGGAGAGAAGAGACTATGCGACCAGCGCTGTAGAGTTGAGATTCGGTGGGTAGACCAGCTGAAGAATTTGCTGTGAGTTCGCGGTACCCTTTATACTTGGGTTGGCCACCCTGCCGTCTCCATGCCGTTTACGTGAAGACACTTGATTCGTGTTTGACGGGCAACAGCCCCAACACGCGGAGTACTTTTACTCCCCGTTTCGTGATTTCCGGAGGAGCCTGGGGCTCTTAGCATGAACTTTCGTCCCAAAAATGGTTCTTAATGATCAGTCAAGCCTCCTGCCGACGCGCAGCATGGAGTTTTGAACTCCTAGAGATCACCGAGACCTCTTCAGATGCTCCCACAATAGCTCCTCCAGGTTTCTATCTTCGCACAGAACGTCAAAGTTTGACGCCGGCGCTACGGCGCTAGACATCAAGGCCGATCTCGCCGTCATGTACCTGTCAAGTATTTTTGCCCCGCGCCCGTTAACCTGGATCGTTCTCTATATTTTCTCTGAGAAAAAATATAACGGAACACCTTCAAGGTTCGAAGAACAGGTCCTGTCTTCCTTTCTGTCATTCTCTTGGCCGAAAGAAACTTTTAGTGAGGAATGAACGAACACAAATTTGGTAGCCTTCTCCCAGGATGGCGCCATCACGGTTTGATCAAAAGGGGTTCAGACAACTGAATTGAACAGCCTCTGAAGGCCGTGCAAAGTTCTAACGTTAAACACGAACCCCACTACGATCCATCATGTTTGGTGATGGTGGAGATTAGCAGTTTTGCGCATCTCGGATGACTTTCTCCTGGACGACGTGCCGATTACAAAGTGGAAGGTGAAACACTGCCTAACTTCCAAGTCAAAGTTACTGACATAAACTGCTGTTGCCTTGAAGTTACTGGAAAGAAACGCTGCCGCCGAACTAAACCCTGACGCCATGACTTCACAATCCAGCCTCCTCAATGATCTCCTACCAGAAATCTTCCCAATCGTCGCCTCGCTTCTCCCCCTACACGCGACGCCATCGACGTTGCTTTCGCTGGCCCTCGTTAACAAGCACATCTCAACCATCGTCCTACCTTTAGTCTACTCACGACTCATCCTGAAGAACGAAGACGATGCGCTGAAGGTCATCCAAAAGCTCCTAGACGAGCCCGAGCTAGGGAAAGTCGTCCGCGAGCTCCATATCTTATCTGATCTCTCGGTTGCTACGCGAAACGGGGAGCGCCCATTCGATGTCGTGCGCGGTCTCGAAAAGGTCATCGCCGCGGGATCGCTCCCGTATATCCATACCTTAGGGCTTGAACTGCTGACAGGATGGCACTACGACGACGAGTTCGAGCCGGTGGAAGGGTTTGGGGAGCTAAGACGGGAGTTCTGGGAAGCGCTCAGGAAGAACTGCCCAAGATTGCGGGGCCTCGTACTCCGCGACATCGCCGACAACGAGGATGATCCGTGGCTCGAGGAGTCTGGTCTGCTCGAGATACAGGTCAGTTTGTCGAAATTACGGAGACCGGCTCTGACCTTCGCGCAGGACATTACAAGCCTCACCGTGAAATTCAAAGAGTTGACTCTCAACAAAACAAATGGCGAGAAACTCGTGAAGAACATTGCATCTTTGAGCGGCTCACTACACACCTTGAACCTCGCGCCGCACTCGACGGACTTCGTATCGGCGTCACCTATTTTCGCCCTCGACTTTCCCGTCCTCCGGTCACTCAGCCTCAGCCTTTCCCTCGGCACCACAGAAGAGGCGATGGCGTTCTTGGAGCGCCATCCAACAATCGAGTACTTGAACATAGCCGACCCCGACTGGAATGCACCCTGGTTCACAAACAGCCTTCCAAACGCGTTCTTGCCCAGGCTGAAGCATCTCAAGGCGCATTTCAAAGACGTCCGAACCCTAGCTCCCATCCTCCACCAGCTTGTCAGCCTTACGGTCTACGAGAGTATCAACGCGCAGGTTCCCTATCTCCTCCACTCCGTCCTGCCCGATGGGCTCCCGAATCTCAAAGCTCTTAGGATCGAGCAATCGCCGTCTGCAAGCAGCAAGAACGTGAACAACGAAGGCAGCCTGTGGTACGAAACCGCGGACGGGGATTTCAAGGAAGCGAAGGTGCACAAGGGATCACGAAGCGTCGTCGATGGATACATCCACTCCGTCGCCCGTGGAGCGCCGAACATCGAAGAGCTGAGTTTCCCTTCGTACTCGATAGATGTGGCTGATTTTGTGCGTGTTCTGTTCTGACTTCTTCTCCCTCTTGCTCCCTCTTACTTTGATTCGCAGGCAAACATCGCTGATGAACTCGCCGGCCTCTCCAACCTCCAGCGCTTCTACCACTCAGGCATGAACAGCTCCCTCGCAGATATCTCGGAAGAGGAGCAGGAGGCGGTGCTTGCGAACGTGCAGATTCTGGCGGAGGCATGTCCATCACTGACAGCGGTGGTCGACACGAGCAGCGTGAACCTTCCCTTCGTCACCGCGAGGATAGTGAGGGATGGAGAGGGCAAGGTCTCCAAGGTTGCCCTCGGGACTGGGTATGGGGTGTTGATTGGGAATGACGATGAGGCGTTCCCCCGACTTTGATTCCTTCACCAGTGGCAGACATAAGCGTCCAAAAGTGGAAGGTAGTAAACACAATGCCCAGGCGTTCCATAGTTGAGCGCCGAGGGCTAGGCGCGCTGAACATTCACCAGTTTTCGAGAGTCCTGTTGAAGTCTTAAATCGGGGTCTGTATACTTGCAATGATACTCCGTGACGATTTTGAACCATCACCATCCGGCCGTGGGAATTCGTCGCCCCCACCATGGCCGCGCTCTACACTACCGAACTCCTCTCATTAATCGGCATCGTCCTCCATCGGGCCCCACTCATTGCCTGATTCCTTATCTATTCATTAAACCAACACCTTTTCTTATTTATCAGAGAAGATCGCGACTTCGGCGTGGTTGTATCCCAATCGCTTTGTTGGAGGCCCGAAGACCTTGTTTACGACAACCTCAAAGCGCAACTGATGGCCCTACTTGACAGGCAGCCCGTGTACCGTCTTGCTCTGCTTCGCGCAGACCTTTCGGGGGCGCAACCTAGTCATGGAAGGCAACCCATGGAGGGAGGAGGCTAGTCTCCGATCATCAGCCGTGTTGCCTATGATCCGGCTACACCCCTTGGGGAGAAACACTAGATATTCGACCGCCTTCGCATGGTAGGGGGATGCTACAGGATGCGTGCCTTAGGGTTTGGGAAATGGGGGAGGAAAGCGGGTGGGGTTGTATCAGAGGGCGGAAGGCATAGTGGAAGGCAGAGTCACTCGTTTCAACATTTCACTTCCAAACCATCCAATCTCGTTAGGGGTACTTAGCACCTACATGTGCTGCCCCCGTCAATGGTGTTGGCCCGGCACACCAACCATGCAGGCGACTGACGGCTTGGAAGCTTCGGCGCCCAATGCTGGGAAGGACTAACACCATGAAGCCCTTGATTGTTTAGATTCGGCGAACCGCAAGGAAACTGGTCAGCTCTCACCAACTGTCTCAACAGCTGGAAGCTTCGGCGCCCAATGGGGCTTCAACCAAAGGCGGCGGGTCGAGGGATGGGATGATGAGGAGGGTCGTTTAGGTGTAGCCTACCTCCAAGGGACTGTGATCGAACACCCTATTTTTTGTGTATTTGGAGTACGTCTAAAATACACCCTACGTGGAAGACTTCAAAAAAAAAAAAAAAAAAAAAAAAAAAAAAAAGATACTCCGTGACCTTTGTGACAAGTCACAATCCTGAAGGATAAAGCAGAGAGCTGTTTTCTACTTCGCGGATTCTTTACGCGCAACCTCTACCTTCAAGATGCGTCCTCCAGGTCCGGTCAGACACGATTGGTTGATATCGCTCAAGATCGCCTCTTATACTGCAGAACGGTGCGATTAGCGTCATCCACCAGCAAGCCGACCGAAACCCCGAGCTGACTATGAAGAAATGACGATTCCCCCTGTCCCAACGTTAAAAAAAGCTCAACACGTGCAGTGATTTAAGGTGCATCTGCCATTGATGCAACTGCAGCCCAATTTTGCTTTCTTTCGCTCTCTATCTCCTTTTCAACCTACTCTGACGCGTAACGGCGTCGTTCTCCGACAATGTTGTCGGAAACTACCAAGAAAGAAGCCCCAAAACGACCAGCGAAGTGGGGGAGGGATGAGGAGTGGTATGCGTGGATAATGCCGGCTCTGAAGTCGCGTCGCATGTTGAAGACATGGCTGAGGTGCTGCGCCACTGTATGCGTTTTGCTGGTGCTTATGGTGGTGCCGGGGCCGTCGTTGACGATGGGACAGGCGTCATTCTTCGCTGTGTGAGTGGGTTCACTTTTGTGAAAGCCAAAGTTCACGGTTTGCAGCATCCTTGCGGTCATGTTGCCGCCGAATTTTGCCCTATCTGTGTTTATCATGGCCTTGACGACGCTCTTCCTGGGTATGTCTTCAACCCTGCCCGCAATATCGTACTGAAGAAACGCAGGAATGCTTATCGGATGGGCATGGGGAAGCGCCGCGATGGCAGCGGCTCATGCTGCTCGAAGTTCAGCCCTGTTGGCACAGCAGCAGCAGAAACTGCAGTCGTCGTGAGTGGCGTTCTCCTCGCGGCTTGTTTCGCCTTGACGGTGTTTTCAGGCTTGATCCAAACCTCCCTATTGGCCTACAGACGCAGTCTGCGATATGGCATGGGCTATTTCTGGATACACGATCAACAGTGGTGTACGGCGTGTTTCTTTTCGTTGGGACGTATCTGCTCGGAGCGATAAGGGCGTTCATACCGAATCTTGCGTTGCTGAGCATTTTCGGAACGATTGTCATCGATGTGGTATGTTTTCTTTTCCGCGTAAAACGCCTGTAAAATCTGACGTGGTCACAAGTTTTGTACATCAGCTCCCCGTAAGTTCGTCTATGAGAGTTTGCAAGGTTCTCTTCCTGAATGTTACGTTTATAGTCCTTCCCACGACGCAGTACACGCTTCCCAAGGCATTCATTATCCCTGCATGCTTTTATGCTGCCGTCGCCATCGCGAGCATCGTTTTCATCTTCCCCGAGAGTCTGAGCCATGTCTGGTTGTACGCAATTCGTTCATCATTCACTGACCTGAGGGCTGAATAGTGAACAGAACGCTATTCCTAGACGAATTTTGGATGCCAACCTTGGATCTCTATCGTCTTCAAAATGAAGCCCTCAGTACGAGGCCTTCCGACCACGAAAAGTGGGAGGACATGGACGCTCGAGGAGCTGTTCTGCGAACTCGGTTGATTGAAGGTGTCGAAGAGCTCGTTCAGAGGATTGGGTTGATTGACCTCGACTCCTCACTCGGACGCCTCGGCCCTGCTGACTTGAAGAAGTTTAGTGCAGAGATCAAGTCGATGATGTTCCGCGCAGGGTGAGCTTGTCTTATTCTCGAAGCAAACCGCTGATACTGAGCTGACATAACTCATAGTGCCCTCCACTCTTTCCAGGTCTTCGTGAAAGATGCGAACACTTTTGTTGCCCAGGACAAACTTTCACAGGGCCGGAGCCGTGGGGACGCCACCCCCACCCGTTACCAAGCCCTCCACCGCAAAATACGTGCGCGCGAAGCCCAGCACGGGCACGACCTGGATTCCCTTGTGCCCATCTTGGCTTCCTGCTCCGCCGAACTACGAGGCGCCTGCGAGAGCAGCTTGGTCTGTATCATGGATTGGTTCAGGATCTGCAACACACGCCGGTGGTCCACGTTTGTCTTCCGTTCGACGAAGGAACAGATCGCAGAACGGCACGAACGGGTGGTCGCGACACTTAAAGCGTTGGAGGATGCGTTGGATGAGTTCAGGAACGTGCAGAGGGTCAAGCTAGTCACGCCTTTCGAAGACTTTTTCGATCCTGTCACGAAGAAGCTCCGTCATAATTCTGATACCTTTGCCACCAAGTCGCTCTTTATCTGCTTTGTCTTTATCGACACGCTCGACTCCTTCTCCGAGCGGCTCGTCAAGTTGCTCAAGACAATCGCTGAGATCGATTCCCAGCGCTCACAGCCCCGATTTTGGTTCCCAGGCCGGATTGCCAAGGTCACGGAGAATATCGCGAGCGGGGAGTTTAAAGGCGCTGGAGGGCCGTTCTCTATGGGCACGGCGGACGACCCGACAGCGTTCAACACTCCGAGTGATAGGAGCACGACGGACTTGTTGGAGCAGGAGGAGAAGGCGACGATGAAGGCGGAGGAGAAAGATATCGCAGAGGCGCCGAGTAAGTTCGAACGAAGCTATCCTCGTCGCATTGTTAAATTTTCTTTTTTGCATCTAGAGAGACGTGACCCCGACGCGTTCCCACCTACAACTGCCTTCGGACGTTTCTTCGTCAAGTTGGCGGCGTTCTTCCGCTTCTTCAAGTCAGCCAAGGGTATATTCGCGCTGCGCGTCGCGATTGTCTCCGTGGCGCTTTGGATCCCGTCTGTACTACATTCGAGCGCCTGGTTTTACTACGAGAACAAGGGCATGTGGGCTTTGATTATGGCTCAGACAGGCCTAGCCGTTTATGCTGGCGATCAGGTAAGTAATTCCGCGCGTTTGTTGAAGTGGATGTAATTGATGGTTAATTCAGATTATGGGCTTCTTCATTCGTCTCCTTGGGACGATTATTGGCTTGTTGCGTAAGGTATTTCACCACGCAGTCAATGACATCCTCACTGAAGCATGCCCGCGACGTAGTTGGTATCGCCGTATGGTACATAGGAACTGGGAACGGGAACGGTAATCCATATGGCATCGTCGTTGCTTCGGTAAGCCGGGAGTGTTTCTTCGCTTGTCCTGTTAAATTCTTATGCATCTTCAGACGGTTTTCCTCGCGCCGTTCGTTTTTACGAGAGTCGCTGGTCCGCCCTCGCAAACAGCGATGTGGACCATGGTCCCGACCACTATTCTATTCGGTATGCCTTCTGAAATGTTGTTGTATAGATCAGCTGACACCTTTCGTTCAGTCGTCGGCTATAGCTGGATCAACGCAAACCACCCCAGTCTCGGTTCACCTGGGGTTGGTATCACCCTGAGCTGGAAGCGAGCGTCAGTCATTCTCTCCTCTTCCCTTCGTTCGCTCAGACAATAGCCGTAGTCTACTGGTCATCATCGGATTTGCAGCTGCCGTACGTCTTTTTACTCCCCCACTCTTCCTGTTCCCTAGTACATTAATCTGACATCCTAAATAGTTCGTCGTGATGGTCTTCCCCAACCCCATTTCATCACGCGTCCTCGTCCGCAAGACTCTCGCTGCGACAATCGGGGAAACTGGAAACATCCTTGCGGGTGAAATCGAAGCTTTCCTTGCAGAGGAGGCCAAGGCCCGTCGTGGGGAATGTGACGATCCCTTAGTTGCCACAGACGGAAGAGAGGCGGATGAGGATAAGGCGTCGCCGAAGGAGCGCAGGGTGAGGAAGATTGGGAAGAGAGTGCTTGCTGTTTCGGTACGTTCCTGGTGGACCTGTTTGGTGCGGGGTTTGCTGATTACTCGCTCGTAGATAAGATTGAAAGAGCTATACGAGTCGCTGACGTTCGCCAGGTTTGAGCCTCAGCTAGCGTGAGTCCCTCCAATGCCCCTCCGACGACTTTGTTCTGATGCCTCTCTAGAGGGACATGGCCAAGTGAAGAATACGAGAGACTTTTCGATCTTCAGTAAGCTCTTTCTGGCTTCTTTCGGCCGGTATCTCGGCTGATTTAATTTTCCAAGAGCGAGATTCTGGGAGGGCTCATAATCCTTATCACGTCCTTCACAAAGCAAAACACGAGATGGTGTAGCGCGCTAGTACACCGCACGCCATTCATGAACCCTAACTTCGTACGCTAGTTCCCCTCTCATTTATGCATATCCCACTAATGATTCTTTGCTGCCGTTCATCTACAATAGCTATCAGATGTCTTTTCCACCCTCTCCACCCTCTCAGGCGCCCTAAAAGACGGCCATCCCCTTCCTGCATACCTTCCCACCCTCCGTGACCGCCTCCTCTACCATGAATACCACGCTGGGCGACGCTCCCTCTACACACGCGTTACCCAATCACGACCCCATCAACCACGACCGCTCAGCCTAGACCTGAGCCTGAGCGAGAACGAGAAGGTGAAGGATTTGCAAAGTCCTGGCTCGGAATCGGAGAGTGAAGTGGAAGTAGAGATCAGGGAGGCTGCAGGCCCGGCGACAGTAGATGGGTCGAGTATGGGCCTTGAGATCGATGAACTGACATTGGATGTATTGACGGTACGTGTAGGACCTGCGTCGTTCTTTGCTAGTGGCTAACGAAGTATTTGGACGCCTAGGACGGTCAGTTGCCTGCTCATTCTACCGGTACGTGTATAGGATTTATTAGGGAGATGAGCATTCGCTGACGCTCATATTCTCTAGCCGTGATGGCGTTCTCGAGTCTCATCACTGTGTGTCTTCTCCCTGCCATCTTTGGTCCAGTTGCAAATTGAATTTTCCGATTTCTAGCGCATCGACGAAATGACCGAAGTTGTACGCACGCTTTGTGGCGAGGCGACGTTCCGTGGCTATGATTCACTGCACCAGTACTACCTCGACCGTGAAGAGCGGGCTCTCGGTGGAGGGTTCCACGATGCTCCTGGGCGCTGATCTCCTTGTTGGGTACCAATGGAGTGCCTCGTCTTTTGGCTGTTTCAGCCTGAGAGCGCCCAAGGCTCATGTTTCTAATGCAAGTTTTGCTTTTCTTTTTACTCCAAATTCTTTTTTCTTCTGGAATACCCAGTACACACACTCTCTCATGTCGTATATTAATTATAATCTGCAGCGTAATGCTATACTAGTACTAGTACAAAGTCGGCACAAAGTAGACTCGATGGACTCAGGCGCGGCACGTGGGAAATGTTCGGCGATTGCCGGCTCGACGAAGCCGTACTGCGCCACTCTGCGACGCCCTTCTTGACTTAGTATACCATCTGCAACTCGAAACAATGCAGTTGTTATCGAGACCTGCTGTCTTTTGGTCTCGTCTTTGCGCAGTTGTCTCATCTGCTGTGCAACTGTGCAAGTGGGCGCCTTTCTAGGTGCCCATGTTGCCAAGAGGTGCGCAAACAAACCGAATTTAGCCAAGGAAAATTCGACTCGACACCCACTTCTAGCTCTCCCTTTTTCCCCTGGCTTTTCGCCAGAATTACTCGGAAAATATGCCCGACGTACAGTATCATCCAACTCTTCCCTCTGTATATCATTTTCTAGATATACTTGCCCACTTTCCATGCAGCGCGTTGTTGGGTCGATCGCCCGAAGGCTCCGCTGACAAGAGCCGATGACAGTCTTTCGCCACACCCCAATTCTCGGCCTTCGGGATGTCCTGACGAGAATAACATCGCCAACCCCAGTGACCCGCATTAATTAAAGGGCTCATAGCTCCGGGACCGACCAGATCGTTATTTTTCCTTCCAGCTACCACCTACCCCTACCCCCCACCTCACCTCACTTTTCCGACTCTCATGTCGTCGGAAAATCTCAAGAATGACACTCAGAAGAGGCGACCCCTACGACGACCACTGCACAAGAAAGACGATGGTTGGTTCTCCTGGGTCTTGCCCGCGTTGCAATCGCGTCGAATGTTGAAGACGTGGTTGCGGTGTTGTGTCGCATTGTGTGTGACGCTCATCCTCATGGTCGTTCCCGGACCGTCGCTCACAATGGGTCAAGCTTCGTTCTTTGCTGCGTAAGTTCGTCTGTTACTATTCTGCTCTCGTGGAACCAACAATTTTGCAGCATCCTTGCCACAATGTTACCTCCTAATTTCGCCTTCTCTATTTTCTTCATGGCTATGACGACGCTGTTCCTCGGCACGTCACATATTCTCCAATATTCCGTCTCTTTTAAGCTGACATTCTGTAGGAATTCTCATTGGTTGGGCATGGGGAGCGGCCGCGATTGCAGCAGCGCACGCTGTCCGAAGTACAAGTTTGCTCGCACAACAGCGGCAGAAATTCCAGGCTTCGTGAGCATTGCTAGACTACTAGTCCTAACCGGCTTGGGTCGACTAACATTTCTGTCCACCAAGAATCGACCCCAACGTCTCCGTCACCCTCCAAACCCAACTTGCAACCTTCCACGGCCTGTTCCTCGATGTCAGGTACTGTCTGCCTAGATCCTCCTTTATGATGTAGTGCGGCTGATGGACAGTTAATGGTATCAGGTCTTCCGCCGTACATGGGGTATTTGTTTTCGTCGGCTCCTATGCCCTCGCCGCCGTGAGGGCATTCGTCCCTAATCTTGCGTTGCTCAGTATCTTCGGAACGGTTGTGATAGACGTGGTATGATCGCTCTTTCTCCATGACATTTTTATGCCTGATTTTGTTACCAGATAGGCACCGCAGGACCACGTAAGTCCTCAACTCGCGCTAGAGCTCAATTTCACCCGGCTCAACCAACGTTTATAGTTGTTGGAATTGGGCAATCCGGCATTGTCCCGGATCTTTGAGTAGGCGCCCGTACATACTGGAATGCAGATTAGTCATCATAGCACAGCTTCGTATAGGTATAGTATTTAGTAGATAGTTGTAGAACCTACTAGATACAAAGTGTGTACAGTATATAAGGACCTCTGTAGGAGGCCTAAATATCAAGTTCTCTCTTCCACTGCGCCAACAATAGTCATCCCAACTACGGAGTATATGATCCCGAAGCCGTTTATCCTTCCCGCTTGCTTTTACGCCGCCGTCGCCCTGGCCAGCATCGTGTTTATTTTCCCCGAAAGTTTGAGCCATGTTTGGCTGTACGCTTTCACCTTCTCACATGTGTCTTGCATACTAACCGTTTGACAGGACAATGCTTCTTGATGATTTTTGGACTGTATGCCCTTTCATTTGGTTCAACAAGGATAAAAGACACTAAATCTACTCCAGCCAACCCTCGACCTCTTCCGCCTTCAAAGTGAAGCTCTCACCGCCGCACCGTCCGACCGCGACAAATGGGAAGAGATGAACACTAGAGGAACGGAACTTCGCGGAAAGATGCTCGAGGGGCTCGAGGTGCTCAACCAAAAAGTCGGGTTGATCGACCTCGACTGCTCACTTGGTCGTCTCGGCCCGGCTGACTTGAAGAAAATTAGCGCAGAGCTCAAGTCGATGATGTTCCGCGCAGGGTACGCGTCGTTCACCCTTTCCAAACACACAATATTTAACTTAAATATCTCACGTCCACTTTCTGATTTGCAGCGCTATGCACTCTTTCCAAATGTTCGTTAATGACGCTAACGAATTCGCCCAGGACGAGCGTATCCTCGAAGAAAAGGCGCAGCGCGGAGACGCGACGCCCAACCGATACCACGTCCTACATCGCAAGATCCGCGACCGCGAGGCGCAGCATGGCCATGGCCTCGACGCGCTCGTGCCCATCCTCGCGTCTTCCTCGGCGGAGCTACGGGCCGCGTGCGAGTCGGGCCTACTGTGCATCATGGACTTCTTGAAGGAGGCGAACACGCGCCGGTGGTCGTCCTTTGTGTTTAGGGCTACGCCCGAGCAGGTGGAGGATCGTCATAGGAAGCTTGGGAAGACGCTGAAGACGCTTGAGAATGCGTGGGACGATTTTAAGAGCGTTCAAAGGGTTAATTTGGTGAAGCCTTTTGAGGCGTTCTTTGACCCGCAGACGAGGCAGCTCAAGGACAACTCTGATACGTTTGCCACCAAGTGAGGGCCTCCAAAACTCAACAATTAATTTATCCCAACAATCTCCACAGGTCTTTGTTCATCTGCTTTGTCTTCATCGACACACTCGATTCTTTCTCCGAGCGCCTCATAAAGATGCTGAAGACGCTCCAAGAAATCGACGCCCAACGTCCGCAGCAAAGTTCTGGTTCCCCGGCCGGATCGCCCGCGTCAAAGAGAATATCACGGCAGGACACTTTACAGGCTCCGCTGGGATATCGATGGGCACCGCTGCAGACCCGACGTCATTCGATACTCCGCGGGAAAACAGTCTGGATGACTTGCTCGAGAGAGAAAAGGCTGCGGTTAGAGAGGCGGAGAAAGAGGACATAGCTGCACCGCCGAGTAAGCTCTTTCCTGTTGGCGTCATTGTCATGTTCGCGTAATTGACCATTCTATTCTGCAAAGAGCGACGCGACCCAGACGCCTTCCCACCCACAACAGCATTCGGGCGCTTCTTCGTTTCTCTCAAAGTTCTTCCGCTTCCTCAAGTCACCCGAGGGTATCTTCTCGCTCCGAGTCGCCGTCGTCTCATTCGCTCTCTGGATTCCTTCTGTCATACCCTCCAGTGCATGGTTCTATTACGAGCAAAAGGGAATGTGGGCTTTTGTCATGGCTCAGACTGCGCTCGCATTGTACGCTGGTGATCAAGTACGGCATGATTGTTTTTCATTGGAGCTTTCTCTAATGTGGCGCGTAATTGCAGATCATGAGTTTCCTGATTAGGATTATCGGAACGGTTGTTGGTCTCCTGCGTACGTTCTCCCTGCTTGCATGGAAATAGCGAATGGACATTTATTTGCTTGTATTTTCGTCTTACTCGACAGTCGGCATTGCAGTCTGGCATATTGGTGCCGGACACGGAAACGGCAATCCATATGGTATCGTGATCGCCTCGGTAAACATCCTGGGCGCCTACACCTTTTCTAGCCTTCTAATCCCCTTTTCAGACAATCTTCCTGCTCCTTTCGTATTCGCACGAATTGCCGGACCCCAGTCGCAAATCCCAATCTGGACCATGATTCCGACCACCATCCTCTTCGGTACGTAGCGACACGACAAATAATCGGCGTTGTGCTTATGATAATAGAGGCTTTGCGCAAAGCCAGCTGGAGCCAGTGGTGGCTCAAATGCGTTGCGCTGAGACCTTTAGCCAGCAGAACCTGAATATCAGACCGATGAATGCCATATATTAATATTACTTACATCTCTCTATAACCTCGTGTTTCCTGGAGGGCTCCACGCGATATCAGTCTGTGGGGTGGTTGATCAACGGTTGATCACGGTTGATATTTTCTGCTGGCTCAGTTTCCATATATAGGTTAGTTTCTGGAGATTGTCGTAGCTGCACGGATGAATACAATGAGATACTTGCATTGTCATTGAACTCCCCTGGCATCCAGACATACACGGTACTACATAAGACTAAGTTAAAAGAATAGTCACTAATTGGCCACTACTGGCTACACGACACAGCGCAACGTTTTTGAGCCAGCACTGGCTCCAGCTGGCTTTGCGCAAAGCCTCTAATCCACGAAGTCGTTGGATACAGCTGGATCAATGCAAATCACCCCAGTCTCACCGCTCCCGTGTCGGCATCCACTTGGGTTGGAAGCGAGCGTACGTCGATTTTCTTGCTTCCGTCTTCCACTTGTTCAACCCGATCTCCAGTCTCCTTGTTGTGGTCAGATTCACGGCAGCAGTAAGCCAGCATCCGCAGAATCACCTATATCCCCCTCTGATGTTGTACCTCACAGTTCATCATGATGGTATTCCCAAATCCCATGTCATCTCGTGTCCTCGTTCGGAAGACGCTGGCTGCGACGATCGGCGAGACTGGCAATATCCTTGCAGGAGAAATCGAGGCGTTTTTAGCCGAAGAGGCCAAAGCACGCTGTGGGCAGTATGACACTGTCCCGGTCAGCAATGACGCTGTGGTTGACGAAGACAAGGTGTCGCCGAAGGAGAAAAGAATACGAAAGATTGGGAAACGGGTGTTGGCAGTTGCGGTACGCCTTAGGTGCCATGGCCTGTGCGATAAGAGACTAATTGAGGGTTTTCTGTAGATGAGATTGAAAGAGTTGTACGAGTCCTTCACGTTCGCACGTTTTGAACCTCAGCTTGCGTAAGTCTTTTTTGACTGTATAGACGTTTCTTGATTCTGACCTATACACAGCGGGACATGGCCCCATGACGAGTACCACGAATTATTTAATCAGCAAGCAAGACTCATCGGAGGCCTCGTAATCCTGATAACTTCCCTAGCGAAGCAGGATACGAAATGGTGCAGCTTGCTGGTTCATGACCACTCGATCCATAGACACCGTTCATGAACCCGAACTTCGTAAGTCGGTTCCCCTTCCAGAGCACATACACGTCTAACTCATGACAATCACAGCTCTCCGACATCTTTACGACTCTGTCTATCCTCTCCAACTCTCTCAAAGACGGCCACCCTCTCCCCGCATACCTCCCCACCCTCCGCGACAGGCTCATCTATCACGAATACCACCCACGCGGGCACCATTCTTCCCTCTACTCACGCATCGTCCAGAAAGCCCGCCCAGTCGCCGCACAGAAACTGAACCTCGACCTGAAACTGGGCGAAAAACCGAACTCGAGCGGCAGGGACCTGCATATTCCCGGGTCGTTCTCGGAGGCGGATAGCTACACGGAGGTGGAGATGAGGAAGGCGGCGAGCCCTGCGAAGGTGGATGGGTCGAGTATGGGACTGGACATGGAGGAATTGACGTTGGATGTCCTAATGGTATGCTTTTCTGCTAGATGTTCTTTCCGGGATGCTTAATGCTAAACTGCTTGTTATAGGATGAGCAACTTCCTGCGCATTCTACAGCCGTAGTCGCGTTCTCGAGCCTCATCACCGTGAGCCTTGATTTTCTGATCTTATTCACCAGAGTCTGACGATTCTTCGTGACGTGTAGCGCATTGACGAAATGACCGAAATTGTCCGGAAGCTCTGTGGTGAGGCCGGCCACCTTCAGAGGATACGATTCTTTACAGCAGTATTATCTGGACCGGGAAGAGCGTGCGATTGGCGGAGGCTTCTCTGAGAGTCCTTGATTTGCTTCTAGAGGTCCTGAAGGGACGGAACCTTGTCATATTTTCCATGGTTCTGGGCTCAGGGGTCAAAGTTATCCACCCCGCCCTGCGTTGATATTTTTTTCTTCTTTTATCCCAACTTTCGCTCTTTTCCATTTTGGTAGACACCATACAGACACACTCCTTTCTCATACATTAGCCACGAGTGAATAATGATATCGTACACATCTGAACTTGCCTGTTGGATCCAGCTCAGCGACATCACAGAAACCCTCCGCTCTTCCCGCTCCCAAATCGATCTCCAAGCCCCTTCGCCTCTCTCAGCATCTTGTTCCGCTTGTCGTCGTCCATCAAGCGTCCGCCAAGACCCATGTCGCGCGAGTGGTCCCAAATTGCAGGGGGTTCTTTCTTCTCGGACGTGTCCACTTTGGTTGCGTGTTGGTCAACGAGTGCGGGACCACGTTTTACTCGCTGAAATAGATGACGAAGTCAGCGAGCTTCGCTACGAGAGGAAAAGAAATGGAAAAGCAAAACACATACCGTATAATCATCAACCCCCTTCCTTATCCTCTCCTCCTCTTGCCTTCTTCTACGTTTCCTGCTCTTCTCATCTTCGTCCTCAGCAGCAGGAGCATCCGTCACGCGTCGCTTCTTGCCCGACACCTCGTCAGAAAGGCGTTGGAGCCGCTCGGTGGGCGTTTCTGTCCACAGTGAGGGCTCGTTCCGTGACTTGGAGGAGGAATCGTGAGTCGAACGAGAGAATTGGCGGGCTTTTAGTCTGGTTGGGTCGAGGTCTGGACAAAATGATGTTGGTTTTATGGTACTGTACAGAGTGGTGGGGAGACGTACTTCCGAGAAGCCCTGAGTTCGTTGGTGGGACCAGCATCCATTCGTCGCGTTTAGGTGCTTTTGGTTTGGAGGCTTCCTATGCGTATATGCAAAAGACGGTCAGTGTTTAATTGCATTGATAAATCGAATGTTAGACGAGCCTCAGCAGCCTTCCGCATCTTCTCCTCCCTCTCCATAAATTCCTGCACCGCGTTCTTCTGCACGTGTTGTACCCCTGCAGGAAGGGGCATAGGCCCAACGTCGTCGTCGTCTGAGTCGTCATCATAGTCTGCCCTCCTGTCGCCCATTCCAGGAGGTAATGAGGGACCCATTGTTCGTTTGCCCTGTGCGCCTTGTGGAGGCATGGACGGTCCTGCAACGGGACGCGGAGAGCTCGTATTCGGTGGCGGTATCGTCGGTCCAATGCTCGGTCCCGCGCTAGGTCGCGGTCCCTCATCGTCTTCATCGTCATCATAGACTCGTATGTCAGCTTCGCGTTTCGAGTGGAGGTGTTTAGGTATTTGAGGCCCTATTGTGCTTGGACCGGGGGCATTTTCATCGGCAGACTTGTCGGAGGACTGAGGGTTGAGCTGTTTCAGGAGGTGTTCAGGGATTTGAGGGCCGATGGAGGCCATGGTTAGTCGTTGTTGGCGACAGCGACGATGACAAGCTGCTGAAAGACGTGCCGTGTGAATGGGCTTGCCGAACATTGCCGAACCGGCACCCCTAAATGACTTCGGGTCAGAGTGCGAACGTAGGATACAAGTACATGACTATGGGTACATAGTAAAGAATTTTGAGGCCTTTCAATTAGAGGAACGAGGAGATGGGTTACATAGCATGAGTCTTATCCCTGGCTTCCGCAATCTCTATTGCTGTGCCCCACTCCAGAGTGCTCCATTTATCGGGATGTTCCAACGCATCGTAGAAGTCCTTAAACGCCAACGCCATCTGCTGTGCGCACTTCTCAGCCGACACATTGCCTACACCAGTAGCCAACCCCGACATCAGCACTATTTGGATCGTATCACAATCTTCCCCTTCCTGCCCACCAGCCGCGGCGCTAACCCGGTCGTTGTGAGCGGTAATCTCGCTCAGCAACGCCCAGACGCAGTTGTACACGATCTCTCTGTCCCAGGTGACGCTCTCTGGAATGCGCATGGTCGGACAGAGGGCGATGAACTTGCAGCTGTGCTTGTTCGGGAAGCAGGTGGTGTCTTTCAGTGGGATGAGGGTACAGGTGCCCGGAGGGGCAAAGCCTTTCCACCGAGCGTAGAGCACCTGTTGTGTTATCCGAGTTACAGCAGCGAAGTCGTCGGGAGGTGCGAGGGTTTCAGAGATGTACCAGTCGAAACTATAGGAGAAACGACGAGTTAGCTGTGTCTTTCCCCGCTCGATCTTCGTAGGAATTGCGGGAGAGGATGTACTCAATAATCACCTCCCATCAAGCCGCCCATAACTGTTCGCTGGCGAAACGATGCAATCGAATTGTTTCTTGTTTTCTGGCAAATTATGCAGGAGAGAGTTCACAAACTCGAAGTTTCCTCGAGCGATAAGGTTGTGCTCCTTGAAGGCCTTCTCCCATGCCTTCACAAGAGGCCCAGACATATCAAGAAGGATGAATTTTGGAAGACCCATGCTGTCAAGTTGTTTGGGTTTCTTGAAAATCGAATGTGGTTGAGTCGGAGTCGCATGCTGTGCACACATAGGAGACCGCCAAGATTAGATCGGCTAGACCGCTTCGAGACTTTGGTGATCAGGCGCTCATGGAAGCGGACATTTCGGGGAACCTGTATAGGGTGTAAACCAGTGAACTCTACCTGACGGCATTTCTAATACTCTCGGCGGCCGACCTCTTGCGAGAAGTATCAGTCTGAGCCAAGCATCTTGCGGCCTCGGATTTCGACGAACCGAACGTTCACAAGGTCGACGATCGAACAGATCAGGATGGATTGTGCTAAAATTGCAAAGGAGGTGCTGAAAACAACTTGTATTCAAATAAATTACGCCTGACTTACGTATTAAGGTCCACAATCACGGCATTTCAAGATATCCTTCGCATATCAGTGCACCGGCCTTTATACAAAGAATTTCGTTTGGATAAGGTTAGGATAAAGTTATAATCGAGCGCTGACCTCGTGATTGCGGTTAACTCGCACACCTGCCCCTAAGAAACCTTTGGTCTTATACTCCATTGTCAAACTGTTCAAAAAATCCTCCAGGTGCTTCTGTTCATCCTTACGTTGAACCTGAGTCCAACGCTCTACGACAGCTTCTGTGATTGATCATCACACAACCACCCTCTAAGTATGTACGATTCCATACCTCTTTGTTCGAAACCATCTGTCATAATCCATCCTGATCCCGTCGCAGACCGTTGTAGCTCGTGGACATCTGAATACAGAATGCTTTCTTCGCAGAGCAGTCACCGAGGTCCATTATTGAGGTTCGCTGAGCCCCAACCTCATCATGAAATGATCAATGATTGGCGGTCTGCACTTCATTGAGTTGCCCGATCGATCGTCCAAATATGGAAGAAGTCGGGATCGGGAATTGATCGAGTTCTGGGATCAGTGCGCCACACGGCGCTCGGCGGCCCACTTCCAAGCTTATCATTCTCTGAACAGCCATAGGCCATTCAGATGGTCCCGGAAGGCGAATGGAAGAAGTATTTCATGCTACAGCTTGAAGGACATCACGGCTCTGCAAAGGTGAAGAGAAACTGTCAATCAGACGTTATGCCGGACATATTTTCCGAACACTGATCAGCAGAGTCATGGTTCTATCAAACCATCTATCTAGCTTTCTGTAACGACGAGAAGCAGGTCAGCCACACGACGAAGAAGATACAGGCATGTATACGGCGAATGGTACTGCATCGGTACCTTCTATTCACCCCTGCTCGACTTCACCAACAAACAGGCGCCCAATCCCACTCTTCCTCCTGGCCTCGTTCTTCTCCCCCGCTCACCCACTTCCTATACTATGAGTCATACAACACTCGACATTCGTACTCTGTGTGGTACCGCGGCACATCATAATGGCTAGCTCTCGTTATCGCCTCGTCGCACTCGCTATGGCTTCCCTGAATGACCAGCACCTTTCCTCCTGCTTCCTCGAGCTTCTCGAGCCTCGCACATAAGCATGTGTTCTTTGCTTAGGCACTGTCTAGGTATGTCCGAATACCCTGTCGAGGATGCTCATGTACATGAAAGCGAGGCTGTCGATTCTCCGGAAGGCCATTACGATGAAGAGATGTCCTTTGGACATAGCATCTTTGATGAGAGGAGCGTAACAGGTTTTGAAGCAGGTTCAGTGAGCTTCAAGTGCTCCAGAGATGAATGCAACTGGATTTTACTTTCTCGTCGCAGCGAGGACTGTGGGCGTCTTGGCGCTGTGATTAGGCGTCTCGGCATTGTGACTAGGCGTCTTGGCGTTGCCATTAGGGGAGAGTCAAAGCTGCCATAGACGATGTGTATATCTGAAAGATATTTTCGAAGCATAAACCACCCGCAACAATTCACAAAGACCTTCGAGAACTCTCCTTTTGCCGAGAAAAATGTCGAGACAGTGACAACACCGTCCCGGTTCATCCAGACGCTCTTGATTTTCGTTGAGTGGTGCGCAATATTCACTGTCCTCTGACGTGATTTGACACCATGACAAAAGTTAAACCTGTGCTTCGGGACTCGTAGTTGGTGTCAGAGAAACAGATAGATACGCATTATTACATCGATTTTAGGAGGCTCTGCAAAGACGCCGGCTAGGATTAACTTCTTAACGCCGGTTGGTCTACGCCAACAGAAGATTGGAAGGGATTGCCCTGATCCTGGATGGTCGAAAGTCGACCTCTGTTCTCTGATTTTTAGTGATAGACGTTGCTAGAAAGGGTGGAACACAGGAGAAGGATTGGAGGAACATCTTTGTTCGCCATTGCTACTAGTTCCGCTGCCGAACCTGGCCGAAACTAAGTCCTAATCATCATCCTATATCTACCCTCTTCCACCCCGAATTTATCATTACAGTCCTCTATTTTTTGACCGCGGCGAAGAGATGATTTTCCATAATGCAAGCCACCAATAACACAGTGAAATCAATGATCTCACTCACAGGAATTGTTCTCGACGAATGTCAGCTGCTACTGCTCAAGAGCGCCCGAGTCGCTACCATGTGGACATTATCTCACAAACTCAATGCGAGCTCCTCCGAGAACCAAAATATCCTATTGTACCATTGCAAAAATAAGCCAATGTGAGATCATCTACAGATCCTCTCCTACGTGGAATTGTCGATACCAAAGTAAGCAACTCTGGCGCTGTCCATCATTCCTATTCTGGATCTCACAGATCGTCGCAAGTGGTCAGCGGAGGTGTTGTCTCTCAAATCGAAGCCACAGGACGTTCAGAAAAGATGGCCGTAATCTAGCCGTAGTAAAATACACTCCTATCGCCTCGCTTGTACGAACTCGGAGGTCTGCAAGACGATCTATGGCGTGTTGGACGCGTTCAGATGCCACAATGCAGGTGTCGACTTGGTGATTGTGGCTCTGCGTGGTCATGAGCTCGAGGTAAGACAGCTTGGGTCTTTGGGCGTATAAAAGGAGGAGGTTTGTCTCCCTAGACTCTCCAGTGCCCGGTGCATCTACAACAACTACTAGGTACATCTCCCCGCATTCCCTCGACATCGTTGATCTCCAAAGACTGATATTCGACAATGATCTTCTAGGCTGGTCCTACGTTGCAATCGACTTGATCGACTTCAAATTAAACTCACCTGGTACGTGAATACCTCTCCTTGTTCACCTGAATGGGTTGCTGACGCTCGATTGACAGACTACACTCACCTCCTTACCGCCCCCTTCAATATCAAAAATTCAAAATGAAATTCTCTACTCAAGTCCAAGCCGCCCTCGTCGCCACCGCCATCATTGGCGTCCCAGCTGTCCTCGGAACTGTCAGTCAACTTTCTTATATAATTTTATACCATTCATTCACAAAAAAAAATCCAGGAGACCGAAACCGTCGAGCTCGAGGCGCGCAGGGGTCGCTCTTCCGGAATCGGACGGGCCATCGGTTCGATTGCAGGCACTTATGTCTCTCACCGCCTCAATCAGCGCGAGGAACCTAAAGTCGAAGCTCGTTCGGACGAGGTTGTCGATGCTCGTTCAGACAATGTTGCCGAAGTCGAAGCCCGCTCAGACAATGCCGCCGAAGTCGAAGCCCGCTCAGACAACACCGCCGACGTCGAAGCCCGTTCAGACGACGTCGCCGACGTCGAGGCCCGCTCAGACGACATCGTCGACCTCGAAGCTCGCCGAGGCCGCGGTGCCCGCGCAGGAAAGGCGCTCGGTCACGTCCTTGGCCACGCCGCGCATTCCTTCGCAGGCTCTTTTGCCCAACGCGACCTCAGCGAAGTTTCCGAACTTGAAGCTCGTCGTGGTACCATCGGTGGTGGTCGCGGTGGTCACGGTCCAAGACTTCCAAGCCCCCGCCCTCGCCCCCGCCGTAAGCGCGATCTCGACGAAATTGACGAGCTCGAGGCGCGCAGACTCGCTCGCCCAGTCGGTTCAGGCGGCTTCAGCCCAGGTGGACGCGGTAGATTCGGTGGACACGGCGGATTCGGTGGCCGCCGCCCCCGGGATCTCGACGAAGTTTTGGACCTTGAAGCTCGTCGTGGTCCCTTCCGCGGTGGTCCCGGTCCTGTTTCACGCCCCCATCCCCGCCCCCGCCGTAAGCGCGATCTTGACGAAGTTTCCGACCTCGAAGCCCGTCGTTTCGTCGGCGGTGGTGGTCGAGGTCCTGTTGCACGCCCCCGTCCCCGCCCCCGCCCCCGCCCCCGCGACGTCGACGATATCGTCGATCTCGAAGCCCGCCGGGGCCGCGCAGCTTTGAGGAAGGTCGGCCATGGCATTAAACACGTTGCCAGCGGCTTTGCTAGCGCGTTTGCGGGCCGGGATATGGGTGACATCGAAGAGCTCGAGGCCCGCCGTGGTCGCTTCGGTCGCTTCGGAGGAAAGAGAAGACTTGCAGCTCAAGAACAGGTACGCTAACCTCAAAAAATTTTTTGGAGTGAAATCGCTGACATTATTCTTAGGAGTCTCGGGAATTGAACGAAGAGTCTGAACTCCTGCAGCGAGAAGTGGACGAGGTCGAGGAGCTGCTCACGCGTGAGTTTGAAGCCGACAATCTCGATTAGATAATCCGTTCGCGGGTCACCGGGATACAGTTCTATCTGCTTGATAGATCTGTCAATCACGCCTACCATATGTACCACAATGTACCATATGTACTATCTGTACCATCACAAATAATGTATTTATTCGCAGCAAACGAATCAGCAAACTCGTGACGAGGACGGGAAGTGCATGATCTAGCGTCTTCCGACTCTTCGTCCATCTCATGTTCTGCGCTAATCTCGGGAGGACATCCGTGGGAAACTGATGGGCATTGCCACAAACGGCAACGAGCGCCACGTTCCATTTTCACCAATGCTCTTATCCGTTCTCTCTACTTCCCATTCTACCTGCCTATCGTACATACATCTTGCTGCTGTAGGTGGAGGAGTGAAGCAACAAGGTATGAGTTTCAATCTGTCCGTGGCCAATTTCCGAACACTCTGAAACTGGCCAAGGGAACAGTTCTATCAAGAACCATGATTGATGAACTTATGGCAGTACGTGACATCTTGTTTCCTGGGCACAATCAAACATGGAGCTCTCTGGCGTCTGGAGACTCCTCGAAGGAGGTTTTCATCAAGCATGTACCCCCCCGAAACGCACCGCAAAACAAGAAGGGAGGTGAGCGTGAGATGGGCGTTACCATATTCGCTAATGATACCTCCATCTGTGTAGTGTTGAGAGCCTTGAACGTGCAACTTGGCGTAAGTAATAATGAAACCTTCAAGGTCTATTGCGTCAAGCAGAGCAGGATCAGGCAAGTATTGCTTCGCCCTCAAACCCGAAGTGGAGAAGATCATGCTCCACTGTGTTACGCGGACGCGTTGTGTTCGCATCTTGGAGATACGGCGTCGTCTGGGCGTTCGGGCGCCCAGGTAGTACCCGACCCTGGCCGTGCGTATAAAAGAGGCGCCATGTCCCAATCGACGCTCCAGTGCCCGGTGCATACAACAATCTAGGTATTCACCCCTCTGCTCGACGTCTCATCTACGTCGTGTGCTAATCATCGACGATGAACACTCCAGGCTGGTCCTATATTGCAATCTTCCATCGATCCAGACCACCCTCTTTAAATTCAAAATCAAGATGCGTTTCTCTCAAGTCCAAGTCGCTCTCCTCGCCACCGCCCTCGTCGGTGCCCCCGCAGTCCTTGCCAACGTACGCCCCTCCTTTCCTATATCCTCATGACGTCCTAACGGCGAGTTTAGGAGGCTGATGAGGTTACATCCGTCAATGCCCGTGAGGCGACAGTTGAAGTTGAGGCTCGTCAAGAGGTGAGTAAATTTTGAAACCTCCCTCCGCGACTGAATTGTGAACGCATTGTTTTTATTCTAGGCACCCGTCGCCGAATTCGAAGCTCGCGACGAAGCCATCGAGCTCGAAGCCCGCCATGGTCGAGGTGCAAGATTCGGCCATGCCCTTGGCCGCATTGTTGGTACCTACGCCTCCCACCGCATGCAACAAGGACGGCGTGATCTGGACGATGTCATCGACCTTGAGGCACGTCACGGTAGTGGTCGGGGTATTGGCCGTGCAATTGGCCACGGACTCAGACACGTCGCCAAGGGCTTCGCCCACTCCTTCTCCCAGCAGCGGCGCGACTTGACTGACGTCGAGGACCTCGAAGCTCGCCGCGGTGGAGGCGGAGGCGGAGGCGGAGGCCACTGGCACCACAGGCGCGACCTCAACGAGGTAGAAGAGCTCGAAGCCCGCCGTGGTGGAGGGGGAGGCGGAGGTCACTGGCACCACTCGCGCGATCTTGCCGACATGGAAGAGCTCGAAGCACGTCGTGGTGGTGGAGGCGGAGGCGGAGGCCACTGGCACCACAGGCGCGACCTCAACGAGGTAGAAGAGCTTGAAGCCCGCCGTGGTGGAGGCGGAGGTGGAGGCGGAGGTCACTGGCACCACTCACGCGACCTCAACGAGGTAGAAGAGCTCGAAGCCCGCCGTGGTGGAGGCGGAGGCGGGGGTCACTGGCACCACTCGCGCGATCTTGCCGATATGGAGGAGCTCGAAGCTCGCCGTGGTGGAGGCGGAGGCGGAGGCGGAGGTCACTGGCACCATAGGCGCGACCTCACCAACATGGAAGATCGCCGGGAATTGACTGAGGAACCCGAAGTCCTCCAGAGGCGCATCGACGACTTTGAGGCTCTCCTCGCTCGCTATGCCGAATCTGAGGCCGCTCAGCTCGACTAAGCGATCCTTTCCTAGGCTCGGGAAAATATATGTAACTATGCATTCTTAGTAGCGCCTTCTATCTCATTCACATTCTATATCATCATACATGGGCATTGGTATCTTACATGGGGCAATACAAGTGTATAGTACATAGGATTTTTACGACGAATTCACACATGCTTTCGCGTATTTTGTTGGGGTGTTCCAAGCCATCTTCCAAGTTTTGATCAATTCGGCGCTGTTCTACAAGCAAGCTATCTAAAACGGGCGTCTAAGCTCATCTCACCAACTCTTTTAACTTGGTCTTCTGTCAACCCCAAACCATACGGTGGTTTCGCCAGGAGGAGTGCATATTCTGCGACAAGAGAGGTCTTGAAGGGAAGGATATCGTCCGTCTACCAGAGCGATGAGCGTTGAGCGTACGGCAACTTGATACTCCGAAGGGCTCGACTCACGCAGATTGCTATTGGGTGATCCGCCTTCAAGTACTGCCCGATGTGATGGACCTCCAGGTTCGACACCGTTTTGCATCTGAACAACAATGAATTGGCATGAATAAGCTTCGAGAGGGCGTCATACGACATACAACAGGTTGGAAGTGAGGCATATTTCGATGCACATCTTCTTATCTAATACGATGGAGATAGCTTCGTCATTCAGGAAAGTGGCATGGCCGAGACGATTCGGACGGTAGGATAGGAGTTGAAGGGTCTCTTCGGGTGTGTTGTGGACGGTCTGGCCAACGATATCAACCTTCTTATCCAAGAAAACGGTCGCCCGACGCACCTCAGCGATATGCACAGTCAATCCCAATCCGGCGTCCTTGATTTGCGCGAAATATGGCTCGAATTTCGTCATATCCCCAGCAGTAGGGTCGCCGCACAGGTCGACTGCGATAATGCGTTTCCCCTCCTTCCTCAATGCGTAGGCGATGTCCACGATCTCCTTGATCACCTCTTCGCTCATCTTTCTATCCAAGCTAACAATCAAACCAACTTGGCCTGGCTCGTATCGATCCAGCTCAGCCAATACGGTGCGGAGGTACTTCTCCCTGTCCATCGCGTCCGTCTGTTTCGGGGTCGTCCTCAACTCGAGGTGGTTGCACTGTGGCGGCCTGCCATCGAGGAAGGCGCTGAGAACAGCACGTGTAGCGCGTGCCAACGCAGCGGGGGTGGAGGTTAACGCGTAGATCGCGGGGAAGAGACCGAAGAAGTCGTGGATCTCGTCGAGTTTGGGACCTTTGGAGAGGACATCGATCCCTTGCTTTATGGCTTCGTTGGAGATGGCTCCTTGCCCGGACGAAGACGCTAGATATTCGGAGGCAAGCTGCTGGAGAGTAGGCAGGGGGATTGAGCCGTTGAGGTGCGCATGAAGCTCGGCTTTGGGCACAGATTCCAGGAATTGGATCTGGGTAGGTGTGAGGGTGTTCAAGGCAGCAGCCGCGGGTCCTGCGACTTCCATTGAGCGATATCTGGTCTGAAACTGAGCTCAACGTAGATTTTGTGCTCTGTGGCTCTCCTTCCGGTAAAGAAGCTGGGAGAACCGACGTGAGTCATATTTTGCCTTCAGCACACCATATGCACCTCCGACTATTCGGGGAAATTTCTTCTCGTATTCTACTGAGAGACAAATTACGCTTCTGACAGGCATCTTTCTGCTGCCCTCTGGAGAATAGAGCGGGGTTAGCCCGAGGGGAAGGAAGGGAGGAAACAGGAGGCTTACCTAATAAGCATACGCTTTCCTTCCACCTCCACCTCCACCGCAAACGCCGACCTCGAGGGTAGAAACCGCTACGGACCTTGTCAGTCTGTTTGAATCGTCAGAAATGCACGTCTTTTTGATTTGCCTCAAGTTTTGTTGACATGACTGGATTTAACGGACTTCGACGCTCAACGGACGTCACAGTGGCTGGACGGAACATCCCTCACTGCTCAGGCTGTTGCCTACCCGTGTCTCAGAGAGTGGCATTTACTTACGTCGGGCTTATACAGCGCCTTCTTCGTGTCCCTTCGATTGCCTGACGATGACCGAGTATGCCCTATACGGCGAGCTCAACGGGAAACCCTCCAACCTATGCGTCATATGGCATAGCTTATTGCTGGCACCTTATGCTAGCTTATGCTCTCCAACTGGATACTGGACTCGCTTATAACGAAGAGCAATCCTCGATCGATCATCCTTGCGTGAGCTGGCAGTGGTCTTCAAGAAACACAAGTAAAAACACGGACAGCATTTAGCGTCGCCCTCGTCCCCCATTCCCTCTTGTTCTTCATACACTCCAACCAAAGTCTTCACCATGGTAGCCCCCATCGACGGACTCGCAGACGCCCCAGGTACTGGCTTCGAGCCAGGAAAGAAGAACACCGCCTTGCAGATGCACGTCGCCTTCTTCGACACCGACAACGATGGGATCATCTGGCCGACGGATACGTCAGTTCCTCATCCCTGGACCCGCCTTCACTGGCCTATTGAGACACCGGCAGCTGACTCTCTCATGCCTTATTTCTAGATACGCGGGGATGAGAGATATCAAGTTTGGCGTCGTACTGGCCTTCCTGTCTGCTATGATCATTCATAGCGGCTTTTCGTGCGTCTTCATACGGTTTTCTCATGAGACGGCCTGTTCAGCGTGCAACAATGTCTATCTGCAGTTACATGTCCTGGGGAACGTACCTCCCTGACCCGTTATTTCGTCTCAGAATAAACCGTATGCATCGAGTACGTCTTCCACCTCCCTTTCCTCGTTTCCTCCGCAATATCTGACGATGCCATGTGCTTTATAGGCCATCCACGGCTCAGACTCACGCTCGTACACCACCACCGGCGAGTTCGACGACAACCGCTTCAACCTCATCTTCGACATGTACTCTTCCGCCCCGCATACCCACCTTACGTTCTCGGAAGGGTGGCGTATGTACCGTGGAAATATGAATGCCTCCGACGCTGTAGGTTCTTCTCCGATTACTTTTACGAAGTTAATTGGCGATTGACGTGTCGGAAGTTTGGGTGGTTCGCCTCTGCGTTCGAATGGCTCGCGACGTATATCATGCTCTGGCCTACTGACCCGAAGGGAATGGCCAAGGAGGACGTGAAAGCGGTATTTAATGTGGGTCGCTTCTCGCTTGTTCCGTTCGTCGTTGTATCTAACACGGAGGCTTGAAAGGGCTCCATCTTTTACCGTATTTCGGGGAGGAAGCCCAAGCTCTAGATGGAAGTCTCACGCAGGGACTTACAAGGACTGTTATCGATTCGATTGCATAGCTACGTCAGATTTTTCGTACTATAATATAGGCTTATTTTTCAGACGGAGAAACCCACCACCACTGTGCCAGCCTTTTCTCGCCTCCAATATCATCTTCTGCGAATCTGTTCGATCCCAGGCTAGCATCCGAAAGCCTCGACTCCCTACCTCCACAACCCCGCAGTTTGTTCAGGTAACAGAAACACAAGAAATATGATACTCGATGGTAAGATTCAAAATACTCGTGGCTTCATTTCTTCAAGACGTTCGGAGTGTCCAGCACCGACCAAACCATATCGCCTTAAGGACCCGCCTTGATTTTAAATAAGTTGTGTAATGTTCCTAACAGATTGGCACTGAAACTTGAAAGCCTGAGGTGAGCTACAAGCTCCCTACTTGCTTATTAAACTTTAATTCCATTGCATAGAGTATAATCAACGTGCCCTGCCCTTCTAATGCCATTAGTTTTCGACCGGACGAGCACGCTCCGGTCCACTCAGGTGTCACGGCAAGGTGATGTCAAAGAAAGCGGGTGGCTTTGTCGACAACCACCATCGCCGCTGGCGAATTGCTAATCGTTTAGGCTCAAGAGCGCTCGCTGTTTAATAACAAATACGATTCTTACGGCGTCTATTTTTCAACGGGCGCGCAGCCCTACATGGCTCTTCAGGTTGCATGAACGTTCTGGAGGGTCGAGGGGTGTCACGGTTGTTGGATGGTTATAACTGAGTGCGTCTTGCGTTGAGCTATGCTATAATGACTGATTCCTTGTACTAGATCCCAGAGGGGGCCAACTTTAATAAACCTATCCACTCATAGCCTCTACAATTGAATTCATGAAGCTATTTATACCTTAGAGACTTTCATCTCAATCGCTGACTGTCAAGGGAGTCCTACCATCAGTTGGTACGGCTCTACGAAACAGTTATCTACCGAGTCTTTCAACAGTCGAATCCCATTGCGGAATGGCCCATTCGAACCTCGCCAAGCTTCTCTTGCTGTTTTTCTGTGCCACAATCGCCTCCCTTGCGCATGGCCAATTCATAACTGGAATACCGTCGATCGTCCCGCTCGCCGTACTTGAACCTATGGGCGAGAATACGCGACTCCGATGGGAATCCTATTCAAGAGTGGCTGAAGATGTGGAACGGGCGGGTGAGCGTTCCCTCATTACCACCTTATGCGAAGTCTAAACAACGTTCTCAGGGCGTTGGAACTGTAGGAATGGTCCGCGTCAATGCATACTTACCAATGGCATGGAATTGAGGCAGGAATACCGACTGCCAATATCACTATGACTTACATGACGGCCACAAGAACAATATCTACCGTTGAAGCAGGCCCTGTTTGGTTCAATGTGACATACTTGAGCCCAGTCGACACTGTGGGCAGCCGAAGCTCCTAAAAAAACCGCCTCGGAATAGCACTGATATCTACGGTATCCTGTATGCACCGTAAACTACCGCCTGTTGTAGCCTTATTTTAACCTGCAATACAACCGGAGTATTAGGGGTTTCAAGCACCGAAAAAAGGCGGAAAGACGTGGCAAAAACCCCAAATTTCAGTGCACTATGCCGTCTTTTCTGGCGCTTCGAAACCGTTATTTTAGGTGCATTGGAACGCACCGCCCTTCGACGCTTCATCTCTGCGCCTTTTTTACTTGCTCGGAAAAGCCACTAATTTCTCTGCTTTCGAAAAGCAGTTTTATTCGGTGGTTCTACATTGCTGCTCTTTTGCCTGCAATACGAAGCTGTTCTAATACCTGATTCTACGATGCTGCGGTTTCCCCTGCGCTGTGAATACGTTCTAAACCTTGAATCCATGATACTGCGAAATTTCCTGCGCTGTGAATACCGTTCTAATCCCTGATTCTCCCATGTGGTGAATTTTGTGTATTTCGTGATACCGCCTTTTGAGCTGCGCACCGTCTGCCACGAAATTAGGCGGCCTTGTGATGTCGCCTTCGAGCCATGTGCCACCTGCAGTGAAATTGAGCGCTGTCCCGGGTAGACAGCTCGATGCGTACCGGCACATCCGGGGTAATCTCATGATGGCAAGCTTGTCTGAGGCGCATTGGAAAAGCTTCTCGAGAAGGCAGGTAGCAACACTCACCTTCTTCCTGCTCAATCGCAACGGTTCGCCAGTCCTCGGTGCGTCCTTTGGTGTGTTGTATGCCACGGTCTGTAACAATACCAAATGCAAATTTAAACTTACATGAATGGCGGTTACGCGGTGGAACATAACTCCATATGAGTAACTGTCCTGGCGCAACTTTTCCACCTCGAATGGGGTTAGTCCCGTATCGTCCTCAATGAGAATATTGGCGATCCCAGGAATGGCGACGAGGTCCAGGAATTGGCGATAAGTGAGTGTCCATCCCTGCATGCCAGTCCACCAGGTTTCCAGCGGTCCGATCATCTTCTCTAGGACGACATCAGCCATTATACGCGCGATTTTTGGCTCCGTGGTATCTTGCGGGTATGTTTTGACAAACCAGTCCTCGATGATCTTCATTGACATGGGCCCGTAACTGCACCGTGTTAGCAAACAAATATGAAACCAATCGAGCAAAACATACTAGCTGGCGTGCAGGTTGGCACGCATCATGTCATACAGCCTCTTATCTTCCCAGTGGGACAGATCCTCGGCGTTTGCGCCTGCCTTTTGCAATGATTTGACGAGCGACAACCACAGGTAGCAGAGATCCAAGACAATCTCATTGTCAGTTAGCCCAAAAATCTGTTCCTCCAGATCTGTTAAACGATCCGGAAGAGATTTGAAGTCAACATTCAGGGGCCAGTCCAACTCCTGGGCCATATTTGCGACAGCCGCTCTGAGTTCGTCATGAACTTGCACATTCAGTTTGTCTCTGTGCTCCGGGGTGAGGTTGGCGCCGTTGATGAGTTTATCCAGCGTCCGCTTTAATTTTTGGGTGAGTCCGTCCACGGGAATGCTCACACACCCGTCGTGGGGGCACCTCTGAATGTCCATGCACTGTCCGATATATTTGTTAGCATCAACTCATATTGGTCGGAGAGATGTACCTGTTTCTTCGCTGGAGGCCTGCTCGATTCTTGTGAATCATCACTCTTTCTCTGAAAAAAAAGGATTAGAATATAAAGGAATCATGATTTCATCATACTTTTTGCGCAGCCTGTAAGCAACTGATTAGTACGTGAACTGCACAATAATATGTTTCAGTACATGTGAACAAGTGGTGCGCATCGCCGGTGGAGGCGCCGCGTTCCGAAGTGACTTGCCCTTGCCGGACGCGCTCTTTGTCTTCACGGCCCCAGGCCCATCAGATTCTGTCACGCGGTCAATAGGCGGTGTGGCCATGGCTTCGGAGGTGGCCTGGACTTTCTCGGTCACCGAGGGCGCCGAGGGCCTTGTCCTGTTTGTGATTGTCGCAAAGGGAGGGGTTTGCACGTAGATCTCATTGAAACATGCTTCCTCAGGTGCTTTGAGCCAGTCTGAAGTGGGCACTGAATTTGGTGCGTTATCAGGCGGTAAAGGCGTCGGAGCGCTGGATGCAGCGACAGGCTTTGGGACGGGGGCAGGCTTTGAGGCAGCGACAGGCCTCAGGGCGGCGACAGGCTTTGAGATGGCGGCAGGCTCTGAGACGGCAGCGGGCTTTGAGACGGCGACAGGCCTAGGGGCAGCGACAGGCTTTGAGATGGCAGCAGGCTCTGAGACGGCAGCGGGCTTTGAGACGGCGACAGGCCTAGGGGCAGCGACAGGCTTTGAGATGGCAGCAGGCTCTGAGACGGCGACAGGCCTTGGGGCGGCGGTGTTGCAAGGAGTGGAAGCAGCACCAGGTCGAGGAGTCCCGGTGGCCTGGCGAGGAGCAGAACCTGGATTCGAGGCTCCTGTCGCCTGGCAAGCAGCAGAAGTGGCAGCCTCCGGTGCATCTTGAGCATTGCGAGCTGTGCATCCGGCATCAATGGCATACTGGGTGGGAGCCAGTTTCCGCTCTTTCGTCTTGGAGGACTTGGCTCTGGGTTTAGGAGGGTCAACCGTGGTCGGCCTTGCGCGTTCATGATTGATCTAGTAGTATTATTATCTGCCAACAAAAAAGGAAGGCAAATACCTCGGGCATCTCACAATCCTCGCTGTCCTACAACGAAACATTAAATGAAGAAGTTTTCATCAAGAGATACAACACGAACCTCGCCTCTTCTCGAGGTCCTTTTCTTCTTCTTTTTGCCTTTCTGGCTCTTGGTAGCTTTGTCATCGCCACCCTTGCCTAAACAATAAGCACAGGCCTCTTCGAGATAGTGTACTTCAGTAGGCATGTCTTTGTAGTATTGCCTATAACCCGAAGCTTTGTTCTCCAGATACTCCATCAGTATCTCCTTGATCACCCATCCCTCTTTGTATTGTCGGTAAACTGGGTAGTTGTTCATCAACTAGGCGCATATAATCAGCAATCGCACCTTCGACCAGCATCCTCATACCGCTCGCATCATAGCCTCCTTATTTTTGTGGTTCTGTTTGGACCACGTCTTGGTGAGATTGAGGAACACGGAGGCGTACACGCGACACATTCCCTAAGGTGAGTATATACGTGTTTATGGGAATGTATGGGCGCATAAGGCTTACTTTCACCGTGTTAACCTGCTCAACTGTCTCGAAGGCCAAAACATTATTGAGAGCGAAGCCACTGTCTTTCCTGCCTCGTCGACCTTCTGGATGAGGCAGAGGTTTCCCCACATCATCGTCTTCTTCCAAGAGTCTCGCCCGCTGTTCCCCTGAGCTACACATCAGTTGGCACCCAGCGAACAACCTCGATGACTTACGGTTTTCCTTTCTGAGGGACGAATTCTCCTTTTCCAGCACTCCCGCCCTTTCCACGTTTCTTGTGAGTCGATCATATTCTTCTTGGGTTATCTGAGGCATCTTCCTATGTCATTGTTCACGGTCTGGGCGATCAAGCGAGATCAGGGTTTGATAAGTCAGGGGCACACAATCAGGGTCGTGGTGGTAAGAGACGAAAGAGGAAAGTAGGGTGTAGGGTTCTTTTGGAACATGTCAGGTCACGTGCTGTTACATAAGACACACATGACATAGTGAAGCGCAAAAATCGTTAAGTCCGTCCTACCGTCCGTACACGCAGGCCAAATGTGTAGTAAAAACAATAAGATCCTTTTCACCTTTGCCAGGACGTGTGCCAGCCACCTGGATTGTACATGATTCCTCATCTATTGAACGAACTTTGAATATTTTCCCTGCCATGGGGCCCGCAGTGACTGTAACAAAGTCGCCTGTCATATCGGGAACCACAGGTTGCAGGTTGGCAATGTTGATGGTACGTTCTCCTCGGAGTTGCAGGTCCTTGACATGGACTTGATCACCAGACACAGAAACAAATTCGAGCGCCTTCCAGTTAACAGTGTTCTTCTCTAGGAGCTTTGCACGAACACGTTCGAAATGAGGGTCTTTTAGCCAAGACATATCACGGTCTTCCATAGGAATAGAGGCAGCAGACACCATGGAAGGTGGACCTAGAGATGAAAGGGCCAGAGTACGAGAGGACGGATCCCAAGCAGGAGTCTTTGATGGTATGTATTCAGAAGCGGTGGGCATCAGCATTTTCGAGGTGCTTGCTCCGTCGGTGTACTCGGGTTTTCAGCCTGGAAGGAACACTCGGCGACAGATACACTGCCAGGAGGATTTTTCAACCCAATAATCTTGTCAGTAACCTCGTCATTTTCCCTAGAGTGATTCATTAGTAAATCTCATGAACCAACTTGAATAATCCTACAAATGAGCCAAGTTCTCTAACGGGATCGGGAGGCGCTGGTGCGTAGTCAGCCATGTAGGCTAGAATTATCTATGAAACTAGCCTACTGGCAATTCTCATTCATAAATCATAGCTGCCAGTAGGCAGCCAGGCTTTTTTATATGTTCTGCTGGGCTTGCCAGGGTTCGGGGCTGTCTGCCGAAGCTGTGGGAGCAGTAAACAATGACCAAACAATGCTCGGGGACATTGAATGGGGTGCTCGTCGTCATTGAGGACGGGACGGGGCATGGGAAAGCTTCCATATCGGGTGCGACACAGGAGATGGCCTCTCTGGGATGCCCAGCAATGTAACTGGCCTCTAGCTCACTGTTTGGGACAGCGGGCAGCACCAGTCTTTGGAATTATAATGTCGGGGTAAATTGTTACCTATTTCAGGTGTTTGCGCGCCTCGCAGAGGGCGGGACGGGGTGGATGGGTGAGGGAGTGTTTGGATGTTGTTCTATTTTTAGAACACGACATCCGGGGAGCTCGAACACACACGAAAAAACCACAAAAATCATATTAAATTGAAATAAAATTATTACATGACATGGGTGGCTCTACTAGCCACCCACTCAAGGTATATAGACAAAACGAGCAGAAATGGCGTTCATGGTGCATCATTTCTGCTCGGGGGACCCGCCTTGCTCACCCTTGCATCGTTGTGGGTCGCACCCGCCTTTGCGCCATACTGGCCATGCTCACCCTCACCTTGTGCTGGTCTTGCTTGGGGTTGTGCAGTGGCAATCCTTCTCGGGCTCATGCCATTGTCGTTGTCGTGTCGTCATCGTGCTGTCCTCCTCATCGTCGTGTCGTCATCGTGCTGTCCTCCTCATCGTCGTGCTGTCCTCCTCGTCGTCGTGCCCTCGTCCTCGTCATGCCGCTGCCGCTGCCGCCATCGTTGTCGTCCTTGACGTACTGTCCTCCTTGTTGTGCCGTCGTTGTCCCATCATTGTCGTCCTCGTTGTGCCGTCATCGTCCTCGTTGTGCTGTCATCCACGTCCTCGTCCTCGTGTCGTCATTGTCATTGTCGTCCTTGACATACTGTCCTCATCGTTGTGCTGTTGTTGTTGTTGTTGTTGTTGTGCTGCCCTTGTCATCATTGTGCTGCCCTTGTCATCGTCGTCGTGCTGTTCTCATCCTCGTCATGCTGTCGTCCTCTGCGTGTCATCTCTGAGATACAGTGGCTTCGAAGGAGAAGGGAGGAGGCGACGAGAGGCGAGGGGAAGTGGCTGCGCCATGTGGTAGGTGGCTGCTTAGAGCAAGCAAGCCACGTCCCGGTTGAAGGGCAAGTGTTTGGGTGGAAAGTGGGGTGGTTGGATGGTCGGGGTGAGGTGGTATGGCAAGGTGGTATGGCGAGGAGGCGTGGTGATGAGCGAGTGGGCAGGTGGGGCCGGAGAAGGCTTGCACAAGCGTGCATTGCTCGCCCTGCCTCCGTCGTCGGGTCGTCGCTGTCTGTTTACCCGGTCGTCATCAGCTCATCTCGCCATCATAGGCCCATCCTGCTGTTGTCTGCTCATCCCGGGTCCAACCCCGCTGCTGTCGGACTCGTCACATCGGTGCTGAAAGTCGTCGTGATACCTACCTCAAGGGGGGAAGGCTTGGGGTGAGGTATGAACCAAGGTGGCGAGGTGAGTTGGTGGGGTGCGGTGGGAGCACGAGAGAAGGCAGGGGCCAGAGGATCAGGGCAGGTGAGCGTGCGAGGGTGAGAGGGTGGGGAGCATAAGCGAGTCGGCGAGGTGGATGGTGGGGAGGTGCGAGGGGGCGGGGTCAAGGACGTGCCGGCCCACATCCCTGTCAAGAGGGGAGGGGCGCATGGCGGGTTCGCAATGTCATCATCGACGTGAGAGGGCTTCTGTGTGCGGAAGATCAGTTTAGTTTTGTCATAAGAATATGAAATGTACCATTTACTTACCTTTTCTTTGTGTTGGAAGGGTGGATGGCAGCGGGGAGACGAAGGAGGGTGGTGAACCGTCCTTGTTGATCGTTATCCGGCAAACGCCGCGCCTCACTCCAATTGGCTGGAGGTTGCAGTCCAGTAGCCCCTGTACCGAGATCACCATATCTCGTAGCCTCCCCGGGCCATTTTGTGTTAATTCTACCTCGCTGCCCTCAAATTTTAAACCATGATTATGTTGTCTTAGCACTTGTGACCTAAATGAACCAATTTGTAGCACATTTGTACTGCTTAGCAGGTCTCAAGAACGTCCTCGACAGTCCTCGTTGAACGCGCTATGGATTCGAGCATCATCCGAGTATGGGTACAGGCGAGATGATATCATGTAAAGTACCAGAATAATTTTATTTGATATTTGTTGTACCGCCCTACTCAGGTATTCACCACTTCATGGACAGAATTCGTTGCAAGAAGTGTCATAACTAGTGTACATCTAATAGAAGTTCTTCCTCAAGAGTTCTCTTAGATAATTCTCCTCTTGGAGGCCATAATATAGATACTACTACACATATTCATTAGATACCGACACCAAAATAACCAAGTCACCCTGTCTGTGGCTCGCAAGGGCGATTCCGTTGAGGATGAGCGGAACTGCGGCGATGCGGGCCGTCAGGTCCAACCAATCAGCTCGTGGTCGGCATCTGCCGGATAAGCCATCAACAATGATGAGAGTCGTTGATGCTCGTCCTCGACCGCCACCTGGCACGCCTCCTTGCTGTCCAATGCCACAAATGACGGCCGAGGGCAGTTACAAAAGGTAAATGATATGTTTCATTCATATATGTATACTCTAACGAAGATTTTGATTCAAAACTAGACCCACGAACATCGACTTTGAGTTGACGTTCGTTTTCTCTCCATCTTGCACCCCTCCCCTTCAATAGGGATGTGGGCAGGGCACGAACGCACTCTTGAGCATCCCACATGGACATTCTCCCGCCTTTCTGTCCTCCGCCCACAACCCACCACCCTTGCCTTGCCTCGCCAATCACTCGCCCCTCCCCTTCGACAGGGATATGGGTCTCGCCTCCGCCTCCTACCCTCCTCCCTCTTCCGCCTCTTCTCACCATCCCCCATCTTCAGAGCCATGGCATCTCGCAGAAGTCGTGTAGCGGCTGGATGGGGTGCTCGTCTTGCCCATCATCCACCCCTCCTCTTCAACAGAGATGTGGGTGGATCCCTCCATCTGACCACCCACCTGCCGACGCCCGCCACGGCATTGTTACATGAACGACACGACTGTGCACAGTGGCAGGGGATAAGCAGGGGAGGGTAAGGGCGAGGGTGAGGGAGCTGGGATGAGGGCATGAACGAGGAATGTGGAAGGCGGCATGGGTGACACCAACCACGACAGCGCCAGCAAACGAACGAATGAATGAATGGCGGCACTTTTCGCTTGCCGCCGCCATCGCCCCACTCGTCGCTGTCCCCCCTCCCTCGTTCTCTCAGCCGCCCACCCCATCCACGCAAGCCCGCCCGTCCATCCCACTACCCAGCACCTCACGCACCCTCGCACTCTCACCCACCTCACCACACTCCCCATCCCTCCGCCTCTCGACCAGCACCCCTCCACACCAATTGGGCTGCGTGTTGTTCATCCACCCCTGCTCCTGCTTTGCCTCAACTGCTGCCCACTCGCCCTCGCCCCCTCCCTACCCACGGTTTCATTGCGACGCGACAGAACCACAAAAGTGGCAGCTGGGGCACAAGCACGGCAACGAAGACGAAGATGTAAACACGACAAGAACATGACGGAAACGACATCGTGGGCACTACGGCGAGCACAGGATGAACACACCAGGGTGCGACGCATGGCGTGGTGGCGACACGAACGCAGTGGCGAGGATGGGACCGACACGAGTACAAGGGTGGGCCCAGCGACATAAGCAAGGCGGGTCGAACAGCAGCAGGAGCAGGTGGGGAACAACGAACACAAGAGGGCGGCACGAATACGACTGGCGACACGAGCAGGTGGCACAAACAAAAGGACGAGCAGGTTGTGGAGCGTGAACACGAGCACAAGCGAGTCGCCACTGCGGTGTCTGCTCACTCCTCGCCTCGCTATCCACCTGCCACCCATGTTGTGCCTCACCCTCTGCCTCAACCATCACCTCCCGCCTTCCTCTCACTGTTCAGCAACGAGGTCCACGTTCAACTACGGAACGACGATGATGCTGACAGGATGGGATTGTGGCGACACAAACACAAACACAGCAACCCAGCAAGGACAAGGCCCCAGGGCAACAGCAACAACGGCCATGAGGGCGATGACAGCGGTGGCGATGACTGGCAACAGCAACGGCGACAACGACGAGGGTGAATACGATGAGGGTGTGACGATGAGTAGGTTAAATACGAGGGTGACGATGACAGCTGAACCCCCGAAGCAGAAATGGCACGCCACAAATGCGCCGCTTCTGTTCGTTTTGTCTCTGTCTCGTAGCAGCTACCTAGTAGAACCACCCTCTATCATGTATTTAATTTATTACGATTTTTATATGAATTTTCACCCTTTTTTGTGTGCTTTTTTGTGTGTCCGAGGTCGCCGGATGGCGTTGTCTAAAAATAGAACATCATCCAGACACCCAACTGCCCATCCACCCCGTCCCGCCCTCCGTGGAACACGCAAACACCTGAAATGGGTATGAATACACCCCGACATTATATTACCAAAAAATGGGGCCGCCTGCTGTCCCCAACAACGAGCTAGAGCTTACTTACAGCTCCGGGCATCTCAGAAAGGCCATCTCCTGTGTTGTACCCAATTTGGAAGCTTTCCCGCACCCTGTCCCGCCCCCAACGATGACAAGCACCCTATTCAATGTTCCCGAGCATTGTTTGGTCATTGTTTACTGCTCCCACAGCCTTGGCAGACAGTCCCAAGCCCTGGAAAGCCCAGCAAAGCATGGCTGCATACTGACAGCTATGATTTATGACCGAGAATTGCCAGTAGGCATGTATTGATACATGTCTCTGGCTGTTACAAGTGGCGTAGTATCAATTTCTACAATAGCCATGTGGTGTATTGTTGTCTCTTTGATAAGTCCTTTGATCCCTTTCAAAGGATGCTTGCGTACTACCATGACTCGCTTGCCTTTATGGACTTCGTTGTAATCTTTTTGACCAGGGAAATTATGTGGTTGGCGTCTAGGAATGCGTAGCACGGTCGAGTGAGGAGCGCTATAGAAAGCGACTTCTTGTACGATGACATTGATCTAAAACACATCAGGAACAGAGAAGACAGACGAAACGAAACTCGCCTCTTGTTCCGGAGCAATATGCACGACAAGTCTATCATCATAGGCAAACGTCACCCACCCTTTGGAGCCCTTGTGATCGCCATGGGTGACAGCGACATGATCTCCAACCTTGAAATGAGGGCGGACCTCTATGACGCTGAAGGGGGCAACAATGTCCTGGGATGGAAGACGCAACAAAACCTCCTCGGTACCAACCTCAACAACCTCTCCCAATACACCAGCAAATTCGCCTCTGATGACCTTGACCCAATCGTGAAGCTGAAGGTGTTTCTGCGCCACTTGACTGAGGGTTTTCGAACGCGCCGTGTCCTCAAGCAGCAAAGAACCACAAAATAATGCAAACTCATGGTGACAAGGGAGGACTTCGGAAGAGATTACAAGGTCGATTTCATTGGTCGGTACTAACAGAATTCCATCTCGGGTATAGGTGCACTGTTGAAATATATATTGCGTCTGTGTCTCCAAGGCTTTGACTTTATGAATTCCGAAAGTTTCGACCATGTCGTCCTGCGGCGCGAGTGCTTGTGGTGGACGGGGTTCTTTTCCAATCCGAGGAATCAACCCAACCAAAAAGCTGTCCAGTCTTTTGATGAGCAGGCCGGTATCCCCTAGATACTTCTTCCATTTGGCCCGTTTATCATGGACCCAAACCCATTTCTGATCTTTGAGCCTGTAGGGGCTACTCCGAGTGAGCATGTCGGTTCGCTCATCCAACGAGACGGGGTGGATATTGCTCGTGTTGAGCTCTGGAATTCGGCGGGCGAGTGCACGGGCTTGAGTCATATCGTCAACCTCGGTGTAGATGTGGCCAGGAATCGTGCTTCGCGCAACAATTGAACGAGCCAAAGTTTGAGGAAAGGTTGGGTGTGTCGCCAGAGAAAGAACCTTGAATGCAACACTTTCCTCGTGGCCAACCTAGGTATCATTAGAGAAGAAATAAAAAGATTCAGGACATATTTGATGCACTAGACACCCAATCTCAAAGATCATATCGTTCTCTCGTAGTCTCAAGTCCTCCTGATTGTTCAATGTCTCCATCACCGATGAACTTTGCCCTTGTTGCCTCGCTTGTGCTAGGATGTCTTCCCAGAAGTCTTCACCGGTGTCATCGATGGTTCGCATGAGTTGAGAATGTCGCGTAACTGCCTCGTACGACTCAACATCATTGTAGATTTGCTCTATAGAGAAACCATTTATGAGAACGACGTCCTGAACATATTTTGGAGCCAACTTACCCTCACACTCGTGTTCGTCCTCGTCTTCAAATTCTCCTTGCTCTTCCTCTTCTTCGTCGGTAACACCTGCCTCAATGTCTAGAAACATGCTCTGTATGAAATTGACAAGGAGGTCAATGTCTCTTATTTTTTAATTCAAATATTGTTCACCAGATTCATATGTCTCCTTTTGTGTGGGGGGACGTCCCTCTTACTTGGTATCTGGCAAGACATCTTGTACGAGGTGTGTCTTTTGTCTATTCTACGGTATCTCTACTTATTATGTACGTGTACGGTGGTGGTGGTTGGGAAAGAGAAGTCGAACTTTGCAAACGCCAATTGTGCCACACCAGTTTAGGGTAGGCCATTCGACGTCCACACGCACTGCCTTCCTAAACGAGATTATTTGGCAGGACCTTGTTTGTTCCTATAGGCAACCAAACAAAGTGAGGAAGCATGGCCAACATGTCACAGCTCAACGTAACACCTCTTGCTTCCGCTCACCCACCTCCCCTCCCTTAAGGACGCTTAGGACACTTAGGACGCTCTATAGACAAGTAGATATCTAATAGATAGACACTATTTACTGTAGTATACACTTAAGTAAACAACGAGAACATTTGAGAGACCACAGAAAACAAGGAAAGAGAAGCACAGACAGTGAGTATATGCGCCCAGTCGAACACCCAGAACCCGAAAAAGTACGAAACTAACTGATATTGCTCAGTGGCAACATCTAGGAGATCTGCATCGCCCTCTATTCGCACAACGTCCCCCATTATAAGGGACTTTCCCTGGTACACAAACACGGTGATGGAGCTGGAGAAACTCGAGATGTATTCGGTGCAGGGGGGCCAATTCGAGGTGCATTGACTCAATCTCAAGTTTTTCTTGATCTGACCTTCCATTCCAGAATCTTCTGAAGCACCTCATAGCTCTTGAGGACGACTTATCCGAAGAACCCGCCGGGAGCAGCTCCAGCGCCAATGACATTCAACGAATGAGAAATGATCTCGAGGAGATCAATATCGGAGATGTCCTCAACTGCAATCAGGCCTCTGTCACCAGGATCTTTTCCGTCCTTGGTGTCTATCGTTTACTCGATGTTCAAGCCGTTGTCAATGGAGTCAAGCGAATACTGAGAGGTGTTCTGCCCTGTGTGACGCTGCAAGAAGGAAGCGGCCTTGGGCAGGTAGATACGGTCCACGTTCTGAACCGGCAGTTGCTCATCTGCTTTTTTTAAGATTTGGAACAAGATGAGCGACTGGACGGAGGTCCTCTCTCAGGCGCAAACCACCATCAACAAGTACGCCAAACTCGACGGAAGGCTAACGTCCAATGAAACAGACCTCCATCGTCGACACCTCGATGTTTTGTATCGAGTTGGGTGTACTTGTGCTGCGGAAAAATTACTCCTCATGATACAGCTCGCTGTAACGCACCTTTCATATATCATCAACGTGAATCCGAGCGAGAAATATCAACGTTTGGCTGACAAGATTCCTAATCTCCCAAACAATATCACCGAGCTCAGGCAACTGACCAGAAATTTGACTACTCATGCAGAGCATCTGTCCTGCTAGAATTGGCCGAGAAGTACCACCTATCGGGCCTCAAGTTACCGCTAGAGCTGGCTCTCTTCATTTCACCGATATTCCTGTTTTTAGGGATCTTACTCCATAATAAGTGATGTGAGCCAGCTGAACTGTTGGCAGTAGGTCCCATCTGCAAAAGAAATCGATCATGAGCTGATTCCTCTCGACAGCCAGTTGAAAAACTAGTGATGAAGCCAGGCCTCCTTTTCAACGTCGAAATGAAGATATGGCGCTTCCTGTTCGCTGTGCTCCGTGGCCAGGTTCCTCTAGTAGAGGGTCTCATCACGTTGTTCAAGGACTTGCCGTGGTCCCTGATGAAGAGGGCTGATGAATCTGTCAAGCATTGGTTCGAGTCAGGTTCGTTTTTTATTCTTTCTAATACTATGGATATCTAATCTTTACGTTTGTAGGAGACAAAACTAAACAGAAGGAGAAGATAACTGAGTCGCAAGAGATGGACGATAGTTCATTGCATGTCAGACACACTGAGCTTCGCGCAAAGGAAGACCAGGAAGACCTACAGCCGCCAAACATCAATGACATGAGCAACAAGGCGAACCCCGGCTCAGATAGTGATATGGAAGGGAGTATCCTTGTGGTCCTCCCCCACAAGCGCAAGCGTCACGCGTTCAATGAGATTCCAAATGAAGAAGACAATGACTTCCCAACGGAACCACGAGGCGATGAGAACGATGAGCGAGAGGATCCGCGTCAGCAACGGCAGGATGAGGAAGGTGAAGAGCTAGAGTCCCTACAGCCGGAGAGCGAGGACGAGGAACCAAAGAAAATGAAGGACAACAAGAGCGACAAGAAGAAAAATGACAAGAAGAGGACAGTGGAGCAGGTGGAGAGCGAGGAGGAGCAACTGGAGAAGAAGAAGATAGAAATGAAGAAGAGCGACAAGAAGAAGGAAAAGAATAAAATTAAAAGCAATGAATTCATCGACGACAAAGACAGTATCGACAAATTTGACGAAGAAGCTTGCAGTGACAAGGAGGAGGACCTTATGCTCAGCTATTGGAGAAGTATGAATGCTCGCCACTTCCGCTTGCTCTTCCAACACCTAACATCGACATGTCCTCGCTGGTGCCACCCATACGCAGACTTCATCTTGATTTACAGCCTCATGTATGATGTTTCTCTCAGATACTTTCCTCCAATTTATGGAGGTTACACACTGCGTTAGGAGAGCCCTATAATTTCCCAGTTCGCGCACATGTACGTTTTCCCTGATATATACAGCGGACTTTCTCCAACAATGATCTAGGATAAGAATCAAATGAAGACTATCGAAAGTTTCTTCAAGGCAACTCGAGCGTCTTATGTGAACAAGAATCTGTTACACATAGTCAAACCAGACCAGTCTGTGTTCAAGATTTTGTCGAAGGAGGAATATGAAAGTCTCAGGACCTCAGAGTTGCATGCTATTCTTCGGCATCAACACATTGTTGTCCCCGAGTACGGGACACGGACGTTCCTGTTTGATCAACAATTGTGTGCTGTGGAACTTGGCCCTCTCCTGGATGCACCGATCTCCGTACACATACATGCAAAAAATCGGCTGTGGGCTACTTCACTATTGATGTCAAGCGGATGAAGCAGGGTTACATGGCCCCTCCAAGGTTAGCCTGGACCTCATAGCATTACAACTTGAGCGTGTTTATACGATGGGGGATATGGGTTACAAGAAGTGGATGGACACGAAGGACTCGGAAGACGCACCATGTGGATTTGAATTCCCTGACACTTGCAACATTCGGCGCCGCAAAGTCAGGGATGCTCAGATGACACAGTTCGCGTCTGAAGGGCGAGAACGTATCCCGGAAGCAGACAGACGATGGAGAGCATTCCTAAATGGACAACCTGTGGATGAAGATGATGGCGGTGCTAGACCTCCCACAAAGAAGAGAAAAGTTGCCTGGTAAGTCGTATTTCGCTCATTGACACAATTTAACAAATGAAATGGCTAGACTTGTATTTTAATTGTACTATTCTACATTGACGTCGAATGCCACTGCTGCTTGTTCCATACCGTGATCTATGATGCCCCATTTGCCACGGCTCTTGAGTCAACCAACTACGGATTTGACATTTCTTAGGTCCGTAACCATCTCCGCTAACATGGTTGTATAACTAACTACATCCTTCGTAGCGTCTTTTCCTTGTGTTTGATCCGGAAGAATGACAGCCAGAAGGCGGGTCGTCCCTCGAAATTCTTCTGGCCAAAAGTCATCATCAGGAAGTTCAACCTCCAACACACACTCCAGCTGCCCATAATAAACACAGGTGAATTCTCCATCGTTCCCGTTAAATAATATTTTGTACTGGGGAATGTGTCAGATATTCGTCACATTCAAAAAAGGACTACTCATACCCGAACATGGGACATATCCCTCTCGTTGTCAGGATCATGACTGCAGGTTTTAGAACGAAAGGAGTCTCCTCCATCTCGTATCTGTAGCTTTCCCCACCTATTGACAATTCGAGGCAAGTTTTGTTGAACTTCATTTACAGAAGTTGTTGGGAGCGCAGCTGCCTGGAAATACTTCGTGACGCGAGTTAATGGCACACCTTCAAGTACGTGGTTCTTTTTGATGGGTTTCTTGAGGAGGTATTCATCATCTAATAACACTTTCAGTCCACGTAATTGTTGTCTTGGGACAATGCACTTACATTGCTCTACCACATGTGCATTATTATTTTTTGGTGGTCTATCTTCTGGGAGATCAAAGTACGTCTCGATTGATTCAATATACGCCTTGTGTAGAACACGGTTGTTGAGATTTGCCCATGGGCATTTTTTGGATTTCAATCCCTGTTGCAAGTAGCCACAATATCGTTCCATCCAGAACGTCCAGGTTGCCCACACAGGCCCGCAGAAACGAATGTTCTGCGCAATGTGAAGAAGGCCATGGACTGTCAACATGCAAGCTGGTAATCTATCTATGTCGTTCCGATAGTACAATCTAGTACAAGTTAGATGATCCTGAAATAAGATGCCAAGTACGTTACTTACCTTTCAAATGCTTGAACCCAACAAATAATGCGCCCTTCCAGGTCATCAATCTCTGAATGAGTCAGTGTCCATTGTGTGCACATCTTCATAATAACGGCTAGGTCGCACGCGTGTTGATAGTATGCGTCGTTGAGGCATTCTCGGAGGAGGTGAGGTGCCATGTATACAAACCAAAAAGACCAAGCCTCAGCAGTCATTGTAGTCATGTCCTCGGCGAGGTTTTTGATGGACCTCACGAACTGGGAGGGGATATATTTGACAGTGGCAACAGTTTCTTTCCCGATTTCTGTCCAGTCTTCGGCGGTTATGACGTACGGCTCATCGTCGTGGTTGAGTGTTTTGAACGTTCCCTTCCAGAAATGGAAAAGATTTTTGACAACATTGGATGACTGTCCGTAAGCATTTATTCGCCGCAATAGATTATATTCGTGCTCCTTGGCGGTGATGCCGCGATGCCGCTGCCAACATGTCAACGCGGATTATCTGTTGTGCCTGGTTGGGCCCCTCAATAAACCTTAATCTATTCAGAGGGTCCTACCCCCTCGAATAGACTTTTTTTGGTCGAATAAACTGTTTGTCCCGTGATGCACAACCAAACAACTCCCTGTTTGCTTACGCCGTGCTCTTATCTTAACCTTCGTCATCGTCCATCGTTGTCGTCCATCGTTGCCCATTGAGCTTGCCAAAGCCCCCTTCATGTGTGAGAGTGAGTCATTACATGCTACTACTTCCTCGTACCATGCTAATCACATCCAATCATGAGCAGGGTCTGCAATTAGGTCCTTTATTGGCTGCAGCCCGCATTGCCAGGGGCTTAATTGCGCTCGCTAGCAGTCTCGAGACGGTCTTGAATGGCTTGAGGAACATTATCGAAGGCTTAGGAGGGGAAATGAGGAGCGGAAGACGGCTGAAATGCATGGAGAGATAGGTATAAAGTGGTGAGTCGTTGCTGCTACCTCCCAGGCTTCGTGTCACCAAAACTCAGCTCGTTCTACCTCTTCATCAACCACTATGGACCCCAACCAACTTACCCCTGTTCCTGGCAACCCTAACATCCAATATGACAGGTTTGGGTGGCCATATGTCCAAGATGTCTCTGGTCATTGGGTTCAGTTATATGCGCCAACCATGGTGACTTCTCAGGTAGGTACCCTACCCTATATGGTGTCTCTACATGTCTCAATCCCTCTTTCCTTCTCTTTCAGTCTGTCCCTACTGCAACTCATGGATTTCCTGCTGTGTCCCAGAACGAAACTGCCCTGGTACGTTTTGTTATATCTTATTGTTGTCTACACCAGTCCTGACTTGTTTTCGTCAGACTCGCCCCCATAATAACATGAAGGATGGTCCAAACCAACCGCTTTCTGAGGCTCTTGTGGTATGTAGCCTCCTAGATCATATATCTCCTTTGTTCTAATGCTGTGTTAGATTGTTGCATCCACTCGAGCCCCGACAGCCGGCCCTTCTACTGCAGTGATCGATCCAGCGCTTTTACCTCTTCCTGAGGTCTCGGATGACGACCTCTCTGACCCGGTCACAATTGTGAAGTCCCGGGGCCATGCCGCTGCGAAGAAGGTTGCTGGATCATGTCAGAAGGGCAAGGGCAAACAGCGCGCTGTACTAACCGAGTCTCGCGATAAGGGAAAGGAGAAGGCCACCGCTCGCAAGCGCAGGCATGCCTCGGATGATGAAGAAGTTGAGGTAGTAGCCAAGCATGGCCGTCCCAAGGGTGCTGGCAACTACACTGCAGACGAGGTTGATGCCCTCCTTGACTTTGTCGAGGAGGAGCTCCCTCTTGGCCAACGCGGGTGGCAGTCCATCCACTGTGGTTTCACTCGCTGGGCTCATTGTAACGATGCTGCTGAATGCACGTTAAAGTCTCTGGAGACCAAGTTCAAACAGGTCAGCCATTTTTGGTTATATGTAAGAAACATCGTTACTTACAACACATCTTAGCTTGTTAAGACCACGAAGCCCACTGGTGATGCCTATTGTCCCCCGGACATCAAACGAGCACACAAGATTGACGGGCGTATCAACAAGAGGGCTGCCACCCGCGATCTCAATGACTCCGACTTCGATGATGCTGTTCAGTTGACTGGTGGATCTGAAGATGACGACGACAATGCCGACGACATCCCAGAGGCGCCGAAGAAATTGAGGAAGGCGGCATCCGCTGGCAACCGTGATATCCAGAATGCTATCATCCGCCGACCTGACCCCACTGTCCAGCGCTGCTCTCGGTCAAACAACGTCGACCTCATCGGAAAGCTTGCCAATGCCTTTGATCCGAGTGTCCAACAAGCTCGTGATGAGGAACGTGCCCAGCGTTCCTTCCAAGCCTCGCAGATGTTCACCCTTTCCCAGCAACTTCGAGATGCCAACCTTACCATTGAGTCGCTCCACTCCCAGCTCTCTACTCTCCAGACCCAGGTTCATGAGGCCCAGCGAGCCCGCGATCGTGCTGAGTTGCAGTTGCAGCTCATTGAAGAGGGTAGCCGCCAGTCTCGACCTTTCAGGAGGAGCCGCCACAATGGGTATGTCAAGCGCTCGAAGTCCACAAAGCGTTCAGTCCAGTGTGTCCGGGGAAAGATGTGTTGCAAGGAGAGGTACCCGGAGGGAGGTATACACACGTACTGGGTCACGGATCCCTCCTCTACCTCGGGTGAGAGTGATAAGGAGAACGAGGACCCCAATTTCTTCCGTCGCCGCTGTGACATTGACTATAGAGACCAGCCTTCGTCGTCGTCGTCATCAGGCCATCACTTTGGCATAGAGTTGCAAGCTTTGACTACTTCCCAGCCCAATGCTGCCACTGCCACAGCTGGCAAGGACCAAGATGGTGAGGAGGGTGACAATGATGATATATACGTCAAGGATGCTGATGGGCCCAAGGACAAGTAGAGTAGTGCAACATCTACTTCTGTCTACACTTATGTTCTGTTACTTGTTGTGTTCCGTTACAATTACCATACACCTGCTTGTAATACAAACCTGTTTATGTGTATTCTGCGTAAGTATGGAGCGAGCAACTCTATCGTTCTTTCGTTGATCTGAGAAGAGCATATTCTCAAAGTTCTGCCAGATATCAATGTCCTCAGCTGTGTCCTGCCAGTATCGCATGTATACAGTCCAGATCTGATTGATTCCCACTTGTCTTGTGCGCAGATTATTGAGGCGATTGCAGATCTCAAGGAGATTTCCTCGACGTTCTGCATTGTCAATGGGAAGTGGAACACGGAGATGACCAAATGCTCCTTGAAGACCTCGATTTCCCCACTCGGCTGTTTGCCGATATGAGAGAAGCTCACGGTCATAGGCCATTCGCTCTGCAATCTCGTCTGGCGTACCTCGCACAGCCTGGCCAGCCTTGAGCAGGGCGTGAATGTGTCCTGCAATGGATTGTGTTCCACGAGGAAATGCTGTGTCAGCAATGAGGTAGTATCCAGGTGGTGTTCGTGTGCGAAGCCATTCAAAAATAGGACGAGCAACATTAGCATCGTGCCAACTGCCTGGTGCATTTACAACAGCATCAATGATTTCACCTAAGATATTATCAGTGAATGAAGTTACAATAGCATCAATGTTCTTGCCTTTCGGTGAGAACACAAGTACTGAGCTGACAAAATGCTCTGAGAGCCACCCATTGTAGGTAGCATTCTCAATATCTTCATCCTCCAATGTTTGGACAGGAAGATTCAATCCGTCAATGACAGCGAAGGCCCCAATCAGTCGAGGATGTTGAACAATGATAAGATCATTGTATTCTTGGAATTGCCCACCACCTGGGCCACCCTTCGGCCACTTGATACAGGCATCTGGCATTCTTTGCAAGACCTCGAGAAGTATGTCAAGTGAGAAGTCAAGATACTGGACAACTGTGGCAGGGATGAGAGCAAAGATTTGCTGCAAGCTGACGTCGAGCATCGTGGAGCTGAGATAATGGAGGACAAGGCCAAGGGCCCCTGGGGGATCCAAAGATCGGCCGCCTGGTCATGGATCTCCTGAACGAGAGGTATCAGTTCGGGGGATGGGTGTTGAGAGCCAGGTCTGTACAAAACCCGACTCGAGAATGAAATCGAAGGTGGCAACATCGAACCCCATGGTTGTGATATATGCACAGTCACTCCTGCTGTCGTAAAGGGAGGTCCATGGTGTTGCAATCCAGGGGTTCTCCAGGAGTTCAGGGCGGGTAAGATATTGGCGGGTTTCGTGACGTCGTTCATTCCGTAACTGATGTGAGATCTCGGCACCTCCCACTATGACGCCGAGTGAAGCAGCACCCATCTCCCAGTACTCTTCATCTGCCTCCTCTTCAAGTTGCTCTGTGAATTGTTGGAATATGAGTGCATCTTCATTCATGGCTGGCTAGAGATGGGTGGAGGCCCAGGGAATGACAATTATCTTTAATCACGAGGCTTGCAGTTTAATCAGATGAATAGATTATAAGATTATCTTTGAATTTGAGGTCCGACTTTGTTATGAAATATTCTACTGTGGAATAAATACCTTACGGACAGTCATCCATTTTCGAGAAGAAGATGCATATAGTCCCAAGGCATCCCTTGCGCATAGTCCAAAGAACCCACGCGTGTCAAGGCAGGCATACACTTGATCCCTGTGCCCTGCGCAATCTCTTCTCGCTCTTTCTTGGTTCGTGCCGCTTGAAGGCGTTGGTTTGTTTCTGCCCAATCTTGATGGGAGCGCAATGGAAGATTGAGTGGATCCCAATGCTGATGCGAAGCAGGATTCTTCAGGGGAACATAGTAGGTTTTGTTCGAGGATTGGGGGTTGTTTACTGCTTTGATTTTGCAGGACCAACACGGGCACTTTCCGTTGTGGCCCTTGACACCCAAGAATTTCTCGAGCGCAATGATGTCAGCAAGTAAAAAGAGAAGGTATGCATGGAGTGAGAAGTAGTTCAGTTTTGTGCAGTCAAATGTCTTGACCCCGTAGGCGAGCTCGATGCACTCGTCCTCAAAGAGACTCAGGAAGGTCTCAAGTCGTTTTGGACCTTTTGGACCTGGGATAACGCCACAACAGAGAATTCGCTCTATATGAACGCGGAGATGAGGCAGTAAATTGTAGAGCTGGATGATCAGTGGAGTGGCGGATGGACCCCCACGGTTCCGTTTGTAAAGAAGATAAGAATCCAGGGAAACTGCAAAGGCAATGTCGTTTTTGTCTGAAAAGTATTTGTGATCTAATGTTTCGTTGTCGACAGTGACGTTCTTATTGCAGAGGTCTCGATAATGTTGGGAATTGAAGACGTCAGAGACCAAGGTTGCACTCGCTTCGTACGTGTGGCGATAGGATAATTCCTTGACACGCTCTGGGTTGGCGAACATTTGCTGCAAGCACGGGATGATGGGCAGGTAGCAAAAGAGTTGGCGACTCTTTCCCTTGTTGGTTCTCCTTTTTTCAGAGCATTCTGGGCACTGATCTTCATCTTTTAGCTCTTTCGTGTAGGCGATGCAGGAGTTGACACAGCAATCAATCCAGATGGGCTCTAAATACAATAGGATAGCCATACGATGAATGATGACATATAGAGAGCTGAGCTCCATCCTGTGTGCAAACGCGAACCGCAATTGCTCGAAAGCCAAGCGCGGCATGTTCGACATCATCCGTAGTTTGAAAGCATGGAGATCATTGATATCTTGTTCGGTAAGTTCATCTTGTCCTACATTTTTTTGAATATATAATCATACGGCTGTAATAGTGGGATACGCACAAGTTTGCCAGAAGGACGCGTATTGTTTGGCAGTTAGCATGTCTTCGAGTAGATCATATCGTTTCTTTTGTGCAGGTGCTGAGTCATATTCTAGATCTTCCAGTTGTTCGTCCAGCTCCTCATCGAAATAAACCATATTTGGATCAAAAGTCTCTTCGTCCTCATCGAAATTATGTCTTTCATCTATAAATGGGCTCAGCAGATCTGGGTCTTCTTGTGGAATGAATAAGTGTTCAATACCTAGCTCTACCATAGGTGGCTCACCCTGCATCTGATCGTCAGATAGTGTCTCATCCTCAACGGAAGGACGTCTGCTGTGGTTTCTCTCTTCTATTCTGTGGTAAGCTATGTTGTATCTCGGTAACCATAAGCAACTCATCCTGCATCTGACCATCAAATGTTGTCTCGTTTTCGACGGAAAGACTTCTGCTCCGGTATCCACCATTTGTCTCTTCTGTTCCGCGGTAAGCCATACTGTATCTCGAAAATACACGTGGACTCACCTGCTTCATGATTTGATGTTGTGTATCCCTCAAAGGAACCTCCAGCAGACGGTGGCCTCCAGTCCTGGAATCCATCTTGCTCCTCCATCTCTTGGGTTTCATAAAGCATTGTTTCATCTTCATCCAAGTCGCCCCCCCGCCCACCAGGAGAGGTGTAGTCAACTGTCTCTCGGATTTCTTCTTTGTCCCAGTAACTCTCCTGTTCGTCTGGATCCTGCCCACCAGGAGAGGATGGTTCCGGTTCTTCAAAGCTGTCATAGTCAACCGTCTCTCGGATTTCTTCTTCATCCCAGTAATTCTCCTGTTCGTCTGGATCCTGCCCACCAGGAGAGGCGTAGTCAGCCGCCTCTTGGATTCCTTCATTTTCTTCTTTGTCCCAGTAACTCTCCTGTTCGTTTAGAAGCCCTACGTCTGAGATGCGTTCCTCTTCGTGGTCATCATTGTGGACAAACAGTCCTGTGTCCTCTGTATATTCCTCGCCGTCATTGGATACTTCTGGGTGAGTGAACTCTCCTGTATCAGGGCCCGTCGCATCGTATTTAGCTGATATCTGTTTTCTGATGGGTATCTTGCTGAAGTTTCGTGGTGCATGCTGGCGAGCCTTGTTGGGCAGTGTTACATCGCATAGGTTCTCAATTGAATCTTTTTGGTACACGAGTTGTTCCGGCGTGAGTTTTTTGTCATGCCTCCGCCTTTGACTTTGACTCAAATAAGTGTTACAAGTCGGCGTGCACCGACAGTATTTCTTGATAGGCTTTTTTCTGATCCTGGCCATTGTGGGGAGCAAAAAAAAAGGCCCTCTTCCCTCACAGCATGGTATAGAAGCTCCGACTTAAGGGTAGGCGTTTTCAGATCAATATGACGCCGTTTTGATGCATTTCCTGGTTCTGTCTGCCTCGAGGGCTGGAAGCAGTTAATATTGCTATATCCGTAAATCAAACTACCTCAAGGAGCAAGAGTAAAAGTAGCCGCTGATGTCAAAACAGGTATGTTGAGCTCTTTGAATAACTTTAGACTATTATTAACCTCGACAGGTTGGCCATTCGTGATGTGGCTGCCGATGTCGGTAACGTGTAAGAGATCATGAATTTTGTTGTTGCCACTTGTCAATCGTTCACCGACTACCATCGACGAGACAGTTAAAGAAATAATCACGATTTCTCCAAGATTAGCATCAAATTGCCAAGAGTAGCAGAAATTACAAGGTGCTATATACAACAGCTCTATGGGCACAGTCTACGGGCACATGCTTCGCTCGTTCACTCGTAAGCATTGTCTGCACACGATTACATACATTCATATTGTCGTTCCAACAGATGATGATGTTCGATGTTCGAGAATAGCAAGGCATTTAAGCAAGGAGGATGGCCTGTTAGACCAAGAAAATGCTAGGTGTATAAGGGAAACCCACCGTCTGTCAGGGAAAGAGAATAGACCCTAATATCTGCATCTACAAGCTCGACATTCCTCACATCTGCAATGATGAGATGAAGGAGAGATGGAGACGGAATAGAACTCACTAGGAAATAGGAATACCTTGTTTTTTTGGGCGTCGACCGCGATTTCGAGCTTTAAGCCCGTAATCAATGCTTGCTGGGCTCCTGTATCGATAATGGGAACGGCTATGGTGAGTGATCTCAGGAAAGATGAACATGACACTCACCCTCAAAAGCCACGATGCGAGGCTCCCCACTCCCACCTCGAATATGAACTACAACGGGCTCCCAAAACCCTTCTGTTTGAATACCGACATCAGCATGCGTCGATTCGGTCGGTTGAGCGGCGCCGTGAATGCTGGGGTTGGAAACAGCATCCTCGGTGCTGGTGCTTGCCATCTGGACCCCGTCGACGGGCGGAATAGAAGCGACGACTGCGCCTACAGGGTTAGCGTACGTGAATGTGTTTTCGGTCGCTCGAGAGGCAGCGTCTTCGTTCGTTGAGTTGAGATTGCCAACGGCATCGGGGATGTCGTTGCTCGTCATCTGGGCGTTGTCGACAGGCAAAATCGCAGCGACGGCTGCGCCCATGGATCTACTGTTGTTGAAAGCGCCTCGGGTCGCTCGCTCAACCGCGCCGTCGTTTGTTGAGATGGGTTTGCAAACGCGATCCTCGATGTTGGTGCAGATTGCCGTCGGGAGCTTGCCGATTGCTGAAGTTGGGGTGTCGGCTTGGTTCATGGCGCCAGGGAGATCCAGGTGTGTTTTTGGCGTATCGTTGAGCGATACTTGCGATTTTCAACGGGTAGACAAGGTCAGACGGCGGGAGTGACTGCGAAAGGCAAGCGCCCGATGATGGTGAGTTGATGCCAAATATCACACTACGGAAATCCGACCACCTTCCAATCTGAGCTTCATCCATCGATGCCTCCCCATGCCCCAACAATACACCTCCTTCCTCGTTTTCTACCCTTCCCAGCGAGGTGTAGATATTGCCACAGCCAGGCAGGCCAACACTCCCAGCATTTTCAGATCGAGAGGTTGCCTGGAACGTTGAGGCGCATAGGCGGGTAAGTTAAGAGCTAGCTTTTTTGACAAGAGGAGATACTTACCGACTTGTTTCCATAGCCCTTAAGCCAGACCCAGCCTTTGACCCCCTCCCACTGCACCTCAGGGTAAGTTCTTCTCTCGATTTCAGCAGCGCAGCGTCTGTGATTCCTTCAGTTCGAACGCCAGCGTCAGCATATGCCGATTCGGTTGTTTGAGCATAGATGTCGATGCTCATCGAGTTGGGATTGAGGATGCCATCCTCAATGTCGCTGCAGATCCCCATCGGAACCTTGTCGATGGGCGAAATCAGACTGTCAGCTTCGTCCTTGGCGTTGGTGCACATCTAGGCATGTTCTCGGTGTATCCTTTTGATTTTTAACTTTGAGGATGAGGGCAGACGGAGGGAGTGGCTGCGAAGGGTGAGCACTCGATGATGGTGCCATGAGTTCGATTATTTTAGCCACTTTTCAATTTGTGGAGAAAGCTAAATGCCAGAAAAAAGTGCCTCGCGAGGCAGGTCGAGCCGATTCACCTAAAACATACATAACCCAGGATTGTACCTGCTCTCCGTAGCAGGGAAATAGACGGTTGGACCCATACCTGCTTCGGAGAGCAGGAGATTTTAGGTATTTTTGGATACGGGTTAATTTCCGGTCGCCGGAAAGCACCGGAAATGCCTGCCTTTTGGAGGCAGGACGACCGAAAGCAGGGAATTTCATATATTTTTAGATACGACTTATTTACCGGCTACCGAAAATCCCCGGAATTGCCTGCCTTTTGGGAGCAGGACTCCCCGAAGCAGGCATTTTCCCGGCTCCGGCTTCCCACAGTGTCGAGGTTAACTGTTTCTCACTTCGAGTTTTCATAATTGTTGAATCTACTTACCTCCTTGATAGCCATCCGATCGGGTACACCAATCGTTCCCGTTCTCGTATATCTCGATAGATACCGTGAAGTCAATCGATGGTGCGCAGCACGAACTCCAATTCTATTTCGATACATCAGGGCGTGCGTCTGTTTTCTTTCGCACATTTCTTCCAGATATAACTTATTGGTGCAGAGTGGCTTTCGGCCGATGAAGGAGATATCGTGAACTGGAATACTACTTCGACTCCGACGTCACTTATTCATTCTATGCAACTTTCTATGCCTCAAGCCTTTCAGGAGGATCAAAGTATCGCAAAAGATAGGATACTTTACCTGGCAACATCACAAAAGGTATGATATCAGTGCGGCCTATATCATTTCTCCTTCTACAACTCCATCCTCGCCAATATTCCAGTCTCCGAGTCTGACATGGCAAACAAATTGGGCCACAACCTTACGCCGGCAGTTCAACGACAGCCGCATTCTGATGAACACGCAAGATACGGCAACCCGTCCGAGGCACGGGAATTGGAGCTCGAGGCGATTGCCATGTGTCAATGCAGCTCGTCTTGTCCTCTTCGCAGGGAGGAGGGGGGGAGGCAGCGTCCTTTACATGAAACGGCTGGTAGTGAGCCTACGAGTTCTACTGAAGTAGGCCTCGTAACCGTCCGGCAGTAATGGCGATATCGAGTCTCGGGCCGCTCTTCCGTCGGGCGCTTCCGAGTAGCGCGCCAAGTTAAAAGAGGCCCTACAGAAACGGATGACACAATTTTGGCTCTCGTTGTCAATGATACCTTCAACATTAAAATTTTGGTACAATCTAGCCGAGAAATGGGGCTAAATTCTACTTGTGCGCAGTACCCAAATCTGACCCAAGTTGTGATTTATACCTAGACTCTACTAGTGCTACTATTACCGGCCAACAGAATCGTATTTTGAAGCATGCGTATACTGTCAAAGCTAGGCACTTCAACAGGTATAAATCTCCCAGGCCAAAACGGTGCATCTGCCACATCCCCAATAAAAGACCAGCAATGGCCCTCTTATCAATGAATGTCCAGAAAATAATTGTAGAAGACGCCGAGCGGTGACGTTCGTGTTGAAATCACTAAAGTATTTAGTTACGTGGATACCCAGTCCCCACCTACGGTCTGCGTGAGCCACTATGGTGTACCCCTTCCTGAAGCTTGAATGAGGAGGGTGACGACGATTTTATGAAGGACCCAGACAAAATTCCATCTTATGTCACGGTGATGACCCGGTGGGAAATATGGCTCAAGACCCCACCCTTTCTCTGAGTCTTTTGCACCACAACCGTCATAGCCCTACAGGAAGTCCTCAACAGGCACAACAATCCCTAACTGCGAACGGCAGGAGCTCTAAAATGGCGCGTCTGATTGGGCGTGCTCTTCATTTCGTCTTGAGCGAGCATTTGAACCCATTAGCCACCCAAAAAGAAATCGACGACAAGAAAAGGTGGTGGTCAGAAGCGCAAAACGTCGTCGAAGACATTACACGACTTGCCTGTCGAGGTCCTGGCGCTCATTCTGAAACTCCTCTATCTCCACACGATGACCGCTCTAAAGGAAACACCGCAGCGGAAAGCCTCTCCGGGCGGCGTCTACCGCGATAAACCATGCGAGCTAGAGATGCAGGACCACCACATGTGCGCTGGCGGGTGGGAGCCCCAATCAAGCCAACCAAGGCGCTCGAAGGTCTTCTCGTTCAACTACCATCTACGTCGAGCATCGGCCGTTTGTCGACAGTGGAGGGATATCATCCGAACACTCCCCGAATATTGGAGCCGGGTCGTCATTTTCCTCGACTTGGACGAGCCGCTTGAGGATATAGAAGCACGTATAGCGCGTTCAAAGGATCTCCCGCTCGACATCCGTGTAACTCGGTCCAACTGGGACGATGTCAGCGATGGTACCGGCGAGAACGAGAAAGGCTCACAAATCGAGCAAGAGCAAGCTCGCTCACGGCAAATCATGAAGATCTTGGCTCCTCTTGTTCCCAGATACAGAACCTTCGTCTTCGACGCGAAATACAGCTCTTCCTTACCGTTCATCTCGCAATACTTTCGCGGAACCGCTCTCCATCTTCGTGTTCTGAAATTGCAGTGCCAAACTGACAGGAGGACGTCGAATGCCCAGAAATTCCTACCATCAAGCCGGAGGACGAATTTACTTTCCCTCGATTGACAACAGTCGTTCTTGATGGTTGCACCTTCATGGATGCATGCCGTGTCCCCTCCTGGACACGCCAGGTGAAGGACCTCTATCTCGACACGCTCTCCATATCGCTGTTGTCCGTTCCCGACAGCCATGACGACGAATACGACATGTACAAGTTTGCAGACTACCTCGCAAAAATCGGTTACATCAGACACCTCAGCCTCGCTCACATCGAGATCGCGTATGACCCCGGAACCGAAGATGAGGGATATCACCAGTACAAGGTCGACAACCTCACGATCGAGAACCAGGACCAGCCGTGGCTCGAGGAATTCAACCTTATCACATTCGGGTCGTCTCTGTGCTACTACCATCTCGCCGACTCCTCAATTGCGTACGAGAGCATGACGATGGCGCACCACCTTCGACTGGAGAGGATCACCGACTTTGGGTACGCCTTCGACCGTGCTATCGCGAGGCACTTCGGGAACCGCCTTGACCTTGTCGATTGCGAAGGACTCAAAGACCACCATCTCGACATGATTGCCAGAAAATGTCAACTGCTACGTCGCCTCTATCTCATCGACTGTCCGAACATCACCGTCCAAGGTCTGAAGAACATGGTCACCGCTCGAGAAGATGTGGCGGGCGCATATGACGAAGACCGGGTTATTGGGGATAGAGACACAAGCGATGAGACGGGAAGTGTCGTTGAACTGACGGACGAAGACGACATTGAAATGGCAGATGGGTATGTAGACTCTGGAGGAGCAAACTTCACACCTATCCATCGGCTTCACGTGCAAGGGCATCCTCACAAATTGACCAAGCTTGAACGCCTGTGGTTCAAGAGACGTCTCGAGTTCTTTTCTTGGAATTGAACACATACTAAGATCTAGAGTATATCATCTTCCTATCTGCGCAGAGCCTCGGCGGCTTTGGTCATTCGGCGGCTATGTATTTCTTCGATTTTCCTGTCCTTGCTCCTCTTGTTTCGCCTGTTAATTTGAACTCGGTTGTTCCTCGGCGGTAATCTAAGCTTCCTTCCTCCTTCCATACTCTAGGAGCTATTGTTCGCTGCTCACGCATGTCAAGTGCAACTCCATTGTTCAAGTTTCACTGCCATAAGCATCAGGAAAGTCTACAAGGAGGAAGGCGCCAATATACACCGGCCCGAGACTCCGACACCCCCTATTTCAACTGACTTCACGTCAATTAACGCCGTTGAACGGGGTTGGGGGCCTTTCTAAAAATTGTACCAAAGTAGATTATACAAAAAATAACCCAGCATAGCGGAGAAGCACTGAAAGTGTCCATTGTGTCTAACCGTACTATATCATCACGTTCTTTGTTGTAAGTGAATTATGCCTCTCTATCGGACAACGGAATCGAATCGAAGCTGGGCTGGTCGCCTGGAATGAACCTCCCAGGCCAGAACGGCACGTAGACTGCAATCGCGATGAAGAGCGGTAGCAGGTCCAATGCGTAAAACCAGTATTCGGTGGTAGTGAGTGGACCACCGAAGCCTTCGGACATTTCGACGGTTCTGAATACAGAACGCACCTTCATGAAGACATCTCTCATCAGCCTCTAGCACGTCAAGGAAAGAGTTTGATAGCTCACCAAAATCCCGACACAGCTGATGCCCAAAGCTATGGCGAGGGTCGTCCATCTATTTGCCCAGTCCTTGTTTTCGTCCTTCTTCCATGTCTTTGGCTGGTGCTTCCAAACACGATACAAGAAGAGAAGGAATATCCCCGTATACGCGAGGAAGGAGCATAGCTGGGCAGCGAGGCCTACGAGGAAAACCTAGAAATAATTGGGAACGAGACTAAGATCTAGGTCAAGGAAATCAAACAAATTAATTTACCTTGCTGCCCAGATCCTTCTTCGAGGCGGTGTCTGCACTGGCTGAAATGCCCCCTCCACCAGCCTGGATGAGGAAGGTGATGACGTCGGAAAGCACGAACACCACTGTGATGCGACGGGCTGGGATGAGGAGATACTGGCCAGCGTTCAGGTGTCCTGCGATGCGACCGAGGAGGACGTAGTCTGCTGCGATGAATCCACAAGGCTGGTGCGTGATGACAGGACTGAGCTCTGGCGATTCGTGTGTGAAAATGTGCCCTTGGGAGACTCACAGAAAGGAGGACGAAGAGAGACTGCAGGATGTAGATCGTCTTGTTCTGAGGGTTTTTGGCGAGACCGAACCGAAAAGAAATTCCAAGAGCGAAGCCTAAAGCCCGGTTGAAGTCAATACCATTTATGGAAGAGATTGGCAGGCTCAATCGAGCCCACTTACAATATGCAGCGATTGGCATGGCGCACATCCATTTACCACCCCACCGCTTGATGCACCATGTTTGAAGTATGGCGATGATGAGAATAAAGGCTTAATTGAAATACGTTAGTCAGCCCTGCATATCGACCTGGATATGAGATAGGACTCACAGAAACCAACCGCCGTCAATTCATTTGACGGAATATACTTGAGCGGATTGTAAGGATCGTTCTTAGGGTCGGCGAATGGGTCGGGTCGTGGGCCAGACTGAGCCGCAGCTTGAGCAACTAGTCCCACCAAGGAGACCACAAGGGCAGGAAACAGAGAGGCCATAGACGCGATCGACGCGGGAGGGTGTGAAAGAAAGAAAGTTTTGGAGAACAACACGGATGTTCAGTTAGCTTTATTTAATAGTGGCCCGGAAACGCGTTTGTAGCGCCCCACGACGCAAGAGGCAGTGCTTTTTGGCCGGATTCGCAACACAATCGGGCAGGGATGAATTCACCTTAGTGTAAAAGCGTCTCAAGCGGCAAGAATCCCAGGGCCCAAAAAGGCCCGATGGGGGAATCCAACCATCAAAAGATTCCCGGCTGCCTACTGTGTCATTTTTTTCACGTACTCTTTGGGGCAAGGCTGCTGTGGCGCAGAGAACCGACGGGGTATCCAAGCTAAAATGGGAAACAGGTCCTGAATCCCAACTTTCATCACAGTGCGCAGTCGAACTTGTAGCCCTCGCATCTGTCATATCCCTTTCGACCACAGATGATCTCCGCTGTCCTCGGCTCCTCTCTCCAACGTGGGCCGGGAACTCTCGTGGAATTGCCTTGAAAAAAAAGAAAGGAATTCGTGGCAGCTGATCAGCTCTTCCCACAATCCCGAGGGCAGAGAAAGTAATGACAAAGGCCAACATCTCGCACCCAGAAACTTGTGCAACCTTGTTGCAGTATATCTACAGTACTTCTACCACCCCGTAGCTTGCTGTTCAAACTTCGGTGAGCGTTCCGAATCCGGCCGTTGTATCACGTTAAAAAAGTTCTGAACAACACGAAGTTGGGAAGCCGTGAGAGAAGTAGATTTATTCTGGTGAACGGATGGCTTCACGCAACGTTTCGATGACATTACGGTTCAGTATCCGCAGTGAATAATCTTGGCAGGGGATACTTACCAATCCAATAACGACAAAACATACGTCGGAATCTGTTATCGAGAAGCCATGGTTTCTTATCGTCGGCGTACTTTCAGGCAAGCGGCACCCTCGGGCTAGAAGAAGCACGTTGTCGCGTTAACCTAGCTACTTACTTGTATTACTTTCGGTTACGAGAGCATCACGACGGAGTGTTTGGAGGGGTGATTCAAACCTTGTTGTTTTCGTCCAGTCGTGAACTCGATCGTCGTTCCTGCGCAGCCCTTTCCTCGTGGCAGGTAATTATAATATGAACCCTACTGACTTGCTCAGATGGTCGGAAGGATGACCTCACAGCCATTCGATGTGGATAACCAATTGACGCCACGGCGCAGTTGTTTGCAAGGGAGGAGGGTCACAACCTGCTTGCGACGAGCGTTGTCCTGCACCATGTGGGTGCTAGGACAACTGCGGGGAGATGCATCCTTATCGATATCTTTCGTCAAGGAAATTTCAATGACCAGAGTGTTGCGAAGCTTACGTTATGCAGATAATTTCCTGCCATTCCGGCGCTGGACTGCAGGAACCAAGAACGTATCGGAGAACCGGGCCGTTTACCCGCCTCGCGATAAGCGCTGGTAATTCCCCCGAAAGAAAGACCAGGTTGTTCACACTCTTCCAAGCCTATTCGACAAAGATAGACCTTATAGTCTAACTTCATTCTTCCGCATCATAGAAATCTTGAGAAATAAGCCAACAGAACACACAAATTCTAGGCACTTAGTGGAGATCAGAGAAAATTCCGGACACCGATAACGGGAACGGGAACGTGGTCGTCGACATCGCGCACTCGTGGTATTCATGTCCGCCTTTCTAACGTCTGATGTTTGAGCGCTTTGTTTTGGGAGCTGCAGTGCCTTGTAAGGACATCGGAATCGGACCTGCCATTGACCAACGACCACTATTCGAGGCATTGGTGCCTGTGCTTCCATAGCAATAATACGATGTCGTGTACCTGTCAAGAAGTCGAATAATGGCTTCAGGCCTTCTCAATTGTCCCATATTTCGATGACGAACGAAAGGAAGGAGTGCGTCGACGGGAAGGATCACTGGAATGCTAAAAATAGAACATCAGTGGGTGGGGTTGGCTCAAGTCGAATGATCTGCGAAATGGGGCGTTGGTGTTGGGGGCGGTCAGGAACGTTTACAAGAAGGTACTCCGAGATTGACGCATAACGAGGGTATCAGGATATCAGCCACTGGATTGTTGGAGTTTTCAGAATTTCTGATGAGCGGAAGAACTCACTGCTAAGAAACGAGGCAAGTTGGCGGCACGCCGGTACGGAGAGACCGAGTTCCATTGAGCCTCCTTATGCACGAGGCGGACGATAAGGACATGTACATGTCACTGGCACAACAGCAATGGTTATGTGCGGAAGTTGTATGTGGAAAGCTGTCGCGGATGTGCGTGTCGGGGCTGGGCCGACCACCGGAACAGGTTGCAAAGTCGTCTCAATTTCTGTAATATTACAAGGTCCATGACAGTTCCGTGTCATCAGTTCGACACGTATTTGAGCTCGTCTTTACTCGTGATAACGCGTGTAGGCTCCAACATGTTCGCGACGAGGAACTGGCCGTCTGGGGAGGATCTCTCAGACGAGGTACAGAGAAACGAGGACAGCAACACGTACTGGGCATGTCGTTCTCATCTGCTCTCCATTCTGCCTCTTTGGCGTCCTTTGTAACACCAGTCTCCACGTGGCGACCGACCAGCCTCCGTCTCGCTTCGTCCAAGTCCACCTCGATGAACCACCTTTCGTCCAACAATAGCCCAGCTTCACTCCATGGCTCAATAGAGAGGAAGGTGTACAGTCCCTCGATGATCACTATGCGGTGAAATGGGTGTATCGACACTGCATCGGGTGTAGGATCCTTCAGTGCATGATCGAACGAAGGGGCGAGGACGATGTTATCCGGGGTTGACTCGTCGCGCAGCTTTTGCACAAAAGCGACGTAGCCTGGCCCGTCGAACGTCCAGTGGCTTCCTCGTCTGTCGTATGCGGCTTGTGGGTCCGGGAAGACATCGAGCTGTGCTCGAGTGAGGTGCCATCCATCAAGTCCGATGAGTATCGCCTGCGGGCCAGGTTCCGGAGATGAAGAACTTCGCTGCTTCAGGAGATCGTTGACTCGTTCCGTCACTGCATGTGCCAGTGTAGATTTTCCCGAGGCGGGTACACCTGAGATGCCCACTATAACGCGACGAGGTGAAGGTGTGCTTTACAAAAGCAATGATCATCCCGAATCGTGAATATGAGCACGAGGCGTACTAGTTCAGCCTATGAACTAGATGCTGTGCTAGTTCTGCAACTTCCGCGTCCATGAATGAGGGAACAAGTAGCTGGCAATGAAGCGCGGAACACAGGAAAGAGGAGGCGATGCCTAGTGGTGAAGAAACGAAAAGGGGTAAAGTCGCGCCATTCCCTCCTTAGGGCATTGGACCCCTGATTGCCCTTCAATAGAAAATACAAACTTGTGGAAATTGTCTTGCCTTCACACTCTAGACAAGCTGGAAACCAAAAATCCTTTATTTTCCTACAATGATTTTTGGCTAATTTGCGACTATGTAGGAAAGACTTTTCTGTGGGACCTCGCATTTGTTCCTAAATTCTCGTTAGAGCTAAACTGGTTGCCCAGCCAAAGCCCTCAGGACCGCCTCGTTTATCTAGATGAGTTCCAGGGGTCCCATATGGATGAGACCTACAATCGATTGCTGCCCTTACTGTTCTTGGTGCAGTGCGGTGGCGGCTATATTGAACAGCACATTTCACCATTTCTTTCTCTTTCAACAATCACCATTACTCCCTCTATTGCACCCATCGCGTCGAAAACGCGTCTCAATCCAACTTAGAAGCAGAAATCCCAGCCCAACCTCGTTGAAATGGCTAGTTCGAGCTCCGTAGCAGGGAAGATCCTGAAGAGGTGTGCCAATCCTTAGCAGCGTATTATTTGGAGTTGACCATGTTCAGAGCGAATCCATCGACGATACAAGACAAGTTTCTTGTGGGGTATCAAGGCTGGTGAGTGACGAGTCGGAAGTCCGACTCATGAATTCTTGACAGCCAAGGGTCTTGGTGCGAGGTGATGCAGTCCTCTAACTTGAACTTTTACCAGGTTCACCTGTCCAGGAGATGGAGAGCCAGTTGGCCCAGGTGCGCAAATCCATTGACGCCACAGCTGCTCTTGTCTGAATCGCTTCAATCGACTAGGGCATCACGGATGGCTACACTGGTTCAATCATCCAATACCCGATGGAGGACGACCCAACACCGATGTGTGGCCCGACGTCTCTACCTATTCACCCTCAGAACTCTTCCCAGCTCCCGGTCTCAAGAGGCAGACAGGCGAGCAAGTCTTCCTGTTCTCGTCGCGAAATCCACAGACGGTGCAGCGGCACTTTCATTGGATGGCAGAACACAACGTGGATGGGGCGTTTCTTCAGCGGTTTGCAGGGCAGTGTGACTTGGAGAGTGGGAACGAGGGCATTAGGAGGATACGCGATGAGGTCGGAGACCGAGTTAGGGAGGCAGCGGAGAAGGAGGGCAGGGTCTTCGCCATAATGTACGTCTCAGATTATTATCATCGCGACCATCTAACCGCCCGTAATACCCAGGTACGATGTCTCGGGCGTACCAGCAGACCGCATACAACGCGTCCTCGAACATGACTGGATGCATCTTGTCCGCACCAAACGCGTCCTCGACAGTCCTGCGTACCTGCACGAGAAAGGCCGACCAGTTATCGCTCTCTGGGGCTTCGGGTTCTCCGACGCGGGCCACACACCCGCCCTCGTCCGGTCCGTTACCCAGTTCTTCCGGAACGCGACGCCAGGTGGGGCATACATCTTCGGTGGAGCACCGTCGGGCTGGCGCACGGGCGAGGGCGACGCGGACAACGCCCGTGCCGGGCGCGGCTCGGCCTCCGAGTGGCTCGACGTCTGGCTGAACGAGTTCGACGCGATCTCACCATGGACTATCGGGCGGTACAAGGACGACCAGGAGGCGGACGAGTTCGCGGAGCGCAAGATGAAGGGCGACGTCGAGGTCATCAAGCGGCGGAACGAGGCGGCGGAGATGGCGGCCATGCGCACGGGCGCTAGGCCGAAGAAGGTGGACTACATCCCGGTCGTGTTCCCCGGGGGATCGGTGAGTTTGAGTTTAAAGCTTGAGCTAGATGTTAGGCAAGAAGTCGAGGCGCTGATCCATGATTTGCTTTTCCTGTTTCGTAGGGATACAATTTGTCGGAAGGGAAATGGGGCTTCAATGACATTAAGCGCCGCGGAGGCCGCTTTTTGTGGAAGCAAGTATTCAATGCAAAGAGGCTCGGAGTGCGGACGATGTATGGAGCGATGTGGGATGAGTATGTCCCTTCTCTCGATTTGATTCGTTTTCTTCTATTCTACGAATACCTTTGTCAACCATCATTCCGCAGAGGACTTTGCGCCCGACTTGAAATTGGAGCTGATCTCTTTTTTTCCTCGTTCAGGTACGATGAAGGCACGGCGTTTATGCCAATCGTCGAGCACAAGCGCAATCTCCCCCAATCCGACAAATTCCAATTTTTGGCGCTAGATGCAGATGGATTTGACGTGCCTTCGGACTGGTTAGTCTTTGACTTGCTATTATTTTATGGACTGGAACTCACATGAGGTACGACAATACCGAAGGTATATGCGCATATGTGGCTTCGCAGCTGAAGGTCTTCGGAGCGAACGGCGCGTCCACGAAACGTTCCCGGTCAAGGAGCTACAGGATTATTGGTCCTCTCGCCCAAGATATGAGGAGAGTGTTGCTACTGGAGGTTCATCTTCAGCAGATACCAGTGGAAGCAAGCCCGATGAAAATGTATGGCAATCGTACGAAGAATTCTTGGAAGCGGAGAAAAAAAATAAGCAAGACGAGGCACCACCGCCCCCGTATACCCTCGAGGCGGAGGAGGTGAGGCCTACTCCAGCCTCCGTTGGTGCAACACCTGCCGCGGTGCAACCACAGACATCTTCGGTGCCGCCTGCACAGGCGGCTCCGGCCACCACCATACAACTCGCAAATTCAGCCCCACAGCCTGCTCCGATTTCCACTCTGATCCACAATCAAGTTCCATCGACGACTGTGTCCCCTGCGCCTCAAGCTACCGGCCCCTCTGGTCCTGCAACAGCGACCGCACCTCCTCCAGTAAACACGAGCACTTATCCTGGCTACAACTCTGGCTACAACACGCCTGGTGCACCAGGACCATCACAACCATACAATGCTCCTGCTGTTGATCAAGCCAACTTCCAACACCAACCTCAAGACCCCGTAGGCGCGCTCGCGAACGACTTAGGAAGGCAGACGATTTCAGGGCAGGCAGGCGGCCTTGGCGGCCCGGGGTCAACCTACATACCGTTGTCGGGCGTCTCTCCACCACCTGTGCACCCTACACACCCTGCAGCGGGTAGCTCTGCGTATGGAAGACAGTCGCGACCTCAGTCTCAGTCGGGACTTCCTGGAGGACACTATGCGCACGCACACTCAAGACCGCAATCCCAACAAGGATATCCTCCAATTCCTGGTGGCCCACCGCCGGGACCACCGGGACCTCCAGGACCTGCACCGCCGCCTGTACATAGTCAAAATCAACCTTCTCAGTGGCCTCCTGCGGAGTGGGGTGTTGGTCCACATTCCAGCGCACCTCCGCCTGCTGGGCCTCCGCAATCAAGCTATACACCTCGCCCTCCGCCTCCTTCGCATCCGCATGTCAGCGGCGCCAATCTCTCGCGCCCTCAGTCTTTTTCAGCTTCGTCTTACGGCGCTGGTGGTGGTGCAAATTTAAGACCTAGTGCGAGCCTTCATTCAACCGGGCCAGCAGCGCCGCGGCCGCCCTCTCGACCTAGTACAGCTGCGTCTAATCTGAGCACACCTGGTGGTTCCAGCGCCTATCCTCCTTCAGCGATCTCTGAGCACCCACCCTCATCTTACCCCTCGGCTTACCCGCCCCCTTCTATGAGGCCACCTCAAGCCAGTGGTTCTTCGTATACGCCTTCTGGACCTGCATCTACGATACCTCCGCCAGGAGGCCCTCCTTCTCCTAGTTTCGGCCACGGATCGACGCCTTATCCTCAACCTGGAGGTTCATCGTACACGCCTTCTGTATCTCCAGGATTATCTTTCCTGGCTGGGCCACCGCCAGTGTCGTCGTATGCCCCTCCTGTCCCAGCGTCGAGCTTCCCAGGACAAAGTGGGTCTAGTTATCCCAGCCAAACTGGTTCTAGTTACCTTGGCCAAACTGGGTCTAGCTACCCTGGTCAGCAAGGCGGGCCGTCATTGTATAACGCCCCTCCTGTCCCCCCTGGCGGCCCAAGTTACGCTCCATGGTCAGGTGGACCCTCACATATTTCCCCACCGCAAAGCCCTCCAGGCCACGCGTTATCATTCCCCGGCCAGTCGACTTATCCCCAACCTCCTCCCGCACGACCATACGGAGATAGCGACGTTTCAAACCCACCTCTACTAGGTGGAATGCCTGGTGGTAGCGGTAATTCGAGTCCTGCACCGCAGTTCCCTCAAGTGTCCGGCGGAGATACGAGCTATTTCGCTGCTGGTGGAGGTGGCAGCATGGGCAGCATGCCTGGCGGTTCTTCGAGCTCTGGGTCTTCGTACCCTGGACAGCACGGGCCGTCGTCGACGTCTGCTTTTCCTGGTCAGTACCCACAGCCCTCGCCGGCTCCTTGGGTTCCCTCTGGTCCGGGTGGTTCTTCAACGCCTCCTGCCATCCCCCCGCGTGAGTTCAGGTCGCGTTGACTCAGCAGTGTGCATGGATCTATTCATGTCCTGCCACACCCCTTACTTTCGCCTTCGTCTTCGTGATACTGATATATTATTTATAGGACCTCCTACACAAGGACAAGCATCGTCGGCGTCATCGGGCTCCTCCTCTGGGCCTGGCTTCCCGATGGCATCGACGGCTGCCTATGGATATGCTATGAGCGCGGTGGATAAGGTCGCTGGAAGAAAGACGCGGCAGCAACTCGAGAGCCAGGTCGGGAGTCTTGCGAAGAGTGAGTCTTGTTTTCCTCCGGCGATAGTCTAACCGCGGGGTGACTGATCGGTGCTTCGATCGTGTTTAGGTGGAAGTAAGTTATACAACAAATTCATGAAGTAGACATAGCTCGAAGGTGAAGGGGTGCTAGTAGAGGCAGGGAAGCCGTCCACTACCGAAGAAGCGCGGTGAACTGTGATTAGAGTTTTTCTTTGGTATCGATGGTGATATCTTCATATTGGGCCTGTCAGTCCGTGCATTCGGCAGCGAAATCGTAATGTTTTTTCTAGCGCAAGCCCCGAGGCTTTGTGTTCAGGTAGCCTTCTGTTTTTGTCACAAACTCAGCTATTTCACCATACACACCTCGATCGTCCAATTGTTTCGTCCCCTACTGAAATGTCATGATGATTTTTGGACCGTTAGGTCGATCTCGGCGCTATTAACGGCATCGGAGACGATCTTTCGTGAAATCAGTGTGGCACACCCAGCAAGTATCTCTGACATACCTGGATCCGAACTGACAATCGGACCCTGAATTTCAGTCGTGCGGGTACACCTCGCCAAATTGTGAAAAAAGAGTATTAGGTTTCAAAATTAACCATCGATACAGCCGATAGTGAGCGATGTTGCTCATCCGTGATCGCGTCTGCCCCTTCCTTCTCGTCGTCCAAGGGGGAGTTCATAAGAATTAGGATCTCGAACTTGCGCGCCGGAAGGTAATAGGCAAGCAACCATGAGGTAAAAAGAAGGGAGCCGCGATACCCACAGATGATATCAGACAGCTGGAGAGAGCTTTCCGAGACATTCTGGGGTGCGTGTTGGTGTTTTTTCTTCGCCCGGAGCACGCAATGAGGCTCGCCGTTCTGGAATTCTGCGTCCGTACGTGAAAGGACTCGCGGGGCGATGGACCAGTCAATTATGGCTGTCTTGGGCAAGAGGTCCACGATCAACATGCGTGAAAACATGAGGACGTGAAAATGAATTCTGCGAGTTGACATGGGACCCAATCAGAACCTGCGGCGAAGACGATTGGGCGTGCAGAAATCGAAGTGGAGTCGACCAGGCGCCAGGCAGGTCCGGTCACCCTCTCTTGGGCGATAAGTCGAGTTGGCTCAGATGACCAGAAGGGAATTCTGAGCGGTGGGGGTAGACGGTTATCGAAGAGTAACTAATTGGCAGGCTCCTGAGCTGGAGTAGAGACGAGATCAGTAAAGATAAGTAAAGAAAGATTAGAGTGGGCCTTCGATGATCTTGTGGGAAGATAGACAGGCCCGGTTCGGAGTGAGCTCCGCGATGTCTACGTAAAATCCAACGAAGGACTCGAGGATGGTGGCAGGTGCCTGGACTTCCAAAATTCACATCGTTCTCATGAGGAGACGTATTAGATCGGGATAATATATAACATCACTCACCCGCTTTTCAGATACCACCCTTGGAACGACGATGCAAGCACCGCAGTACGCACCGCTGCCACCCGACTACTACACCACCGCCGCCCCGCCCGTCCAGCAAAGCCCCATCGCCGACGCGTATCTCCCCCCAAATGCACCGCCAAATGTTACAAACGGCTTCTCGAGGGGATCATCCTTCACTTACCCACATCAAGACTATGGCTACCTGGTTGGCCGCGGAGAGTTAGCCTCCCGACTGTGCACTGCGAGTCTTGTGGACAATACCTTTGACGCCACCGGGCTGGGATTCGCCGGGAACCCTTCGTCGAGTGGCTCTTTTGGACCGCCCGAGGACATACCGGCGTACCAGCAGGAGAGTTGGGGCTGGAATGGGGCCCCTAGCGAGGGAATCATCGCGCCTGCACCAGTATACGCCGCACCCCCGGAGCCTACTTATTTGGGCGGAAGGGGGGAGGCCCAGCACCCATCGACCGCGCGCTCCCCCGTCGCCCAGGTCCTGACACCCGCTGCAATGGCTGTTCTCCTCAATCCGCACGGTCGATCGGAAGGGGATCCTCATCCTCAGCAGAGCGCGTACGAACCCGCACACGCGGGCCCCGCTATCGTCGCGCACCCCGCATCCGCATCCGTCGCCCCCGCGGCGAGACCACAGGCCATCCGCCCGGGTGTCGCCACACAGGCCCACGGAACCCTGGACTCCCAATCGCGGGAGAAGAAACATGCTTGCACGATGTGCCATAAACGGTGAGCGCCCTGCTCCGTTTTTTCGATAAATCCAGGCCGCTGAAACCCAGTCCGTGTAGATTCGACCGGCCTAGCACCCTTAGGAAGGTGAGTGGATCGTCTCATGCGCAAGTTAAAAGAAACTTTGCTCACGAGGTCCCCTCGGTGGTGTTTTCATTTGTCCGTCTTGCAGCACCTGCTGGTACATACCGGGGAGAAAGGTAAATTAGCTTGCCGTTGGAGCAGAGGGTCGTCACTGACCAGTCTTTCAAGCTTTTGTCTGCGACACCTGTGGCCGTCGCTTTGGAGTAGCTTCCAATCTGAACAGACACGTCAAACGGTGTATTTTAAAACCCGTGAACACCCCTTCGCCGTCCCATAAATCCTCTGCGAGTGGATCCCCAGCCTCTCTCACCGACTCCCCTGAAGTATCCACCGCCATGCCGCCCTCAGACGACTCGCGTCCAGGCAAGCGCCCGCGCATGCCAAGCTCTCCGGAGGACTCGCCCACCAGCCCGTCTTCGTCGAACGGCCAGGCCGCATCAAACTCAGCCGACCAAGCTAGGGCCCGACCAACGGGGCAGAAGCGCCGCCGTCGCGCACCTTCGCCATCCCAGTGGGTCCCCGCGACCCTCCAGAACTTCAACCTCCTCTCCGACGACTCGTACCGCATAACCCCTGTCCCCCTCCCGCCGGTGCGTCCCAGCCCCCCAAAAGAAGAACGCGACTCCTGGGACGAGAACGTCGGGCAGGCGCCGTACCACCCGTGCGGATGGAATGGGATCCTCCCAGGTCCAGGACTTGGCCATGGTCTTGGGCTCGGGGGCAAAGACGTGCGCAACCTGAACCTTGGCGGGCGGGGAGGTTTGATGATTGGACGTGTCTTGGTTTTTTGACCGTGCCGGATTTTCTTGGAAAGAGGAAGGAAGGAGAAGACGATGAGAAAAGACGCATATATATATGCGGTTTTGGAGACGACATGACACCAGCAAGATTACGACGGCTTTTGGAATGGCCCAGACACGACCCAGACATGACATGAAGACAGAAGGCAGTTGGGCTGAGGAAGGAAAAGCGAGAAAGTGGGAACGCCAGAGGTATTCGCGAGGCCAGAAGTACGGTTCGCGATTTCATTCGACGCTCGTTGACAGTAAGCATGCTGGGCGAGCAGACGTCTTCGGTGTTTCTTTTTCGCGTCTTGTATGATTTTCTTTTCTCGTTGTACGATAGCTTGCATTTTTGGGGGTTGTCGATTTTCTGGAGATACTATCGAACATTGGGACGGGCTGTATTTGACGAAACCGTAGTAGACGCTTTCAACGATAGATATGCCGAGTATTGGTAGCTTGAGAATTCGGAGTTGAGCCAGAGGTAGAAGAGCATTCGGACTTCTTGGAATATTCATGGTTAAACATAGCCCCTATATGCGCGTCTGACTCGACACGTCAGATTCTGAGAGGCTGCCTCAGCGAACCTCGTTCAACCATTCTGAATTCCTGGAGGTTTGCTGGGCGTTATCGTAAATGTCGGACTCGGGCAAGACTTTATCCCGCAGCGTAAAATGCATTCTTCAAGCCAGAAACAGTTAGAAAGGCCAGAGACCGTCCAGAGAGGAAGAAAATATATCAGAAGCCAATATTGACAGCCTTCCTTGACGTGAATGCCGTTTGTTGTTGGCTGCAACGGAAGCAGGAGAAGAGCCGGTACATCCCGTCAGAGCCTTTTAGCAAACAGAGCCAAACTTTGTCGCCTTTACTGTGACCGAGCTCTTCTGCTCCAGTTGAACGTTCAAGACCACCACACGACCACTACGAATAATCCAGCGTCTCTTCTGTCCTTTAACACAGTGTAAACGATTTGAACGCCCAAAAAGGTCCCATACGTCCGCTGGACACGTGGAAAACTCTGAAGGTCGTCCAACAAATTACGCGTTTGCTGTGCCTCAAACACCTTTCTGCATGAACCAACACCATGCCTATCACCCCCGACCAAAATGCCGCAATTAAAGAAATAATTACGACGATCATAAGCCAGACGGCACCTCGAGGAAAGCGGCAACTAGCCGCAATGTTTATGGACTTGGTGGATCGGAGAGGATGGCCACATTACTACGAGGTGCGTTCAACTTCCTTGCATATTCGGACGTCGTTCTCGATCTCACTTGTCGCAGGTCATTCCTGAACCACGGTGCTTAAAGCAAATCCAGTCTGGAGTCGAAAAAGGGCGATACAAGGAAGCAACCGACGTGTACACCGATTTGTCGCTCGTGTTTTGGAACGCGTTGTACTACAACGAGGACGACAGCCAGATAGCTGCAGATGCGAAGACGCTCAAGGTACGCGATTCAAACGTGGCAGGCTCTCCAGGTGGTTAACGTGACTTAGAATACCCTAGAAGCCGAGTGGAAGAAGCGAAGCGTGCTCCCAAATACACGCTCTTCACCCCCACCTTCATCTGCGCAGAAGGTCCACGGAGGCGTAGAGACGAAAGGAGAGTCGGGTCCGACCCCGGCCCCACCCCCAGCCGCGAGCACGTCGCAGCCGCAATCCCAATCCCAGTTCGCATACACCAAACCCATACCGATTAGACCCAAGTCGTCTGCCCAAAACCAGCCAACACCTGACGTAGAGGTGGACGTAGTGTCACAAGATTCCGACGAGGAGGGCGAAGGTCCTTCGGCGCCCGTGGAACGAGATCCACGCAGTGAGGAGATCGTGAAGCAATTGGAAAAGGGCTTACCCAGATTCCCTGGGTTTGGAGAGGAAGGGTGGATGGACGAAGTTACTCCTGTGAGTCTTCTTTTCATTACTTGTACTTCGTTTCTTCAATTAATGGGATGGGGAATATAGGGCCGCCTTTCGGATATTGTTCATACGATCAAGAGCTATAAAGACGTCATGTGGGTGGTTAGATCGCTGTACTGGAAGACGAAGTTGAAGAATTATCTGTAGTGGTAATCGGGTTGCGACATGCTTGGAATCTCTGCCGGAAGATTCGTCCCCGGCTCTGTATCTGTCCGACACAGCACCGATATCTCTGAAGCAGATCGAGGTGGGCCGTCACCCGGGCTTGTCGGTCGTCGGACGTAGCTAACTTGCTTCTCAGACGCGAACGAGGCATAAGATGTACAAAAACGCGAAGGACTTCGACAAGGATATGATGCGGTTGTTCGAGAAGGCACGGCGATGGCACGAGCCTGGTACAGAAGCCTATGGTCGAGCACTACTCCTTCAGGTATTTCCTTATCTCGTTCGTGAATGTATGCGCGATGTTCATCTTTCAAAAGCGTCTATATCAAGCTCTAACAGGCCCGAACCCCATCGCTCCTCCATATGTCTCGTCAACGAACTTCGCCTCTCTAAGGGCTGGTCCAGGAAATGTGAAGCCTGTGCACTCACAAGAGAGCGACCTGCCAAGTGTGACCGTAAACAGGACCCTTACGAAAGATCGTGTCTTCGTCGATGAGGTACACTTCAAAGGGTGGAGGCTCGGTGTCGCCGATTGGGTCCATCTCAGCAACCCAGATGACCCCAGCCGGCCCATCATCGGCCAGGTATTCAAGTGCTGGCTGTCAGACGAATTGTGCGTGCTCTAAGGTTCTGTCTATCTCTCACATCTCGATGTCTGACAGTTCCATTGTTTTGTAGCGATAAGAAAGGGAACCCTGGTATTACGGTCTCATGGTACTATCGTCCCGAGCAGGTCGGTGTTTTCCCATAGGAACGGGCGTCTATCATCGCGCTTACAACCACCATCCTTTCAATCAGACTTTCCACCCCGCGAATCGGCAGTTCTGGGCCAACGAAGTATTCAAAACGGGTACGTAAGATTGCCCTTTCATTATGCTCCTTATGTTCCTCGCGTCTGTTTGTCTGTCTGCCTGTCGCGCTGTCCATCCATCGATCTATTCATAATCATGAAGCTTATTTACCACACACCCGCGCCACTATCCCAGGTCATTATGCGGACCATCCAGTGGAAGACCTCATCGAGCGGATCGCGGTGCAGTTTGCGGCACGGCACATCCGTGGGCGCCCGCGCCCGCCGATCTGGTATCTCGGGTTCCCCCTGTATGTCTGCGACTCGCGGTATCGCGACCACGAGCGCGTGTTCAGGAAGCTGAAGAACTGGAACCAGTGCGTGCCGGACGAGGTGAGGGGGAAGGAGGAGTGGATGCAGATATACCCGTTTGAGAAGACGGTGTACCCGCCGACTGTCCCGAGCCCGTTTGTGGGGAAGGGGAGCACGAAGGGCGGTCCTGGTGTGAGCAAGTACCCGGGGGGGTTGATTAGTGCGACAGAGAAGGAGAAGGAGAAGGGAGAGAAAGCTGAGGGGCAGGGCGAGGCGTCATCCAGTAGAAAGAGACCGCAAAATGCGAGCTTGGGCGCGACGGCGACGGCGAACGCAACTGCAAATGCGGCCGCGCGTGCAAGCTCGAGCACACCGGCGAGGACGATCACTTCTCCTGCGACTTTTGCGACACCAACGCCAGTACCTTACCAGCAACAACAGGCCGCAGCCTACCAACCGCCCGCCATACCGCGTCCAGCAGGACCCGACCGGTCAGTTATCACGGCCGCTGGAGGTCTCGCCGCGATTGGCGGCCTCGAGCAGGTCGAGCGGCTGCCACCTGAGACAAGTAAGTGCATTATTCACCGTCTTGCAAATGCAACGCAACGCAAAACGCGTGCGTATCACATGGAGAGTGGGCGAGAGAGAGCCTCCGTGAAACGATGAAACGGCGTGTTCGTGTCCTGGATTGAATGCTGATCCCCATTTATTTTGTTTGCGTTTTTCAGCGAGACTGTTGGACCGCGACCCCGATACTAACGAGGTGCTGTGGTTCGCGGCGCCGCCCATGAATACACCCCGTGCGAGTGGTGCGAGGCATAGTTTGGCGTATCTTGAGTTTATTGCTGCAAAGAGAAGGAAGGCAGCTGGCAAAGGGGAGGGCGATGGGGAGGGTATGGACGTCGACGGAAAAGGACCTGCGAAACGAGCTCGTGTGGCGGTTCCACCTACCGTTATGGAGACGACGAGGCAGGTGCTCCAGCAAATGCAGCAGTACCAGGAGCAGATGGCGGTCGATGGATAGCGCGCGCGCTCGAGCGCTCATACCGGTCTATCCTGTCTTTCAAGTTCTCGTCATCTTGCCGTGATTCTGGGGTTCTGGTTCTTGCTGCTATGTCGGTTTGTTGAAGACAAGTTGTTTATATGTACGTTCTTAATCTTCCGGTATAGGCTGATTGCGCATCCTTTTTTGGTTCAGATTGTTCCTGGAAGTGCGGCAAGGCGTTCGACACGAGCCGAGTAGACGAAGCTATTGGGGAAAGGATGCCTTTACTTAGGTGTCCCCCGAATCCGATGACTTCAAAGCGTGTTACATCTGACAAGTATGTATATCTCTATCTTTCTCCGATGAGATCACGGCCTATCCTAAGTCCTTTGCTTTGGATGATGCATCATCATCAATGAAAGCGCACTGAATGGGACGGCGACATGTGATGAAAAAGCACGTCTGTCATCGCAGCTTTCACCTCTCTCGTCTCCGAGACCGTCCTTCAACGTCTACGCACTGCCTCGTCGCCCGCATCTGGACGCGTTCAACGCTAACCAGTGACGCTGAGTCGAAAGGACATAAGCATTGTTGGACCCGTGGTAACCATTCTCATTGCTGCAAGTGTTACAGGTGCCCACTTGCGTCGACCTGAAATCCACAATCCGTTTCATCTGGTTTGTTCAGGGATTTTTTCGCCTCCTGGGGTGTCGGCCCTTCCGGATTGAGATGTGTCGAGCGGTCGCTGCGCACGCACACCCAGGAAGGAAGACATACCTGCGAGTCCATTCTTATAAGTCGTGCACAAGTCTGCGGCGTTCACAGCGCGCGGGTGACGCACCGCTCACAGGTCGCGGGCCCTCTAGAATGTCATGGAGCTCTGTCTCTTCCGCCGGTGCAAAGAATCGAGATGAAGGCATAACATTTCTTCTGCTAAATGAAAGAACTCTCATAATCGCTCAGCTTCGCAGGCCTGCACTTGCCGCGCACCGACGACAATCCAGCCGCAAATAAGCTTTGAGGTCAGGGTCTCCTTGTGGGTGGTTCGGAGGGCCCGGCATTGCCCTGCCGTGCGTGACATACGCGTTAGGGTGCATGTGGTGTGCCCTTATATGTAGGCGCCTTGACACAGATCTCGATAAATCACCGATCTCTCAGGCTTGTGTGTGTTATATTTCACCTCCGCGCTGGGCTTTATCAGCCTTGTCCCTTCTTGACCGGAACCCTTACCCACAGCGCAGGTCCCCCACAAGCCATGCCGCACGTTCCCCTCGCCTTGTTGTTCGCTGTTGGACTAAGCTCGGCGCTGTTGGTCAGTGCGACCCCTGGACCATGGTCGACGTTGGAAAGCCGGGCCGCCCAGTCGGAAGCCACCTGCACGTCCGATTTTGCGTGGATGGAGAACTCGAACCGTCTGTCGCCGTGCCAGGTGGCGTCGCAGGTCAATGCGTTGTGCAACAATGGGGGTGCGTGTGCTGCTTGCGTTGAGGATGAGCCTAGTGCTGAAGATTCGACGCAGATTGGAACATCCCGAAGCTCGACGCCTCAGTAAACTACCAGTACCCCAACAGCCTGAACGGAACATCAACTCTGTGTACATGGTGAGCGAACCTCTCCAAGCCCTTACTGCCTGTTCTGCACGCTGATGGTGAAATGAATCCAGCTCGTGGGCATCATATAATCTCATGAGCGCATGCATGGCTTGTCAGGGTTTTCCGGAGAAGATCCCTAGGTGCGGAGCATTCATGACCTCAAGTGCCAGCAAATGACTGATGGGATATGTCTACCTGCTAGTTTCTCTCCGTATGTCTCCGATTGTGTTGGGAAGCTCTCCGACACGTTTGTACCTTTTACGACAAACCAGTATGACGGGTGTTGATGATTATGTTGCAGGTACTTCCCCTCGAACCTCACCTTGCCGAGGGACGTGTTAATCCCGTTCTGGGCTGGTACAAATCGTAAGATATTCCTACTTGACGCTGGATAGGATTCTAAGACCTTTTTTTTACCCAGCGACTCAATGGCTAAACGAAGCGTTCAGTACAACAGAGGCGAGAAACATTGCGAATCAAGGTGAGTAGCGGACCCGTCGATCTTGAAAGTTTCTTAACGTTTATCGTCATGTAGGAAATGCTGACCTCGGTAGCTCACCTCCAGCCTCGAGAAAGTCCACGCCTGTCGGAGCGATAGTAGGCGGTGTCATCGGAGGACTCGTCGTGATCGCTGCAGCGGCAGCCGTCGCTTTCTACATCCTACGGAAACAACGTGCCCATGGATCCTCCAAGGGACCTTCATCCCTGATGGGCCTGGGGACTACCCACATGCGCTCGACGTCGGACGTGACCACGAAGTCGATGGCGTACACCACCCTGTCCTCTACCCCAATGGTGACCAACCCCCCGACGAGCCCAACCGTTATCACGCACGGCACAAGCAGCGTGCGCTCCATGCCCTTCTTCAGCTCTGTTATCGGAAGCAGCTACTCGCCATCCCCGCCTCCTGCGCCCTTGCGCCAGGCGTCGCCCCCACAGAACCGCGAGGACATCATCGTCCCGTTCACCCTGCCGCCGGCGAACGACAACCCGGACAGGAAGCAGGCGAACGGGGCGTACCCGATATACGACTCGCCGACCGCGCCGCCCCCGGGCATGGGCGCAATGCGCATCGAGGCCGCCGCTCAGCCAGCCTCGCCGCAGAGGCGCCGATTCAACCCGCCCGCGTACACCGAGACGTCCCCTGGGGACACGTCCGGGTCTGCGTCGGGGTCGCGGCATAGAGGAAAGCAAGGCTCGACGGACACGAACCACTCGACGCCGTCGAGCGGCCGGACGGGCGCGCCACAGCAGCAACGACCAGCTCATACACCAGCGAATAGCGGCTCAAGCATAGGGCAGATAGGCGTAGCTAGCGCTGGTGCGGGAGTTGGTGCTAACGTGGGGATTGCGAACGCGCTCGACCGCGCAGAGGGAGCGCCGGCGCCGGTACGCCCACAAGTGCACGGCCGTCAGCTATCTGGAAACTCACGCGATGACAAGCGGCAGCCGCCTGGAGAATTCAGCGCGAGCGACATCGCTTGAGATGTCGGACGCTTTCTGCCGTCTTACCACTTCCATCTTCCTGGACCCCTTTGGCCCCCCTTTGCCCCCCTACCCACTTTCCCCCACACGCACCACTTCCCATCCTGTCGTTCCTGGCATTTCTTCCTCCCCTTTCTGATAAGGTGCAGCCACGCTCAAGCGTCAAGAGCGCAGGTTGGGCGGTGCGAGCGCTTCTTTGATCTTCCGCTTCGTTTCACGCCTTCACGAACGGACACTTCCCATGATGATTAACAACGCCGCCAATTTGTAAAACGAATCTGTGTTGTATGTCTTTTTTTCTGTATGAGTAGCCGCCTCCGCCACTTTACATATATTACACCCAATCACATAGAAGAATCCAAAACAACCCACTCTTCATGTCTTGAGGCGCCATTTACTAGTCGTCTTTTTAACTGTATTTAATACTATAGAACAAAGGTGTTAATGTTCAAACCTACGGTGACACTGACATGGGGCTGCTATTCCTTCTTCAGCGCGGGAGGGCAGCTGACCCCCACGGCACATTCGCGGCAGTGCGAAGGACGTCGCTCGCCTGACATGAGTCTTGGTCTTGGAAGTCCTTCTATACAAAGGGAGACATGAGCGTGGGCACGGCCCACGAGTGACGATGCCGATGGGCAGGTACCTCAATTATGGAGGTACTGGTCTCCGACGCCGATGTGGTTTTTATACACTGCACAAGCCCGTGGTTTTGCCATGGGCGCCTTTGTGGAAGCGAGGAACGATGGGGCCCATGCGCTCAGCTCACAGAGCGCCTCACAGAGCGGTGCCCGACGTCTGCGTTGATATCAAGTGATAGACAGACGTCCACCACTATCTGACCGACTCCGGGGTGTGGGCCACCCGCCACGCGATGCTGTGGGTTCGGCCTTGGAATAGGTGGGCCCACGGGCCACGGGTAGGCAGATAGCAATTCGAAGTCTCGCTCGGCACTTGTTCGAGTGCGCCTACGTATTCGGACGAAGAATTCTTCTGGACGCCAGAGCGTGTGCTTCGACGCGCTGAGCAACGAAAGATTGCAGAAAGAAGTTGGACTCGGAGAAACTAGATGCTGCAGCTATAAATAAGTAGATGTGGGCAGAATCCCCTTCCTTGCCTCGCAGTGAGTCCTAAAATAACGTTTACTACGAGTAGAACCCGACCGAGAATGTGGCTGAGCCCGGTCGGATTGTGTGATAGTCAGAAGATGGAAGGAACAATCTGCACGTATCAGGCAGGAGAGAACTAGAAGCGTCAGTAAGCTTTGGCAAATATCGGAGAGAAGATGCTGGGTTTACGCGATGCGTTTGTCAAGATGTATACCCACTGGCTGATCACACCTTGTTATCCCACGTCATGATCCACAAGAAGATGGATGATTTATCCTGGATGAATAGATACCCACATCGTCGTCCGAGGAGAATGGAAAGGCTTCTTATTCGTTCTCGAGACCTGCGGGGTACCAAGACCGTAGATAGAAGCAAGATAGACCTCGATTTTAACCTTAAATAAAGCTCGAGGGGATTCTGACCGTCGGGAGCTCCACAGAAAGTTTTCCTTTAACCACAGCCTCGTATAATTAAAGCTTGGAGTGGGAGAGTGCGGCACCTTTGCCAACCAACTCTGCCTAAAATCTAAAGTAGAACCCAGGAGATATTGGCGTCGGAGTGGTTGGCCTAGGCAACTTCACTTGATTGCCAAGGCCCATATATACATGGACAATCAACGGCGATCTGTCACTGCGAGGGGAAGACGAAGAAAGAACCACTCTTGAAACAGAAACCTGCAAGCACTGGTACATTCCCAGTTTTGCAACCTTCCGGGCCTTTTATCTGCACCTCCTGATCACTGTTTCAAGAATCCTCGACATACCGACATCCCAGGAAGAAGGTTTGAAGTCATAAAGCCATAACGAGGATACGCAGATCGCGAACACTGCCCGCGAAGCGCAGTCTGGGTGTCTAGATTGTTTAGAGAAGGTCTTAGCCGCGTGCTGCGTGTGCGATGGATGGGCGTACTTGGGGCGCCACGCTCGTGAAGTTGGGTTAGAGACAAGACTTAAATGGTGATGTCCGCAAAAGATGAGAAGGTAAAGTCTGATCCTGGAGCTTGATGGTGAAATATCCACGCAAGGAGGGGACAAAACTGGTTATATAGTCGACATCTCTACCTTCAACCTTCCCCAGAAATGTCACCACAGGAAACTCGTCCCCCACGAAGCGCACAGTGCCCATGCTCAGCGATGCCTCGAAGCGTGCTTGGACTCTATAACAAGAGAACGAATTCCTATAACATGAATCGACTCCAAATAACGGGAAAAGGCCATAGCGTAAGTGAGAAGAGGGACGCCATCGTCACTGCGTCTCCAGCGGCAGCGGGCGCTTAACTTGGCGCTTAGCGGAGGACACAGTGCGTCAGGGGTGTCACGAGCGTGACTCACTACGTCTCGCCAGGGACAGCCGATAGTCTGGGATCCAGGTTCGTACTCCTGTTTGACATTATGCCGCAGTACCCTTTTGTGATTGAGACAAGATAAGTCTGCGTCCTGCGTATGGATACCGACTTGAACCCGCGATGCCAACACGAACTTGTAGGGACGTTACCCTGGATTTATGTCACATATCATGACCATTCCCGGAAATATTTATCCGGATGGTTGAATTCAACTAGGGTTTTGTTCAATCTAGGATCGGCATGTCCCTTACCTGGCATCATGCAACGAGCGCTTACTTGTTTAAAATTTTGGTACAATGAAAGGCCAGATTCGACAACGCACTCCATATCCACTCGAGCGCGAGCAGTGGCCCAGAAAAAATAAATAGTAAATGCACATTATTAAGGTCCCTTTTCAACACTCCTCTACTCACGAGCCCGCACAGCCGGCTCGTATGTTGGAGGAAGCTCAATTTGCATCTGCTGCATAGCTTGAACCTCTCTTATCGCGGCAAGCTCCCTCTGGATCTCCTCAAACTGCCTTCGAAGTTGTATAGTGTCTTCACTTCGGGGGACATCGCTCATCGTCGGAGGTGCTGATGACAGCTCGGACGTTGACCGGGCGGGATAATGGTTACTCGTAAGTAGGATTTCCGCCGGCACAGATGCTGTCTTCGAGGATTTTACCAGCTTTTCGCCGTCGAATGTGAATGGCATTGCTTCTTGGGTTGCTGTTGCCGTGCTCCTGGACCTTCCACGTCGGATGAGGAATGCGAGACCAACTATCAACAGCACGAACGCAAGCCCTCCAATGGTGGTGCCAACGATCTTAGCAGTTCCAAAAGAGTTTTCCTCGGCGGATGCCCCAGGGATGAGTGGATTTGAGGTCGACGTCGGCAGGATAAGATTGACGACCTGGTCCGGAATTCTAGTACTAAATTAGAGGGGGATGAAAGGACATAGTAATATCACTGACTCTGGTGCAAGCAAAGCAAACATGGCGCCTTGGCCAGGGCTAATCTGGTGTATCAGATGGAAGGCAAGAAAGACCCCAAGCTTGATAGCGAACCTTGCACAACCTAGGGACGCGACCCCAGAGTTGGAATCATAGATCGTGGGCCACGGACACTCAGTTCGATTCAAGAAAGCATAAGCGTGGACCTTAGAGATCATTTCATCCCTCACGGAATCGCTCGTGACTGATGCTGCTGTGAATAATGACCAATCTCAAGTTCGAAAACATTGATTAGAAGTTTAGCCGTCAAATCAGTGTTCTATACATCTTACCTGACCTTGTTATCGGTGAATTGCTGGTGTAGGGAAATCCAAATGGACCGACTGTAAAAATACCATCGCTTAAAAAGGCTGAACCTTCAAGGTGGAAGAAAACGTACCCGACGCTGCTCTGGACGCGTAGAACGAGGTTTGGGCATTGATCGTCTACAACATAATTGAATTGGTCGACCATTCAAAGGAAATAAGGACACATAAGCGCACCCCTTTGTCGACCAAAGATACATTCAACAATTTCGAAGCGTACATATTATGGACCAGGCCCCAAGAAGTTTCAACTCCGGGTGTCGATGTGACGTGATCAGATAGAAACGAAGAGTTCCTCCATTCGTTGAGCAGTAACGTCGCGCGGTCCTTGATCACGCAATTAAACATCAGTAGAGTTTGAAGTCTAGGATTCGGACCACAGCGTACCGAGTAATATTGTTGCCTTGAAGCGATATCGGGCGAGGCCGACCTATCAAGTCCCAGTATTTCCGACATTGCATAAAGGGCGTGAATACACTTCAGCGCGGTATTTGAGTCGAAGACGCCCATTGTATCGGAGGTCAAGCTTGGGTTCGGGGAGGTCAGAAGTGCCTACAAAAGAAGACATCATTACCAAAACATACAGAATACTTCTATTTGCGAAAGGCGCTTCATAAAGGTAATCTGCCCAGTCGAGTAAGAGCGGGAGCTGTATAATGCGAGAATTTCTTAGGATGAAACAACTGCAAGCAATGGGGCCGGAATGTGAAAGCGAACTAACATGGTTTTGAATCAAACTTCCATCTCCGGATTTCTTCGCGTGAGCTAAGACCATGATGAGCATTGACGAGGTGGCTGGACACCAAAATTATCACTCAAGAAGTGCAAACAAAAATTTGAACGTTCTCACTATCGGCACCATACATCGATTGATCTCTGCTTGGTCCAGTTGCATCTGGGTAACTGGAACCTAGAGAATGAATTAGGATATAGAAGAATTTTCGAGTCAGAAAATTTTACCCAAGTCCATTGAAGCGTAGGAAGGGGAGTTCTGAACCCCCTTCCTTGCAGTGCCATACTCTAACAGGGGAAGGAGAAGAGCTCCTGCAAGAGAAGCATTGAAGTACAAAATGCCGGGAAGAGAACCGTAGATGGTTTCAACAGGATTTGTCTGTCTGGAATGACAGTTGAGCTGAGGTGTCACAAGAGTATGAGCCTCGTCCCTACCTGGTAGTTCCTGTGTCTTTCATGAATACGCGTATTTTTGCCATACCAGTGGCAGCAGCTCCAGCAGCTGTAGTTGTTACGGAGGCTCCCACAGTCAACGTTAGTTCTGGGACTGTAATATCGAGGGCTGCAAACATTTGTCGGACAGACAAGGCTGCCAGATCGGCATATTGGGATGATACCTTCCCTGCGTCTTCCATCACCTTCCTGTCGAGAGTCACCGATCTCGTCAACGCATTCGGAAAATCCAGAATAAAGTCGTCAATCTGGAGCCAATGAGATGATCAGCAGCTGGAGAGGTGTCACTTGGCGATGGCTCACGGCTTCGTCGATTGAAGTATATTTGGTCCAGAAGAAGGAATGGTGTTGTTGGGGGTCGTTGTCCCTGGGGGTCTGAAATTGGATTGTTGGCTGACGAACAAGGCCGATAGCCCAGACGACTGAAGGCGATGCTTGCTGTATGCTGCCCAAATCCACAGACGCGGCTAATGCCGGTTGATTGGCATTGCTGCAATCGAGGGTATATTGATCAATTGAAAAAGGGAAATAGATTCATTCATGGGAGCGTACATCGGGCGACTCGCAGTGTCCTGTGTATTTGTTAGAGAACCGTTGTTATCGAACTGTCGGCGAAGGGCCTGGGCCCAGTTGGTTTCCCACGTAAGTCCCGGAGACTGGAGCATTGATCAGGACGAAGATGCAAGGAATAAGATATAATATGCCCACCTCTTGTGATATTGCCAGGTAGAGGTTGCTATCTTTTGCGACGCCTTGACCCTCCTGGAAAGCTTGAGGTACAGAAAGTTGCATTGAATGAATAAGCGATGTTGCGCTTGAAGTTGTATTCCACTTGACGGTGTCCTGGTCATCAGCCGAGAGCCATTCTGCACCAAGAAAGTTGAGTACTGAGTAAAAACCCCTAAACAAAGTGCACTTACGCCCTGATGTGTCAAAATAGAACTGGACTCCATGCCTTTGGCCGTCGGTTGACCACACCGCGTCTATTGAGATATACGAGAACGGAAATGACTGGCGAACCCAATCAGACGGCTGTAAAGAAGGTAAATTTAAAGCCTCAGGTGCATTCCATGTTGAGATGATTAACCTCTACTGGGCTCAGATATGTGACATTGAATCGTATAGGTCCTGCTTCGAATGTCAAGATCGTTCTCGTGGCCGTCAAGTAAATCGCGGTCGTATTAATAGTCGGAAATTCAGGTTCGACACCATGCCATTGATAGCCTTCCCCGTCGACGCGCACCATTCCTACAGACTCTATTGGCTGAATGTTGCTAAGAATTAGTTTCTTATAGGAAGGAAGCAGCTCACCCGCCCATTCCATAACTTTCGCCAGTCTATATTAGAGGCCACATCATGATATCAGAAGCCCTCACTTCAGCCCATAGATTCAAGTATGGTGACCGGACAGCCAGTGGGACAAGCCAAGGGATTTCGGTGATAAATTGGCAAAGGGAAAGGGGCAAGGAAGTCGCAAAGAACGAAATCGAGGCAAGAATGCGCCAGCGGGCCATTTGCGAAATCGGACACAGAACGTCTCCCGTCGTAGCCTGACGAGACTCCGTGACTTGTGTCACAAGTGACAATCTTAAGGATCAAGTAGCCAAGGCCCAAGACTGAGTGGACGCGGCGGTCGATGTCCTGGCCTCGGAATCCTGGAATAGTACGTCAAACTCCACCATTTTTCCTGGGACATTGGTTGTTGCTGTGATGAAATATAATTTTGTTTGACATTGAGCGCTGAAGGTATTAGCAAGATTTTAGCAAGAGTTTAGAGACTTGCTTGGCGTTCGTCGTCGAAAATGGGTTCACTGATCGAGGACTTCCCAGGACTGCGTGGGAGAGCGTGAAGAAAATAGTTTCTGTTGTAAACTTCTTTGGGACTTAAATTTACCATTGGGATACCTCGACGGGCACGAACCATTCAAGAACCATTAGGATGCCTCGATAAGTGGAAACTATCGGGATGCCTCGAGAGGCTTGTACCCTCGAGATGCTTCAATAGGCTATGGTAGTCCTTTCGTCTTTCAACAAGGCACTCGCCGCTAAAGCAATCGTCGACGGTCGCACCAGGTCGCACCACACCCGTGGAGAGACCCATCGCTGCGCCGACATCCTCGATACCTAGTATCAAGATGCCTTGACTGGCCACGCGGCCACGGCTACAATTGGTTTCATAGAGGAAAACTGCGCTCAGTTTTCCTCGCTGAATGCCGGCCACCTTCACCGACATCAGCAGCGACGACGAAGCACTTCGCCTGAGCACGCCCAATCGGGCGAAACGGTGGCTATTCATTTTCCGGAATGGCTGTAAGACTTTGACTTGAGGGTCCGGAGTCCACTCCTGAGTCCTGACAAAGACTGGGTGTGCGGCCTGCCGCCTCCCTTTGCCATCTACTTCAACACGGAAAGCTACATACCGTGTCTGGGATTATCCCAGTTGTTATTATTTCCGCACTTTCTCCTGAGACCGTGAGTCTTCTTGGCTGTCATGTCCATCCTGGATGACGATGAGTTTGTGTCAGTGGTTGGGAGAACCCGCCCTGACCCCCGTGTGGTTTTAACAAGATGTGACCCAAGCTGAACCCACCAGGTCAACACAAACCGTAAAGACGATGCCTGGGGTTTTCTGCTACATAATATGGCGACTATCCACCAGAAGAATGATGCCCATGAGGCACTTTTCTTTCCCGGCAAGATTTGCTCTAAGGGTTGAATTCAATTAGGATTTTGTTCAGCTTAGGATCGGCATGTTCCTCGGCTGGTATGACGCGACGAGCGCTCGAATTTGATTGTTTAGCGCTTGGTGCTAAGTTGTTTTTATGCAATAGAAGGCCAGATGTAGGTCCCCGATATTAGGATGCCGAGGAACTGCTAGACGTCAAGCGGAGAGATGTGAAACACGACGACAGTCGAGCTTCTTCGTCGATAAACTTTGCATTTAATAAATGAAGGTAATTTGCTTGGTGTACCCGCCTAGAATTTGTCGACAAGGTTGAAGTCACTTGTATTTTTAATCGATCTCGGGAAATACTAGAAAAAAAATCTACACAACCAGGGGGCCGTCATATACAGGAGGCGGCCCAGCTTCCGATCGAATTTCTCGCAAAACTGCCACTTCTCTCCGCAGATCTTCAACTTCGTTGCGAAGGACGGTAGAAATCCTGTTAGGCGAATCTAGTTCTGGTCTTAGCGCAATGATCTGCCGTTTGCCCACAGCAGCCAGCACCGTTTTTGGAGTGGTTACTGTTTTCTCTTCTTCGAAGGCGAAAGCACTTGCATGCCGCATCCTAGCCAGGGTAGTCTTCCTAATCCAGCGCTTTCGGAGGAAGAAAAGAGATCCGAAAATGAAGCCAGCGATCGCAAGACATCCGAGAACGCTACCTATAATTACACTCATGTTTTGCTGTCCCCTGGTTGGAGGGTGCTCATTTCCTGTCGAATGAATTGGCCCCGTTGCAGATGTCGTGGGAGCAGTTAGACTCCTGCTCATGACCCCATTCGAAACATTCACAGAAATTGGCAGATTAGAGAGCCTGAAAGAACGTCAAGACCTGGAAGAAAATAGTTTCTGCTGTAAATACGAACTTCTTTGCGAGTACAGCAAACATTGCCCCTTGGCTAGGACTATCTCGAAGAAGGATCAGTTCGCCTTGCAATTGCTTCGTTTGCAGTTCGATAGTGTACGCACCTTGCACAACCACCATTCAGCGACCCTGTCTGGGAGTCATACGAGGTTGGCCAGGGGCAATCGCTGCGGTTTAGGTGCATCCTCGTAAAAACCGCATCAATCATGTTGTCCCTCAAGATGTTGTCGGTAAGTGCTGCTGCAGTGAATAATGTCCAATCTAAATATTCGAGAGCCCCGGGTTCTGAGGACGCATTCGAAGACTGGTGTCAGACAAACATAAATACACACCTGATCGTGTTAGGCTCGCGTCGCTCGTGTAAGGAAGGCCATAAGCGCCCGCTGAATGGCGAGCAAGACGCTGGGTCAATTAAACACCCTCCACCTCATGTCGAAGTAGCACATACCTAGGCCAATTTGGGAACTGTAGAACAACGTTTGGGCGTTGATTATCTGGAACGAACAATTAATGATAACGAGGTAAATCATTGAGAGGGCCAGAACCTTTTCGTCTATCCAGGAGGCGTCGAGTAACGCTAGCGCATAAAGACTATAAGCAAGACCCCAAGAGGACTTAACGCCGTTGGATGAGGTCATATGTCCATCGGAAGAAAGTCCTAGAGTGAGCCACTGTTGGGTCATGCTCTCCGCAGCAGACTATTCCGTACGATTGAGCAACAGAAGACGTCAGGGAGGGGGAAGTCCTACTGTGTAGTTGTCACTCAGTGAATACGAAGATGCTCCCTGCTCCACAAGCCGACTGATTTCAGACATGGCATAAACACCGATGATACTCTTGAAGGCGAGGTTGGAGTCGAACTTCGCTAAACCATCCGACGACGAGCTGAAGAGGATGAAATATGCGTAAGAGTCAGATAGATAGGAGCCATGGAATTCCAGTACAACTTGTTTGTGTCGAGGGTGTTCGCGACAAGAAAATCAGCCCAGAGCTTCAAAAGAGGAAACTAAGGTGGGTCGGCTGGGAGAAGCAGACTGAATGTATTTGGAAGTTACTCACGTATGTTTCAATTAGAGTGGCGTCACCAGACTTCTGTGCATGAGCAAGAATCATTGTCAACATGGTTGCACTAGCTTCAAAGCCGCGGCCGCTTCAGATAGTCGAAGAACGCTGGCGAGGTAACACGCACTGTCGAGACCGAAAGAGTATTGATCTCCGAGTATTCCATTGACGTTGGGGTATGTCGAACCTGCCGGGTATACATCAATCACATCCGGGAAAAAATATGTATCTACGTGGCGCACCTATGTCAGCAGGTGCGTACCCATTAACCGGGTTCGACGAGATCGAGCAGTCCAGCAAGGGGTCGAGTAGATATCGTACAAGAGTGGCATTGAAGTAGAGAAAAGCTGGCAGGGCGGCGAAGAGAACCTCAATCGGATTTATTCGTCTAATAGAGTAAATAAGTGGAAAGGTACAGGGAATGGTAAATTCTATCGACTCACCTCGAGTTACCGAGGTCTTTCATAAATACTTTCACATCAGACTCGTTCCAATCACCAGATGTGGTCTTCGACACAGTAATATCCATAGCTCCAAAGGTTTGTCGGAGGCAGAGAGCAGTGACGCTGGCATATTTTGATGACACTTGCGCGGCGTCCGCTAGCACTTTGTTGTCCAACTCAGCAGCTCTGGATAATGCGTTTGGAAAATCGAGGAGGAAATCGTCGATCTGAACAGTACCGTCAATAATAGTGATTGACTCCAAAAATATTAGAGAACTTACCGCATCATTAATTGTTTGGTACTTTGTCCAGAAGTATGAGCGACGGAGTTGCGTGCTCTGACCGACCGTATAACGGATCGCGGGATCGCGGACGTAGCCGACTGCCCAAACAATTGGAGAGGCAGTTGTCGAAAAGGTACCCAAATTAATCGACGTCGCCACTGCTGGCTGAGTAGAATACATCGTACGGTGCTGAGCATCCTCGGTGTTGTTAAGAACCCCTTGGTTCCCGAATAGTAGGCGCATGTCTGTGGAGAATCCTGACTGCCAGGTCAAGCCAGGATACTGAAAACAGCCGGGGTTATCAAGCGAATAACTCCAATGCTTCCTCTTCCTTACCATTTGGGAAATAGCGAAATAAACGGAGCCATCTGTTGAGAAATCTCCATTTTCATTGAAAGGCTGCTGGTAGGTGCGTTTTATAGAATGAATGATCGATTTAGGGGCAGCGGAGGTAGACCAGATGAGCTCTTCGTCATGATCATTCGAGAGCCATTCTGTATGTGCAATAAATAAACGAGGCAAGTAAGCGAGTGTCTAGAAAACAGAGGTCCCATACCTCCTGTTGTATCTAAATAGAATTGAACCTGATGCTCCTGACCGTCGGTAGACCAAACCGTGTCGATGGAGACATAAGAAAATGGAAAGGATTGTCGGACCCAGTCGGACGGCTGTTCCTAAGTATCAATCTAGAGACCTTCAGAGAAGTTTTCACAGGTATCTCACCTCAACTGGGCTGAGGTAAGTCACGTTAAATTCGACGGGACCTGCTTGAATGGTGAAGATTGTTCGTGTCGCAGTCATATATAGCGCAGTGGTGTTCGTTGGTAGGAAACCTCCTTGATTTCCTTGCCACTCGTGGCTCACTTTGCCATCGACGCGAACAAGGCCAACCCAGCCGATGCCCTGAATTTCATTTGTAAGTCAGAGTGTCCTGAAGTATTGACACAAAAAGAAAGCATACTTGTCCATTCCAGACCGTAGGCCATGTACCACCTGGCGAAGGAACGGCCGTGCCATCCTCGAGCTTCAGATTAATCCATGCGTTGAGATATGGAGAGCGGACGGCCAACGGCACAACTGGAAGTGAGCCTGAAACGAGAGTTTGTTGTCCGGTCATACAAGCGCAAAATATGGCTGGAATAACAAGAAGGGCTAGATGTTGCCAATACATCGAGGATTTGAGTTGTCGTAGGGTTGTCGAGAAGAGGAGAGTCGATCAAGCCCTTGAGGAGGATCTTTATAACGGCAAGATGTGCAAATAGCGGATACCGAAATATTCTTAGCCTTGAACCTATCCTCATCAACGCTGATGACATTTAGGCATTAGAGTTAATGAAGTCTGAGGAGCTTCATTGCAGGCGGTTGATAAAACCGTTTCCGCGTTGAAATACCTACCATCGTCTTTAACCAATAACCAGAGGGAGCAAGGAACTCCCCTCGGCCATCGGCCATCTCCGGGTCGATCACAAAAAGCGATGATGGGCGCGGTTGTCTTGCGATGAGTTTGCAACGAAACCACAGGTTGAGCTGTGCATGCATTAACCCCGACAAAATGGTAGGCAAGTATGTAAATGATAAGAAAGATGCGTTGAGCTGTTCGACGTGGTAACATGCAATGCAGAAGACCAGAAAACAAATGATATAAGTGGAAAGATATTCGTAATTCATGACAGCACCTGAAACCTCCTTAATAACCCCAACGCAGCCCTAGACGGTCTTCTTCAGTTTGTCATCGACGTCGCCTAGCATCTGGCCAACCTTGACCTTCTGGCCCGGGTGAACAGTGAACTCGAAGTCGCTTGGTGCCTCGAACACTAGCACGATCGTGCTACCGAGGCAGAACCCGCCCATCTCCTCTGCGGGGGTTAGGGGCTGGCCGCGCAGTATTGGCGAAGCAGCAGAGTAAACGGCTTCAGTATAGGTTCCAGGTGGTGGTCGCCGGCCACGGACGTTCGTGCGAAGTTCCTGTTCAAGTCATAATGATTACGGCGCCTGCAAGATAGCGAAAGACGAACCTGATCAAAGTTGACCTTGATGCTGCCGACGTTTGTAGCACCAACGGGCACCATTCCGAAGAAACCATGTTTCCATCGGCCAAGAAGGGCGACGCGTTCATTTAGGACGAATAAGTTTTCCAGACGTTTGGCCATGTAAGGAGAGACCGAAAATAGTTCACCTATCAGACCAAACAAGTTTCAGCAGCCAAACAAAAGGAGCAGAACGAATCATGGACCCTGCGTGAGTGGTACTCACCCACGAAGTGCCGCCTCTTCTCGACTACCCAAGCTGTAGGGCTGTGGAATCGGTGGTAGTCTCCAGGAGCAAGGTAAATGACGGCGAAGAATAACGAGTTGCCAGGTCGAACGTGTTTGCCAGATGTAACACTCCGCCTGCGATCCAAGGAGGGTTTTACACCCATCTGAAGCGCAACTGAAGCATCGTGCACAAGGGTTTCCTCTGTGTTACGATCAGAACCGACTGAGGCGTCGATCTGATCACCAAACTTTGTCGGTATATGGTCGTGTTCTGTGGCTGGTGATGCGGGTGTGTTGACGAGGGTCCTGCTTGAAGAGGAGGAAGGAGAAGATTCGTCTGAGGGCGTTGTCGTTCCAGGTGTTGGCGGTGACGAGGACCCGATCAGTTGCTCAAGGCTGTATTCGATTCCGTTGACAATTGCAAACTCGTGGTCGTCGACGACTGACATGTCGCGGTTGTGTTGTACGATGGTCGAAGGCGAGCCTGGACGCTCAACGCCCAGTAACGCGTCTAGTGAATATGTTATGCCCTTCACTTGCTCTACTCTAGATTCTTGAACCGTTCCGAAATGTAGTATTCTTCCATCTGCTGGGCTGACCTACGCATAAACGTAAGCATGATGTGGCGTATAAAGAGGTGCAACCATTACAAGAATAGCTGGATCCACAGGCCGAGCACCGTCTTTTAGTTTCCGGTAGAAGAAGGCTCCAAGACTGGGGTATTCACGAAGATCCTTAGGTTCTATTTCCTCCAGGTTGCATCCAAAGGCATAGGCGTAAAGTCGAAAACCATAGGGCCTGAGCCAGACAGGGAGCTCGAGAGAGTTGACGTAACCCCAAAGACGAGACATATTGCGGAGGGGAAGAGCACCGATAACATGAACCTGCGCACACGACACCGTCAGTATTACCGCTTCGAAGAAAATGCAACTGAACTCACATGCCATGGACCTTTCAGTCTGATTACCTCGAGGCCATCGTCGTTAACTTCAACCTCCTTCTGTGCCCTCCTGGACTTCTTCCTGTACTGAATGGCGACTAACAACAAAGCGCCCACTGCTAGCGGCAGCGGGTACCATTTAGTCGGTGTTTCTGTCCAGGCGTTAATAAGTTTCCCTCCATGCCGTTGGTGTGAGTTTCACGGAGAAAAAGTGCCAGCAAGATGAGGACATACTGTAGAACGGCAATCCAGCTCCCGCCCCGTGTAGCCCACTCGGTCCACCTCCTGTGCCATCAGCACCACTCTTCGTTGAATAAACCCGTCTGAAACCCTGATTCTTTACTGTCCTGAAGAGCGCCGACGTCTTGTTTGTACTGTGCACCCAACACCTGGCAAAGACAGAGGTGGCAGAGCCACACGAGGCATTGATGACTCTAGAGGCAGCGTAGAGTGGTTTCTTGCCCTTCGTCAGGAGGGTCTTCCTGGAGAAATACATACGAGGTCGTCAGTATTAGGCTTCGGGCATACAGATGGTGGTGGCGGGAGGAGGAAGATAACAAGTGAGTTGGTAAGGAGGAAGTTACGCACGTCCCTGAATTCCTGCCAACTTGGCGGATCACACGAACAGCCATCTCGAGCTTTTCGCCCTTTCTTCAACACTCAAAAAGGTTGAGGATGGAATTGAAGTCGTACACGATGTGGAGTGATACAATGAATATAAATTACATGTCGATCTGACAAAAAAGTACACGCAAGGCGTCGGGATTGAGGAAAATAAGTATAGGTAGATGTAAGTGAATTTAGGAGTTCAGAAAAATACTAAAGTCTAAAGGGGTCTGTAGCTATAGGGTCTTGCTCCATGTACCTGGCATAACGAGTCGTTAGGGGACAAGAGTCGTTGAAGCAAGAGGAGGTCAGTAGTATAGAGTCAACATGTGAAAACAGAGCCGTCGGCTGCCAAGCAAAACCAAGTTCTTTTGGTTTTAGGTTCGGCCTTCCCGGGCCTGAGTCGGGTGATATGATTGCCAGCCAGGCCTCGGATTCGGGATGTTATGTTAAGACAACGCTTCAGGGGAAAGGAGCAGAGTTGACGAAGGTGGGGTAAATCCGAGTCGCGTAGACGGTCGAGTAGGATTTTTCTCCGCCATGCCAGTACAGCAGCATCCACATCCAGAAGGACATACGTGGTCGACAACGTCGACCTTCCGCGAGTAGCTGTTCCAACACGAGATATGTGTGACGTGCGAGCAGCTGAGACATGTCCGCGAAAGGCCTACTCAGCCAGTCAGCCACGAACTGGTCGTGCACATGAGATCTAACGTACCTTTGACAGGCAACCGACAAATGGTGCACGCAGGCATGGAACAGGGTGCGCCACAGTATTGACAGATGTGCATCCCGCCCTTCTGCAGGTTTTTACAGGTGCAAACTCGGTGCAAGCCAATTTGATGAGTCTCTGTCTGAACGGCAGGTAGAATATTCAATTGACCGACAGCATTCAAGAGTTCTAGACGTTGATGGAACATCTGCCACCTAGAGAGCAGCTCTGCATATGCATAGACGTTCAACTTGAACTGCTCTATAAGTTTTGCCTCAAAGAGTGGGGTTTCTCTGACGCTTGAGGTCAGCCGGAACGAAACTTGGTTGTCAATACACTTACGGCTCCTCATAATCTGGCGCCCGAAAGACCACGACGTGTTTCTCGTGAATGAAAGGATTCGAGTCGACAAAGCGCAGTGACGGCCGTTTGTGCCCAGCAGACGAGAAGGATGTTGCCAATGGCCGCAGAGGATGGGTCGAGCCTTCATTCCACGACTTTGACACCACTGTTGGAGAGTACAAGGTTGAATCCTTGCGCGCCCTTCTCCTATTACTTTGAGGCCTAGGGGACTCAGGTCCATGCGTTAACCTCTCCGCAGACTTGGACCCAAAGTAGTTGGAGTCGGGGTTTGAGAGAGGAACTTCGGTCGGCGAAGTAAGTCCCTCCTTGAGGCTGTACTGGACGTCATTCATGAATTGACGCATACCACCAGTGTTGAACAAGCTGGACCAGGATCCACGGGACGAGTTGGACGAAGACAACGAAGGAGCCAATGGTGGAGGAATTGGCGAAGGCATGTGTGGCCATACAGGTGAAATTGGACTGGAAAAGTTGCTGGGCTTGGTTAGACTGAAGTAATCGACCCCTGCAGTTCGTCCCGGCACCGCAGTCATAGGCGTATTTAATTTCTTCCGAGACAAACTTGGTTGTACCACCGAGCCATGTTGCGTCTGTAAGACAACCACAGCGATCATGGCAAGCATTTGGACGTCTTTCTCTTTCACAAATTCTTCATAGCTAAATACAGGTAATTTGTCAGTGAAAATGATGGATAAATGATTCAAGACTTACAGTCGAATGACAATCTGCGCTCCGAGAGCATCAAAGGATAATTGGCCATCATCCTTCCGAACTGTCGGGAATAACGTCCTGAGTGTCCTGAACACCCTCTCATGGTCGTACCGTCCATAAGATCTTGCTATCTCGGCGTTCCTCTCACAAACATCTGCTAGCGACCCAGCTTTGAAGATATAGCCCATGGCCACTTTCTGGTCTGCCCCAGCCATATTTCGCGTACTGATCAAGTAAAGTCTGCTCCTCTTCTCCTTCTGGGTGTCCAATGCATAGTTCTTCGGCTGGTTGCCAACATGGTTCAAGTCTGAATTGCGACGATTCTTCTGATGCGGCATCGTCAGGAGATTGGTCATGGCACGCAGGATCTCTCTTCCTGTTTCAGGCTGACGTGGATCGATTGGCTCAACTACGCGGTCCATTGCTGCAAGCCCTAGACGGCGAACAGCATCCGAGACAAGAGCAGGCGATTGGAAGTAGCTGGTTTTCTGGACGTCTTGGGCTGGAGTTTGGAGTCCTTCATCAGCGACCTTCGCCGCAGCATCTGTCACAAGTCCTCGCAAGACGTTTCGCACGATTCGTGGAGGTGCGCGGAAGACGCAAACCAGCTCGCCTGTTTCAAGATTAACTGGTGTACGCACAATGCAGATATGCAAAGAAAAATACCATTAGGACCAAATGCGCCTTGAGACGTCCTCGGTTCAGCCAGGTTCTTGTTGTTTCGCAGAAGTGACACGGTGATCTCTTTGGCCTTCTTGCCCCTTGGCAAATCCTCGTCGGACGATGATCCAGAATCAAAGCCTTCTGAATCATGCCCATCGTCCGCGAATAACAGAAAACGCAGACAAGCCTCAAGGCAAGGTCGTTTCCGTTCTCTTATACGACGAAGATGTTTGAGAATGGAGGCACGATCCGTCATGGATATTAACGGGTTGCGTTCGAGATCTACGGATGGCGTTCCATAAGGGTGTGTTGCATGAGGGTATTCTCGAGGGAAGGTGAATGTGATACGCATAAAAACAGACGAGTGCTCGCCCCATGGTCCGTGTAGACCAAGTGTACAAGTTCGTTTCTTGGACAGATCGTGCTGTTCAAAGATGTTGATCAGAATGATTCCTTATGAAGCTAGAAGGTAGACTGACCTTTTCGAGTTTGATCTTGGAGGCACTGAACTTAGTGAGCACAGATGTAATTCTACGGGGCACAATTGAATCACAAGACAGCGTGACAGAATCGACAAACTTACTCGTCCTGCAATGTTTGGCCACTTTCCGCCTCTTTCTTGTCCTCCACACCCCGACTCAAACTCCCACTCCTTTGTCTTCCGCCAATTCCAACCTCGCTTTGGCTCCTCTCCAGCCTGGTCCCATCATCTGCGATCCCAACGGCCGCAGATGGTGGCCGTGACCTCGAGCCCAACCTTGACGGTGCGCCACTGCCACCATTGCTGTTCCCACCTGAGCTACTACCACGCTTGCCACCGACTTTGACATTCGCCAACCATGCCAGCTGGTCCATCTGCGCGACGCTCTTCGGTCCTGTCCCACCCTTACTCATCGTCCCACCCGTCGAGCGATTCGTAGCTGCAACAGAGACAGAGATCATGGATATCGGCTTCGTACTCGTCATCGTTGGGGTGACTTCTGGATTCTCGGCGTCTGATGTCGAGTGATGGGTCAGCGTGTCGTGGCCTGGGATCTGGGCGCCGAGGGTATTTGGAGGAAAAGGAAGGGCGGAAAGAAGTGGTTGTGGTGCACGGACTTCCGCCAGGATCCCTCGGTTGCCGATGGGTGCGGAGAGCAAGGGAAGGCAACCCTTATCCTCATAGGCTGGCGCCAGAGTAAAGGTATCAACCAATTCCATCTCGCCGCGGGTCAGTTTGGAGCGACCGCGAATGATCTCTGGTGCGTGTCCAACCTTCTGGAGAAAGTGTCAGCGTTTGTTCTACCAGATGAATGTACTCTTACCTGCATGACTTCCGCATCAATAGGCCAGAATCGAAGAGTGCGGTCCTTTGACCACGTTATCAGCTGGAAATCGTCGCCTTTTTTTGATTTAACCACTGAGAGATTTACGGAGGAAAGTCGACAAACCTTGGTAGCCTTTCCGCCATACAAACTCCTTGACAACGTCGGAATGGCCTTCAAAAGTTTCGACAAGGGTCTGAGTCTCGCTCTTGGCGAACAACTCAAGTGTCGTCTCTCCTCGTTGAGGCAAGCTCAAGATGCCTTCACCGAATGGCAAATTCCGGGCACGCCACACTGGGTAAGTAGTCCGGATGCAGGACGTTGGCTCTGGAGCATCCTCGTCATCCGTCGCGTTGATATTCCAAGTTTTGATCGTTTTGTCAAGAGAGCAGGTCACAATTTCTTCTCGACACCGCCGAGACCAGTCGATACCGTAAATTTTGGAAGTGTGGGCACGAATTCGTTTGACAGGAAGGGAACCTTTCTGGGAAAGACAGAAGTTAGAAAGTTGCAACCGTATATGGAACAGAAGACTGACTCGCCGGTCCCATATCAACACTTCGTTTGCATTAGCCGAAGCAATGAGGTTGCCATCTTTGCGGTTCCATTTGACCTGAGTACCGCCAGCTAAAAACTGGGTTAGCAGCAGCTACCAGCGAGTGTTTGAAACACACCTTTGAATGCAGATAGACCGAATATTGGTTTACGAGGTTCGCGCAAGTCCCATGACCAGATCCAAGAGTCGATTCCTGTGCTGCTCACGACATCACACTCCGAGGTATGCCAGTTAATATCGGTAATTGCACGATAATGTGACCGCAGTATATGTTCAATAGAAGTCTTTCCGCCTAGACGCAGGTTCCAAATGAGACTAGGCAATAAATTAGACGAGGGACGGCAGCGGGAGAAGGAGACTCACAGTCTCTCGCTTGAGGTGGAGACAATGTATTGAGCATGGCTTGGGTGTGGGTTCCATTGCACGTCTGCCACATCCCATGTACCTCCTTGCGGAAGAAATCGAGGGATGCTCAGCGGAGATTCGAGGTCGATGATAAATAGGCCTCTCCGGCTGTACGGTTGGAATGAGTATCACACTCCCTACACGAGTTTCTTTGGGCCTACGCAGCAAGCACGATATCGCGCGACGCAGGACTGATGCTCATCTAAACCCATGTCAGTACAGCTGGAACAGACAGGGAAATGCACTGCAACACACATTGCCAACCGCATCTCCTACAAGGTCCTTCACATTGATCTCCCAACTAGAACGAAATCCTTTTCCTTCCTCAGGTGATTCTGGGAGGCCAGCACTAATGCCTATGGGTGGTTTAGACGCCTCTGAACTATCCTGCGGCTCGAGGCGTGGCTTCCGGGCTCGATGAAAAGTTTCGCTCAATGAGGGCGAAAATGATGGCCTCTGGGCCTTGAGAAGACTGGGTATCGACCCACCCCAATCCTGCGATGATAGAGGGCTATTCTCGTCGTGGTGCCTTGGGCGGCGTCTCGAGTGCGAATGTCCGGTGTCTTCTGGAGTCGCCTCCTGTATGGAAGGAGTCCATGACGGTCTTCTGCCGGATGAGAGGTCTTCGACGGAGTAGGTTCTCTGCCTGGCTTCCGAGTGTGAGGGAGATGGAACTGACGGTGACGAGGATCGTAATTTGGACATTCGTTTGCTAGGAGAGAACGCCCAGCGCAAAGGTTGGACGAAAGGAGCAGACCCGACTTGGAAGTCGCGAATATGGCAAGCCAAGATTCCTGGCGCGTGAACGACGCGTCTCAACCTTTCCCACCTACTACATCATCGCATTATACAGGCGGGACGATGAGACTGAGCACGACACTCGCCGCATTAACGTGCTGTTTGGGTGCAACCATTGCATCTATACAAGAATTCTTGGGTGTTCCAGGTACGTTATCCATGTTATTTGAGCGTCCTGTTGGGCCGTGCCGACGTCTCAGCGTAGCTAGTTATCAATCTTACGCCCAACACCTTTTCAGTCCAGTGGAGCATCTTTCAGCTTTATCCACGTCTGAGTTCACGACGTTCGGACATCCTGAGTTTCCTCGATATGGCGTTCGGATGAAGAAGTCGTCGTTTTGCGATGAAACCGTCAAGTAGATCGTGATTTTCGGATCTATTGCGTCCATTGTACTCAAAGCCTACCTTCGCAGCGGATACACAGGCTACATCGACATAGAGGCGCGACACCTTTTCTTCTACTTTTTCGAGAGCAGGAACGAACCCGATAAAGATGATGTGATTTTCTGGACGAATGGAGGGCCGGGGTGTTCCTCGTCTTTGGGACTGTTCATGGAGCTAGGTAAGTGCCTTCGAGCTACATTCTACAGCAAGTTTATCTCTAGTCAGGTCCCTGCAGAATTTCTAATGCAAATGGAACAAAATTCCATCCCGAATCGTGGAACAATAACGCCAACATATTCTTTATCGACCAACCTGTCGGCGTCGGTTTCTCCTACGCTGAGTATGGAGAGGCAGTGGGCACTACCGAGGAAGCAGCCAAAGATGTTGCCGCCTTCGTTGCTATCTTCTTTGAGAATTTCAGTAAATTCAAGGGCAGGCCGTTCCACATGGCGGGCGAATCGTACGGAGTACGTTTCCTTTCCGCCCAATCGAAGCTCTTTGAACGCTGAATCCAGAGTAGGGGCGTTATGTCCCAGTGTTTGCAGCAGAGGTCTACGATCAAAACTCAAAGCTTGTCAAGGCTGGAATGACGCCAATCAACCTCGCCTCGATTATGATTGGTAATGATTCCGAAAACATCTTCATCGACGTACGGTTTTGAAGACCAGACCGGCAGGCAACGGCTTTACATATGCACTCCCAATGCAGGCCTCGATGTACGATATGGTCTGCACACCAGCGTCCGTGCCTCCTCTCCTCAGTATTGGGCAAGTAATTTGATCACACAGCGGATTTTTTTAGTACTGATTTTCACTCTTAGAGAGTGTGTGCGAATGAAGCAAGCGGTAAGTCCTCGAGAAAGCAGCACATGCACACTGTTTCATGTTCATTACAGCTTCCAAGATGCGAAAAATGGATGAAGGAATCTTGCTTCGATACTTTCGATGCTATAGGTTGCTCTGCGGCAGTAACCTTCTGTGGAAACGAACTCGAGGGCCCATTCTGGGCAATAAGTAATTTTTTCCAACACATCCCATCTTCGTTCCACTGATTTTCGCCCATCAAAGATTTGAACCCGTACGATCTGACCCGCGAATGTGACGGCGACATAAACGACACCCTTTGTTACCCCATTATAAAGTTCGCCCTCCTGCTCTTGACTCTTCTCTCCAAATTAACACATACATCCAAGGCAAATCGCATCTTACCTCGATCACCCTGCCGTGCGCTCTGACCTCGGCGTCGATCCAAGCATCTCAGCAAATTTTTCTTCATGCTCATACGACGTCGGTACAGCTTTCGCCCAAAACCTCGATGAATTCCGCCCAACACACCACTACGTCGCTGCCCTCCTTGAGCGTGGGGTCAGGGCGCTCATCTACGTTGGCAAAAACGATTGGATATGCAACCATGTCGGTAATGAGCGGTGGACGCTGGACCTTGAGTGGACTGGCGGGGCCGAGTTCAGAAAACAGGGGCTCAGGGAGTGGATTGTGCAGGACCAAGCAGCTGGAATGACAAGGAGTGCAAAGGGATTGACTTTCGCAACTATTGAAGGGGCCGGACATATGGTACGCTCCATGAAGAAACTGCTAACTGAATGGACGCTAACCACGATTTCTTGCAGGTTCCATATGATAAACCGAAGGAGGCACTCGAAATGGTTAATCGATGGTTGGCTGGGAAGGAGCTGTAACAGAAAAGCAATGAGCTGTAAATACAGGATTTCTGTGTGAAGTATCAGCATCTTCTTCTCTTTGGCCGATGGTTACAACCTACAATAGGTTTGATTCCTGCGAAAATGCCTGTCAAGTTGACACTGCCCGGCTGTGGCAGTGCTTGCCTACACAAGGCAGTGGTACTCAAAACCGCATTCAAGCCGTCTCTCTCTCTTACCTTCTAGTCCATCTTTTACCTGACATGCGTGACGACCGCGTATCCAACGGTTTGCCGATGTTCAACATTCCTCGCGGGCAAGTGATGATCACAGGCGGTGACTTTCGCGTTCAGGGCGAAAGTGGTCACGATCTTCACAGCAGCAAGTACCTTTCTTATTTGTTTTACTACTACCATTAATTTGACTTCATCTGCCACAGTCATCCGTAAAGAATTCGCCGCCTACGTAGCGCCCAATTCTACGCATGACTCGAACGATTGCCTCAATCCTCCTCGATGCCACCCTGGCACTCGCGTAGCCGTCCTCCGTGATCTGGAGAATTGGGTTCGCACCGCGATGGGCACAGAGGACGTGCTGTGGCTTTTCGGAGCAGCTGGTGCCGGGAAGACCGCCATTGCACGTTCGCTCGCTGAGATCCTGGTCAAGGTGGACCTCATGGCAGGGTCTTTCTTTTTTTTCAGGCCAGCAGCCGGGCGAAACAGCGAGAAGCTATTTGTCTCGACACTCGCCTACCAGCTAGCCTTCGCCATACCCAAAATGAAGCCCTACATTGCGAGTTCCATCCGGGAAGACCCGCTAATTTTTCAGCGGTCTATTAAGACGCAGTTCACTCGCTTCATCGTGGATCCCATCATAAAGATATCGTCGCCGTCAGGAATTGATTCAGAGACACCGTCACCAAAACTAATCATTATTGACGGATTGGATGAGTGCTTGAACCGCGAAGGACAATGCATAATTGTCAAAACCATTTGTGCCGCAGCCCCCTTCGTACGCCATCGCCTCAAATTCCTCATCGCTAGCCGTCCGGAATTCCATATCGAGAGCACATTCGACCTTCCCTCGTGTCTGGCCTGTACTCGACGCGTCGACCTCCAATCCGACATCGACGCCTATGACGACATTCGCTTTTTCATCACGAGCAAGTTCACGGAAATCAAACAGGTGCATCCCTTGAGATTAACGCTCGATAATTCCTGGCCTACAGACGACGTGATTGACCGGCTTGTGCAAAATTCTTCCATCAGCAACTTCGTCTATGCACGGACAGTCATGGATTTCATCATGACAACTTACGACCGCCCGCAAGACCGCCTCGAGGTGATTCTTGGGCTGACTCATGCTTCAGATACGGATTCCCCATTCGCGGAGCTGGATGAGCTATACCGATACATTCTCTCATCGGTGCGAGGCAACATCGAGGATGTCATGCAGATCCTCACTATTGCCGTCTTGGGGACAGCACGAGAAGGAATTCAACATGGACACTACAGCACCTCGGAGCTTCTTCTTTCGCCAGAATTCTTGGAGAAGATTCTGGACTTGAAAAGTGGGACGGTCGAGTTATTGCTCATTGATCTTCGCTCGTTGATGACCATCCAAAAGAATGGGGTATTCTTCCCTACAATAAAGCTTACACACAAGTCACTCTCTGACTTCCTGCTCGACTCATCAAGGTCCGGCCCGTATTGTGTGGGGGAGAAGAAAGCCTACCTTGATGTTGCCTTTGGATGTCTGCGCGTACTTGAGCAAAAGACTTTTGGCAGAGCTTGGTAATTCGATGCGCCTTCTGAGAGATCTAAGTTCATACTGACATAGAATTATGAAGGTGGATAAACACGGAACGCAAATCAACTAGCTCACGTTCGAATGCCCTACAAAAGTCATGGGATCGTGAAACAGAATATTTTAGTGCACTGCTATGGGCTTGCGAACGAGCCCCGCGCAGTGCCGAACTCCAGCATGCTATTGCAACCTATGATTTGTGCGGCATGATTCAACGTGGCCTCGTACATGTAAAGAACGATGTTTGGGCCCTCTTCGACGCTTGGTCAATAATCTCGCACCTTTTCAAATGCCTCAAAGATTCGGAGGTGAGATTTAAGCGGGTCTTTTGTATTCTATTAACAATCTCATTGGCGTGGGTAGGCATTCACTAATTCCGGTGCGTATGAGCACCAGACAGAATCCTTCAATGCCCTCGTGAAATCTCATCTCAAAAAGTATCCTTCCGATGATCCCTTGGTTGATGCTTTCTTCTCAAGAAAGGGATCGACCAAGTTTGGGGCGAAGTTCTTCTTCATGGCCTCCGAGGTTGTGAGGATTAGGGCCGCCTCCGTTGACCCAGATGGCGCGTCAGCTAGTGTGGTTAGGTAGTCGAATTCGACGTTCGTCTAGACCGTCCCCTCAGTCTACTGAGGTAAGAGTGCCCTAAATTTAAAAGATAAAACTATCACCGATCCCAGTCACCCCGGTATTAGCACCCTGTTCCTGTCGGAAACTTGATGAAAGACTGCCCCAGTGACAGCCAAAGTTTACGCGACGACCCCGCACGTACCGCCACCTGGTCTACACATTGTGCTGGAACTTGATCCCCGCGATTCACGTCAAAGAAGACCATAATTTCCGACTTTACGCCCTAGGACGCGATATCCCGACCCACGGAGATATGCTGGACTGGCTCTTCGTCAATGGAGCAGTTTATCGGCTTTTAGGTCTCCAGTCACTCTTGGCGTTGGTAGGATTTGTGTATCTCCGAGTCAGTCATATGAGTTCGAAAGGACAGCCTACAGATTCTTGGAAAGAAGCGACTTCTTTCCTTCACTAGTAATGGAGGTTCGAGGAGAGATGAGCGGCGATCCAGGCGCCAGGTTTGTTGATGACAGATTTCAGCACCCCTGTTCTCGACAAGGACCTGGAGGAGGACAGGGATCTGCGGCCTTTAGATCTGGAGAAGGATACTGGCACGTCGGGTGTTGTGTTTCTACTGACTGCAAGACAGAGTTCGCATATCAGAAGCACCGGGGATTTTTGGAAGGGGCGAAGTACACAATGTGATACAGATCTCGTTGCGGAACCGTAGGCTATGCCATTCACTGACTTTTCTTCCATGCCGTGGCCGCCTATAGCAGGTCTGAATTGTTGACACCCTCTATGCCTCTTTGGCAGGAATCCACGTTGCGGAACCCTCCTTTTCTTCTTCGCAAGCCTGTCGAACGAGATTTGCATATTACAGTCTTTTACGCAGGGTCAAAAAATTGCCTACTTGAGGTTCTGAGAGCGATGCGTGCGATGCGTAGGCACAATCTATTCGGTCGAATGCAGGGCTAAGGCAATGAAGACGCCCATACGCCTATCACGACCATCAACCTATCTCTCGTTTCCTTCATCTTTCAGCTCGATCCCGTCAGTCTCCTCAAGCATCATCTTAAGAACTTCAGAGATTTGTGAATGCAGGTCCTCTGCGTGAGGAGCAATTCATTCATTCATGAATCATTCAGCAGAGTAGTGAACTACTCACTTGCGCGATTAACGGCTCTAATATACTCAGCATTTGCGACTGTCATGTCGTCTTCAAGGGTTCGAAGACGTTTAGCCTAGAAAACTGATGCGTAAGAACACGAGCTGTAACCGGACTAAATACAGAAATTGACAGACTTGCTCCTCCTCGGGCTCAGGCTCAGGTAATGAATTAATAAGATATTCAATCTGCTTCGCCTTGACGATGAGGTCTGTTACAAGTTCCTTCTGGTTCGCTGCAAGTTCGCCAATTGGTTTCCGTCAAACCTAATTGCAATTGCAAGACAACAAGCCTTCAAACACGTCTGGCGCATCGAATTTTTCGGGGTTCCTCTGCTTTGTAACGGGTATCTCGGGACTGACTTGTAGAAAGTTGGCGCGCGACGTGAGGTACGCGATCGTGTTGGACATGATCATGAGGAGCTGTAAATGCAGTTCGTCAGTTACCTTTTCAGACTGGTCATAGGTCAATAACTCGCCTGCTGGATCTCATCTTGAAGTTGTGTTATCCTGTCCATATGCGAAAGTTCCTGCAGCATCGCGCTGCGGCTTAGCCCCTCGAAGATATTCGCGTTCAAGAGGACATGGAGGTATGAGGTCAAGGCAGTTTCAATCGGCAACTCAGCGGTGTGAGCCGGGCCGAGTGTCGGTTCTTCAAAGTGCTGAGTCAGCACCTTTGGAGTCAGGGGCGGAGTCTGTGCAGGAAATCTCAGGCTTCAGCCAACGTCTCTTAACAGTGGCCACCACCTCCATATCGCTTCTTCTTCCTCTACAACCTTAAAAAATCATGGGTAATGACGGTGGAAGTATACCCGACCGCAGGGATCTTGTCAGAAGCAAGCCGAAGGTATGTTCGCTTTAGGTTCCACTCGACAGCCATCTGATAAGTCTCGGTTCAATTGTAGGCAGAACAAGCCGACAAGGCGAACCAAGTACGCGCAAAATGGTTCTTCTGTGCTCTCTCAAAGGTAATAATGCTCTTTGATCTCAAAAGCATGGACCACCTCGCTGAATTTCTTATTATCTGACAGAGGAAGCTCCAAGAACCAGTCGTGTCGTGTGCACTCGGCAAACTTTATAATAAAGACGCCATCATCGAATACTTGCTCGACAAGTCGGCTTATGGGGACGGAGAAACGATATGCGGGCATATACGGTCGTTGAAAGATGTCAAGACGCTAAAACTGACGCCCAACTCTACCCCGCTATCCTCAGCATCTACAGAAGCATCGGAAAGGGTGCAATTCGTCTGCCCACTCAACCTGAAGGAGATGAACGGCGTCCAGCCTTTCGTGTATATCTCCACTTGTGGATGCGTCTTCTCTCAGGCAGGGCTGAAAACTGTTGCTCGTTCAGCTTCACCGAAAGAGAAGGAGGAGAAAGGGAAGGAAAAGGAGAAAGAACCCACTCCCGACCAAGAGAGTCTCGACCTTTGCCCTCAATGCGGCACAAAATACTCGCCCAAAGAGGATGTTATCCTTGTCAACCCCTCTCGGGAAGAGGAGAACAACCTTCGGATAGCAATGGAGCGCAAGCGTTTGAACGAGCCTGCTGGGAAGAAGAAATTGAAGAAGAGAAAGAATGAGGGTGGGGTTGATGAGGGCGAGCCACCGACGAAGAAAGGATCTGCTGCGTCGACGGCACCAAGCATCAATCCAACGGTGGTAGGCTCCAGTCGGGCGGTGGTTAGCCAACTAGCTATGGAGGAGGCAAAGAGGAAGGCTAGCATGTCCGACGCTGTTAAGAGTCTCTATGGAGATGGAAAGCCGAATAAGAAAGAGACATTCATGACCATGGGGACATTTACGAGGGTATGTCTTATTTATTCCGAGTTCAAGTTCTTCATTAACTCACGGTTCTCCTTCCAGTATGCATGATTGCCCAGCAATCATTACATAGTATCTTCGCCGTCGCACCCTTCATCTGTACTCCTCCGAACTGCATATTCTATGTATGTATTATCCTATGAAGTAACTTCGTACAAATGGTATCAAGGGTATCTTGATTCAAATTGTCTTGCGCAGCCCTACGTGTCCGAAACCCGTCCTCCAGTTTTGAAAGCCGTATTTAATTATGCATGGTCTCGATACTCCGGAAGCGGCTCGTTCGACCTCCGCTGGCCCTGTGCTCTGATCTGCTGCATCTCTCTCCTCAATTCCCGTACCTCTCGAATTAGGTCAGCATCTCTCTCCGTCGTGTTCGCCGGGGGCGACGACACGGCTTCATTTTGAGGCAGCGCCGATTGTGGCACGATCGTGGGCGTGTCTTCTACCACCAATGAAGACAAACCTCCTCTCCTCACAACACCCTTCCCACTCGACCCCGATGCTGACACCCTCGGAACGCCTAGGAGGTCGACCTGTGACCCCTCTAGCGAAGGGCCATACAGAACGACGCCCTTCCCAGTCCGCCCGGCTTCTTGCTGCTGCCGGGCATACAAACCCGAGTGCTCAGAATCAGACTGCACACTCAGCTGCGAGGCTCTCAGAGCCGACTTCTCGTTTGACGGCCCTGGGATAGGAGGGAGGCCAGCAACAACTACCTCTGGAACCATTGGCGCCGTGGCCTTGGGCTGAATAACGCCTTCTCGAGGCTGGATACTAGCGTACGGCGTCGCAGCTTCCTTTTCCTTCTCTTCGGCCCTTCTTCTCCGTCGTCGGCGCCAGAAATACGCACCCGCGAGGACGGCGGAGATCAGGAGGACGCCGCCAACGACGCTCCCCGCGATCACACCCTTGTGGACACGCCGGTACAAAGGTAATTGAATTCTCCGATTTGGAATACTGTTTGCACGGGAAATGGTCATGTCAAGAGGTTTCAAGGAGCAGAGCTTGTTTGGGCTTACCTTAGCGCGAGGAGAGAAAACATCGAGCCTTGAGCTGGGCTAGAAGAACCGTATACATTATCTCTTGCTCAAATGTAAGGACGAGGCGATGATTCGTACGTACCTTGATGAACCACCTTGTGTCTGCCCCGGCCCCAGATCATAGATCACAGAAAATGGGTTGCTAGAGGCATTGGAAAATGTGCGTGAGTGGATCATCGAGATCAAAGCGTCGCGCGTTGAGTTGTCGGTTGTGGTTGCCGCGGTGAATGCTAACCAAGCTAGAATAGGCATTCAAGCATAATGAGCGAGGAAAGGATATGAAAGAAAGTTTACAGGATTTGCCAATGGAGGAATCTAATGTATCGTATGCAAATCCGTATTTTTGTGCTGTAAGCCGTTTGTTAAGATCCTCTTAGACGTTAAACCACAGAGAATCACCTGAAGACATCTGTGATGCGTAGAAGGCAGCTTGGTCGCTGAATATCTGGGAATTCGAAGAACACATAGTTAGCCTAGATAGAGCCACGTTCAGAGAGCTGACCTTTTCATTTATAACATCAGACTCAAGCAACCTTGCAGCATACAAGTTGTAAGCCAGCGCCCAGTTCGTATCATCTCCGTATCTCGAGGCCATTCTCCCTGATGTAATTGCTAGATTTTGCCATTGGGATCCTAATGACGACGCTTGGTTCTGGACAAGGACCCGCACGTTCAGAAATTCGAACTTGTCGAACAGGCATTAATAGAAATAGCACCTTATAATTGTCAATTTCAGCGAGCGGCTTCTCCAGTGCCTCTGCTATCTTCGCCATGGCGCCAATGGCTATGATACCCTTGAGGGCAAGATTCGACATGTCGCCGGAGATTAGGCCGTCGTCTGTTTGGCTAAACGTGAAAGAAAGGAAACTAAATCATCTATCATTTGGGACGAGTGAGGAAACTACACACTAGCCGGAAGGATGCAGCGTGTTCTTGACGAGATAATCGGCCCAGGTTTTTAACAGGTCGTACTGAAGAGAGAAGCAGAGTCAGCACTGCAGTTCGTGGCACGAAAGGATAGGAAAGGCACAAACATAACGATCAGCCAAGGTCCCGTCTCCGGTCTTGAGAGCATGTGCGAGAACCATGATCAACATTCCGGCGGAATCTAGTCATCGAACATCCTGATCAATGAGAACCAAAATGCACAAAGGAGTCCTTACTCTCAACCGCACCCAAAACATTACTCGTACTATTTCCAAGTGCGTCCGGGTACGAGATACCTGTCGAAGAACATGTTTGTAAGACTTTGAAATGTGCCCTCAGACAAGACACTGCATACCTAGATCTGCCGCCGCGAAAACATTGTTGTATGCTGACGATGCTTGGTATTCCAGGAGCGGTTCCAGCATATACCCAGCGAATCCGGGGTCGAGGTACAGGAAAACAGGGAAGGCGGCGTACATGGTATTCACAGGGTTTGTACGGCTGTGTATCAAATCTTCCGGTCAGAACTGAAGCATACCTAAAGTAGAGATGAAGGAAGACTGACCTGATGAAGCCAACATCTTTCATGAACACCTTCATGTCAGAAGATACGTAGCGTCCATTCCTATCTCTGAGGGTGGTGACATCTATCGAGCCCACGGCTTGTCGTAGACTGAGGGAGACGACGTCCGCGTATTGCGTTGAAATTGTTTGTGCTTGCGAGATGATTTTGTCGTCCAGGGCAACGATTTTGGAGTAGGAGTAGGAAAAATCGTTGAGGAATGAGTCGATCTATAGCAATAAAGAAGGTTCAGACAACGAATCGTGACGGAAATGCTAAAATACACACCGCGTCCCCAACGGTTTTATACCGCGTCCAGAAATACGAACTGCGGCTCTCGATTGCACCATTATTGACATGTCGGATGGCTGGCTCTCTGACAAAGCCAAGAGCCCATACCAATGGTCCATCGAGCTCCGATATAGTCCCTAAGTCCGCAGATAGACCCAGGGCGGGCGTTGAGCTATATAAAAAATGGCTCAGGTAGATACGAGGACAATGAGGAAAAAATACAGACCTATTTATCGGCCTAAACTGAGTGTCCATTGTGTTTGTCAACACGCCATTTTGGAGAAAGGTTTGCGTGATGCTGTCGACGAAACCAGTCTGCCAGCTGTTACGGGAGCCCTTCTCGCCTATGAGTGTTGGGATGTGTGAAAACGGTTACGGTACTTACTACCTTCGCAAGAGCGTAATATGCGGTTCCATCTTCAGCCCTGTCTTGTTGTTCGACCATAGGTTGCGGGTTGCTTCGAGAAATGGAATGATGGGTGCTCGAGCTTGTTTCCGTAGTATCCCACCGAACGGCTGACTCCGATGTGCTAGAAACCCAGACTGCTGGAGGTCAAATACAGGTTCGCAAGAAATCGGAGGCATGACGCACGACCATCGATGTAGGAGTAAAATTGGACCGAACGAGCCTCTCCGTCTGCTGAAAGGACAGAGTCGATGAACAGGTAGGAAAATGGGAAAGATTGGCGATTCCAGTCCGTTAACTAAAGCAGGGACATAAAACAACGCAGGTCCGCATATGTGGTACAGCACTCACATCTACAGGATCCATGAAAGTCACATTGAAGCGTATTGGACCTGCGGCCATTGTGAAAATGCTTCGAGTTGGGGTAAGGTGGTACGCCGTCGTCGTTGCAGCTTGCACAGAAGTGATATCGCTTTCTCCAAGCCATCTGAACGATTGACCGTCGACGCGAACGAAACCTGCCCATCCAAGGGTCTACGTACATTCAACGAGGTTCAACACCATTGAATCAAGGAAGGAAAGCCTGAAGCTGACCTGTCCATTCCAAAATGTCGGCCAGCGGCTAGCCAGAGAAACTCCATCTTGCGTCGAAAGCCAACTGTTGAAGTATGGAGAACGAATAGCCAGAGGGATTGCGCCAGGAACATGGATTGTTGTCTGACTCCATGCTTCAAGAGTGGAGCCAAGGAACAGAAGCAGGATTACCCAGTGCATCGAAGATTACTCGCAAACGCTGTCAGTGGGGATCCCAACGATTGCTCGGCACTGGACAATGCGTGAGGACATGGACGAAAGTAAGGAGAGGCGTTCACCGCATAGCCATGTCGGGTTGTTGAGTTGTAGGAGATGAAATCGTCTTGTCTTCGGCCAGGCTCTAAGGCTAGTTTGTCGTTTGACAGCAGATCATGATGACATGAAACAAGCGTTCAAACGTTCAACCAGGTGGTATACGCTCTTACAGAATCCTTAGGGTATAGATACAGAACGAATGGATAATTTAGTGAATGTGGAGGTAGATATTTTCCGGGCTCCTCATTTCCGAGGTGCAGTATTGCTAGGTCCAAGTGTAGATGTACGTTCCTGGAGAACACCAGGAACGTACATGGGTGGCGGTTCATCCTGCACAGGCTCCATCTGCTGATTCCTTAACAGCGCCATCTCCCTCCGCAACTGCTCAACCTCCTGTCTAAGGCTCAAATCTCCCGACATAGATGATCCCACTTGGCTTGTGTAAATCGACTCCCCATCCACCGAAGGGCCCGAACGGTTTGCCGTGAGCGCTACTTGGGAGGAAGACCCAGCGGCTATATTTCCCGCTACCTTCAACGACCATCCGGGTGTGTTCGTACCAGTCGAACTCGAGTCCTGGTTGGTGTACCCCAATGGGCCCCTCTTGCCAACATACCCTTCCGAAGGAGATGTTGCCACAGACGCGTCAGGAATGGTGGTCATAAACGGAGTGACAAAGCTGCTTTCAGTGGGTAGGCCTGGGGTTGCGGAAGAAGGCGCTGCCATCTTGAACTTGCCCTCCTTGATTTGCCTCCGTCTCCTCCTGTAAAACCAAACCGCAAGCACCAGAAGCAGCACTCCAGACACTCCGCCGACGACCCCTCCTGCGATAGTGGCAACGTCAACGTCGACCGTCTCCTCTTCTTTCGGGAAAGTTATTGTTTGATCCGGTAGGCTGTGTCGTACCACACTGTCAGCAAAGACGACAAGAGCGACACTAACAGGACCCACTTCAAGGCCAACAAACCAAGGATTGCTCCTTGTGCAGGACTGGCACGACCACCGATCACGCTAGTAGCGCCAGTATCTGAATTATACGTGGTGGGGTTGGGACTGCCAGCGCGAGCAATAAGAATCCTGTTGTGCACCATAGAAATGAGGGTGTCCTTGACAGGGCTCTTTGCTACACTCGCAGCCGTAAGGAGGGTCCAGTCTGCACGGAATTCAACTCCAGCTCCCATAGAGTTTGGAAAAGGAAGTGTACGTACGCGTCTTGACTCTCTTGGGGTCGTTTCCGTCGTATTGGAACCCAAATGCAGGAGCAGAGACCGCCTGCGACGCATACCAGGCAGCTTGAGTATCGTAGATCTGCGAAAATCAGAGAAAAGTCAAAGCCACATCGGAGACATTATAGAGAAAGGGTTGTACCGACTCGCTGATCAAAGTCGTGTTTAAGAGTCTAGGAGCGAAGAGATTAAACACAAGCCCCCACGGCGACGGGTTTCCATAGGAAGATCCGATATGGTCGCCCGAGACCGCAAGACTTTCCCAATCTCGCGCATACCGCGTCGCTGTGTCCTAAAAAATGGAAGTCGGAAGAGATCAATGCCATGATTTGACGATGCCTACCCTGTAGTGTTCTGTGTAATTCGACAACGCGCCCTGCTGCTCAAGTGCTTCGTTAATCTTTGACATCGCATATATGCCCACGATGCCTTTCAGTGCAAGATTGGACGTTGCGCCCGCAAGGCCGTCTGCTGTCGTGCTGCATGCAAGGCGTTATTAGAATTGCTCAACGGTCAATGAACAAAGGCTATACGCACTATGCGGTCGGCTGTAAAGTATTTGACACCAGGTAATCGGCCCACTCCCTCAGCAAGGTGTAGTGCTGGTTGATCAGACCACCTTCGCCTGATTTCTGTGCGTGTGCGAGTGCCATGACGAGCATCGAACCACAGTCTACAGAACCAAATTCAACATTAGTGTAAGAAACCTGGAATTGAATACGCAACTCACTCTCGACTGCAAGCAGGACTTGGTTGGTGCTGTTGCCCGTCGCATCCGGGTACGTCGATCCTGCGACCATCCAGGTCATTTTCAACGAACAGAGTGCCAACACGTCCGCCAAACTTACCCAAGTCCGGTGCAGCATAATTATTGAGGTGCTGCGGCGAGGCCTGGTACTCAAGCATCGGGTCAAGCACCAACCCAGCCAACGACGCATTAAGGTACAACAAAGCCGGCAGCGCCGCATACACCATCTCTACAGGGTTGACCCGCCTGCTGTTCCCCGTATCCCTCATAAAGATCTTCACGTCCGACGCGTTCCATTCCCCGCTGGGACGTTTCGCCGTCGTGATCTCTAGCGCAGCCATCGTTTGCCGGAGGTTGAGCGCGACAAGGTCGGCGTACTGCTGGGAGACGGCGGATGCCGCGGACATAATTTTCATGTCGAAGGCTTCGGCGCGGTTTCGGGCTGAGGGGAAGTCTGCTATGAAGGCGTCAAGCTGCGCGAGTTCAGCTTCTCGGAGGACAGAAAGACTGGAGAGTGTGCTTACTGCGTCCCCGATACTCTGATACTTGGTCCAGAAATACGAGGTTCGGCTCTCGATACCTGCATCTCTGACATATCGGATCACAGGATCGCGGAGAAGCCCTATTGCCCATACGACCGGCGTTGAGGTCTGTGTGATTGATCCTAAATCCATCGCGATGGCAAGAACGGGCCAGTTACTACAGAAAACCACAGGATTTCAGGAGGCATCCAATGAGAAAGACTCTCTTGCTCACCTCCGGATTGCACGAAAATCAGAGTCTTGTGTGTTGGCAAGTCTTCCGTTGGAGATAAATTGACTGCGCATCTCGCCCGCGGGACCAGTTTGATACGTCAAGCCGGGAGACTGGAAAGTCGTTGAGTCGCGCATTGACAGCGGTGAAGATAATGATAATAAAGAGAACACACCGCAAGCTCAGCCGCGAAATGTAACATCCCGTCCTCTGATAGATTGTTATTTTCCGTCATGGGTGTGGCTGTAGTTCGTTTCATCTGATGGTAGAGAGAGGTTTGTGTTTGCATGGTATTCCACTGTACTGTGTTTGCCAATTCGCCCGAGATAAATTCTTGAAGAACGGTCAGGGCCCTCTTATCTAAATGCCTACGAAGGCTCACCTCCAGTAACATCGGAATAAAACTGCACATCATGTGCGTTTCCATCCGTTGACCAGGCATCGATGAAAACGTACGCGAAAGGAAAAGATTGGAGTACCCAATCTGAAGGCTATGTCGGGGGTTAGAATGCAAAATAACTCGACAGATACTTAAGCAGGACGCACCTCTATGGGACTGAGATACGTCACATTGAACTGTACTGGCCCAGCCTCGATCGTGAAAATCGTCCGTGTCGGTGTGATATATGCCCCAAGTGTCCTCGCCAATTCACCCCCTTGGCGACCTTGCCATTGCCAACTCGACCCATCGACACGCACAAAGCCTTGCCATCCTAGTATCTACCACGAGATGAGCAACCCGGTGTAGCCCGATGAACAGAAGTGACCTCACCCTATTAGTCCAGGTTATAGGCCATTGATTCGCAGGTGTCCCCAAGCTCTCATTCGCGGCGATCCATGAACCGAAATGTGGCGATCGTTGGACTAGAGGGATGAAAGACGGAAACGTCGAGGCATATTGTGCGGCGACCTGACTGAGGATGAGACTGGAGGCGAGAAACCCGAACCACATCGTCCCTCGGTGTGAGATGACCCCGACTTTTCAGCGGCAACTTGGAAGTCCTGGAAAAACCTGGACCATGATGCCAATGGCCATGAGGTGTAAAGTAGATGGAAAACGCCAAGTGAAACAGTACGGTGGTCATCTCGGAAACGGGCGCCCAACTCCAAAATAATCATAAAATAATACATCCGATCAATTCCCACGCTCGCTCCGACTTCTTCGTCTTACCTCCGAGTCAAGCTCAAGCTTCGTGAATCATTTGTGACCAGCACAGGACGACAAACCGCGCAAGGCTCTACCTTGTAGCACCCTGACGGCATTTTCCACCATCTCTGACTCGTACCTTGGCCCAGTGGAATTGCAAACCGCAACAATCAAACCTTGGAAGAGCTCCTCACTCCACTCGGGATTTGGATCGCGTGAACCACGGTTGTATCAGTAATCATGAGACCTGGTATAAAAATGTCCATCTCTTCGTAAAGTTGTTCGACTGACGTTTGTTCTTCTCGGGGCCTGCAGAAGCGCGTTCTCCAGTGCATGACCAACTTTGTGTCTTCGATGACCGTCTTGGAGCTTTCTATCACTGTGAAATTCGCGGAGAGCTTAGGTTATAACCACGGAGAAATATCAATTGTTAGGGTCAGTGTCTTCTCCATGGCTTGGCTTACTCCTACCGTGCTGAAACTGACGCAACTTCTAGCAGCGTTGGGTGCAGCGTTGGGTGCAGCGTATGGCTACGTGCACACCACGGACTTGAAAGCTAGGCAAACCCCCGCTCATGAGTTGTCTGCTTCCTACGACTACATCGTCGTCGGAGGTGGTCAGAGTGGACTGGTTGTTGCGAACCGATTGAGCGAAAATCCGAATAGTGAGCTCCCTGTCTTTCTTCTCTCTATATACTTAGCGTGACATCCTCTCCGGCTTTAGGGTCTGTGCTGGTCGTCGAATATGGGTACTTCGACGATAATCCTGCCCAGGTGGAACCTTCCAGCTCCGTACCTGGCACTTGGCTACAGAAGAATCTATTCAACGCCACGTCCGTCCCTCAGCCTGGATTGAACAACAGGTTGGGTCAAGTCTACGCCGCTGCCGTTGTCGGCGGCGGTTCCACCATCAATGGGATGGTCTTTGACCGCGGTTCAGCAGAGGACTACGACATCTGGGAGAGATTCGGTAACCCTAGCTGGGGATGGGAGGATTTACTCTCGTATTTCAAGAAGGTTAGTGCGGCCTCTCTGGTTCAGAATGAAGCATATGGCTTAAAGACAGTTAGAGCACGACGTTCACTCCTCCACGGCCTGAGCTTGCTCGTGAATTCAACATCACTTGGGATGCCGAGCGAGCATACGGGAATGGGCCTATTCAAGCGAATTTTCCTGATTGGCAGTGGCCGACACTCAGTGAGTACCATTGCAGTAAGCTTACCCATGACGCTCCTGACATAGATTCCAAGAAATTCAGTGGGATGCGTTGAAGGAAATTGGTATGCCGATGAATGTGGAAGGCGCGGCAGGAGATGCCTGGGGTGCATATTGGACACCTTCCGCCATGGATGCGAGCTATCGTCGCTCATACTCGCGCACGGGCTACTGGGTTCCAGCCTCCAGTAGAAAGAACCTCCACCTTTTGATAGGACATCGGGTCAACGAAGTCCTCTTCAATTCGAGGAAGAGGGCAACTGCAGTGACGATCCAAGAACGCGATACGCCTAACGACGCCCCGAGAATTACAGTCAAGGCCACTCGAGAAATAGTTTTGTGTGCCGGCTGGCTTCACACACCCCACATCCTTCAGCGAAGTGGTTTGGGTCCCCAAGAGCGGCTTGAAGAAGCTGGCATTGAAGTTCTTGTTGATCTTCCTGGTGTTGGATCCAATCTCCAAGATCATCCTGCTTTCACTATTGAGTACCAGTGTACGTCGCTCTGCGTTCCATCCCTGTGTCTTTCCTAACAGATCTGATTTTTGCTAACAGATCTGACGGATCTCTTCCCGAACCCGTCCTCCTTGACGGACAATGCTACTTTTTCTGTGTGGGCCAACGAGCAATGGACCCAACGTCGGGGTAAGTCGCTACTGACTTGCGTCCTTTCTTGCTTCTTATTCTGTCGAAGGTCCCATGTCGCTGGGAATCACCAACTCGCTCGTCACTGCCCCTCTTGTGACTCTTCCGAGCTACCGTACTATCCTTCGGAAGGGCTACACTCAAAACGTGGAAGCCTATCTCCCCAAGACCTACTCTGCACAGCAGGTCAAGAGCTTCATCACTCAACGCAACATCCTCCTGTCCTCCTTTCCGCGGCTCAACAACGGCGTCGTCGAGATCATCTTCGCAGGAAAGCCTGGTACATGGATCATCTTCATGAAGCCTCTCAGCCGTGGAACGGCGTTGCTGAACACGACAGACATCTACGCGGAGCCCATTATCGACTATAACACCAACATCAACCCAGTGGATTTGGACATTATGGTCTCGGCGATCACGTTGTATCGCAGGTGGATGAGCTCGAAGGCTATGGAACAGCTCACACCGGTGGAGACCTTCCCTGGTCTGAATGTCACCACCAACGAGCAGATCATCGCGTCTCTCAAGAACACCATGGGGTCTGGGGTGGGACATTCGTGCTGCACGGCCGCGATGGCCCCGAGGGAGTTGTCGGGCGTCGTCGCGCCTGATTTGACCGTCTATGGTGTTACAGGGTTGAGCATAGGCGACCTTTCCATCGTCCCGATTATTCCAGCCACGCACACCTGCGCTACGGTTTATGCCATCGCCGAGAAGGTAACGTTGATCTCGTACTTTTTTTCCCCCTCTGAATGCTTACAGACCTTTCACTTGGTAGGCAGCGGACCTTATAAAAAGCCGCCACATTTCCTGATATTCCTCGTCCCTACTGAGTACTTCGTATGAGCGATATAAAAATGTAGCAAGTGGAATAGCCGTACTGTCAATGTAAGCGGGCCGATTAAAACAATGGGCTATGTGATACTCGAAAAATGACTTTTAGAAATACACATATTCCCGAGTGTATAATTTTGTTCGATGTTGGGTTGTGAGACCTGGGTCCGTGGGCAAAAGAAAGGAAGGGCCTGCTTCGGCGTAAAGCGTTCATAACCACCGCGACCAAACCTTGCAGACGTCTACCCCGGGTCTACGCCATCATCCAGTGGCGAATACCGCATTATTCGCCATCGCCGTTGAATCAATGCGAACCTTCATTGTGGGAACGTCGTCGAGATCGACCCACCGAAGTTCACCGTGAATCACACAACCTCCCTTCCATCACCCACATGGCGGGGAAGACTAAGCTACCTCCTCCTACGACGCTGAGGAAGGCGAAACCCCGGCTGACGCTGCGCCAGCTTCTGTCATACCTAGTGCTGCTCTCGGCTGCAGCGACACTTTCGATCGTTCTCCCAACACCCTGGTCATTGCTGCGCTCTAACGACGCGTCAAAACGTTGTCCTGAAGACCTTGCTTGCGGACCCAGCAGACGAATGGCAGGACAACATATGGCCCTTGCGACCGCCGACGCCATGGGACATCTCGACCGACTACGCCTATCCACGAAAACTCGAATATGATGTTCAAGAAGGAACTTGGCTCCGCCTCGATGTGCACCCCACGTCCGGCGACATCGTGTTTGATATGGTTGGAGACCTGTATTGCCTTCCGCGTAGTCGGGTCTCCGCCGGCAGTCTCGTCAAGGCCCACCCGATTCTGTTGGGTGTACCCTATGACTCTGACCCCCATTTCTCGCCAACAGGAGACAGGATTGTGTTCCGAAGTGATGCAGAACTTGGAGTGGAGAATATCTGGGTTTTGGAATGGAAGGGTTGCGAGGAAATGGATGTAAGGAGCAACAATCCTGCTCTCAGGGAACAGGTCCTCGAGGAGCAGTTGTTGGCTGAAGGCGTTCCAGAGACTGCCCAAAGGAAATACAATCGCCTCGTCCGCGAAGGCCGCTTCGGAGGTGTGTCTCTGTATTTCTCTTCCTTGGATTTTCTGACAGGTTTCAGCGCAAAGAGTTACGAACGAGACTTACCGATGGGTCAGCGATGCCCGCTTCCACCCATCCGGTTCAAAAGTTATTGCCACAAAGTGGTATACTTCCTCGCGTTCTCTTGGTGCTGGCGAAGGCTGGGAATATTCGGTTCCGTCACTCGAAGATATCCGCAAGCAGAAGCCTCCTCGAATCGAAGTTGGCAGCGGCAAGCGTGTTGTCAGCCGTTCTTTGCCTTTGGGTTGGACCTCAGAACGATACGGAGACCAGCAAATTGGACCAGAGCAACTGATTTGGCACGGGGGCGACAGCATCATATATGCGAAGAACATCAGGGACCCAAACCAATTCACGTACAGTAAAGGTATGTAACGCGTTTTGGTGTCGAAAATCAAGCTAACGACCCTTTTGCAGACGTGCACAGGGGCATATACGCGATCTTCGAGAAGAACACCACCACAGGCACGACAGAAACGTTGGTCGGTGCCGCTCCTGGGGGTGCAAGTCGACCAGAGCTCTCGCGAGACCAGCGAACACTCGCCTTCGTCCGTCGGGTCCGGGACAAGGAAGCGCTTGTCCTGAAGGACCTTGAAACCGGCTCCATCCACCACGTCTGGCACGGCCTAACCTACGACCTGACCACCGTCTCCGCGCCCATGGGCACCTACCCCTCCTTCGCCTTCTCTCCAGACGACAGTGCCGTCATCATCTGGGCCGCAGGGCAGATCTACTCTGTCCCCTTGACCGTCAACACTAAAGGCGAGAGGGTCGCAGCTGCAGATCCACCACGGCCTATCAGGTTCACGGCTCATATCGAGACGCGGCTTGCGGAAACGCGTCGCGGAGGCGTCGACCTTGTCGCATACGAGACAAAGGACACTCAGAAAGTGACCGCATTCAAGGGGCTGCGCGTCGACGACACGGGCAAGAAAGCTGTCTTCGAAGCTGGTGGGTTGAGCTACTGGCAAGGAGTCGGGAAGAAGGGCCCTGCGACGAAAGTTCCCGTCACCGATGACGGCGCGCCGTACTTCTCCCCCTCATTCGTGCACGGCGAGGACGACATCGTCATCCACGTCCGTTGGTCGGATACCACGTATTCCCAGTTTGAGTTGGCGAACATCACGTCCGGGCAGGCCTATAAAGTCGCTGGTGCGCCCCTAGGTCGGTACTTCTCGCCCGTTCTCTCTGAGACGCCTGGCCGCAAGCGGAAGATCGCATACGTCAAGAGCGGTGGCGAATACTTATCGGGCGACATCCTTGCAACAGCTAATCCTGGCCTCTACGTTGGTGATATAACACTGCCTTCCGACAAGGACGAAGAACTTAAGGTCAGCAACATTCGATTCGTGCCTTCTGAGATCGACATAGGCGGCCGTGTAAATCTGCGCTTCGTGGGCAATGACAAGACCCTCCTCGTGCAGCAGTCCGGCCGAGCCTTCATCATCGACCTCGAGGGCGAAACCGATATTGCTGGCAAGCCTCCGCATTCGACGGTCGCGTCTGGCAGGATGTCAAGCGAGCTGGTTGTTGCCCCAGAACTTAGGAATGGCAATGTCAGCGCGGATAATATCGCGTTTGTCGACTTCTTCCATGTGTATCTTGCTCCTGGCGATCGTGTCAAGGAAGGAGAGAGCGTGTGGTCGCGGCCTGCCAATGCTACGGAGGGTCTGGTTAGGCTCAGTCAGGATGGAGGACATGATATTACTTGGTCGGGGGATGGGAAGAAATTGTTCTGGTTCCTGGGTGTGTTTTAACTTCGGTTCGTTGAACTGCCGGCTGATGCTAGTCATCCTCCAGGACCCTATCTCCGCTCTCTTGAAATCTCTAAACTCAAGCAATGTTCCTCGGAGATTGAGAAAGACCATCTCACCTTCGGCATTTCATGCGTCAAGACACTCCTCCAGTATGAGCAGATCGACGTCGAGCACTCGACAGACATCGCACGGCTGAAGAAAGATGCGAAGAGGGCTGCGAAGACTCATAAGGACTGGCCCAACGTCGAATCTGACAACTCGGACGTCGTGGTCATCATCAACGCTACACTTCTTACGATGGAGTCAGGCAACTTTGAGGATGACTTCGTCAAAGGTGGTGTGATGGTTGTGCGAGGAGGTGTTATAGACTTGGTCAGTCGGTCGAATGATAACTTCGTTGCTCCTTCTGGGGCGGCTGTGATCAACGCTGGTGGAGGTGCGTTCATCTTCCCTCAGGGTTCTTGGACGACTTTGGTTGAAATAGCACACAGGCTTTGTCATTCCTGGATTCATCGACGTGCACGCCCATTGGGATGGATTCTCCGAACGATTCCCTGCTAAGTCTTGGGAGATGGAAGCCTTCCTTGCTTATGGAGTCACGACGTTGCACAAGTCAGTTTATCATCTTTCTCGAGACAGCTATCATCTAACATTCTACTCTGTGGTTTAGCCCTAGTGCAGACAACGTGGACGGGTTCGTGGAACGCAGCCGGGTCGAGCGTGGACAGATGATCGGACCTCGCATCTTCACCGTTGGTGACATCATCTACGGTGCAGGCATCCCAGGCGTCCATCAGGACATCGTAGATATGGACGAGGCCAAATCTGCATTAACAAGAATCAAGGCTGAAGGTGGGACTGCAAGTATCTCGTACAAGAATTACAACATCCCTTCAAGGGCTTCGCGGCAGAGGCTTCTCAAGGTCGCACAGAATATAAGCATGATCTGCGTTCCGGAAGGCGGAATGAACTGGGATTGGGACTTGACGTATATCATTGATGGTATGTTTGCAACGCGTTTCTTTGGCACCTTGGCTGACTTTCGGTATATGCAGGAATGACGACTGTGGAACATGCCTTGCCTGTGCCTATTCTCTATGAAGACGTTATCACCTTGTACGCCTTGAGCGGCACTGGAGCTACTCCTACCCACCTCGTCAACTACGGTGGTGCGTGGGCAGAGCAGCTTGTTTGGGCGATACATGATGTGCCCAATGATGAAAAGTAGGTGGTGTTATTCTTTGATCTAGGCCATATTGAATGTCTTTTCCTCCAGATTACGTCGCTTTGAGAGGCACGATGTTCTTCTGGCTTTAACCGAATCCACCGCACGACCCGACCACTGTAAGACTTTCCATTTCTTGGTGTCATTATGGGCTGGCTGAACTTTGTTGATAGCCTACGCCTTCTACAACACATCGGCTTCCGTTGCTGCCATGGTTCAGAAAGGGCTGCTTGCCAACATCGGCGCTCATGGAGAACCCCCAATCGGCATGAACTATCACGGCGAGATGGCGTTTACTGGCGCTGGCGGGCTAAGTAATTACGAGGTAAATTCTCCCGTTCCTTAAATTCCTTGTGAGATCTTGCTCATTCTTTGAACCTAGGTCATTCGTGCAGCTACATCGTCAGGCGCGAAAACTCTGGGAATGTTCCCGTCTCTAGGCTCTCTTTCTCGAGGGAAGCTCGCCGACTTCATCATTTACCCTCCGGAGATCGACCTTCTGGAGGGAGTAATCGCCACAAAAACCAGTAAACTTCTTTTCGTTGCCAGGGGCGGTAGGATTTGGGATGCAAACACCATGGTCGAGCTGTGGCCTGTTCGTGGCAGGAAACAAGTTATGCCTGTTATCAACGCAGAGTAATCGCTCTTGTATATTTATGGTGGCATATCTATGTTGCACACAGTGGTTTCGGTGCTAATTTATCTTTCTGCATGTATCTACTCCGGCCCGACCATTCTTTGTTCCTCTGCGGAGTGGTTGTAGGACATTCGGCAAATTCCGATGCCCCTAACATGACGGTCTTTCGGCAAGGTTGCTGTTGAAAGACTCGACCCCACTGCGAGACAATGACAAGTGTTTTCTCCCTTCTGTCCTTTCCCCGAACGTCGGACGGACTTACAGCACTACGGCCAACGACATTGGCGACGTCTCTGGACGATGGGTCGGCATCTCCTGTTCACAAAGTGGCTCGGTTGGACACCGACTCTGATTCTGCTTCTGCTTCCAGGTCAAAGGTGGTGAAGAAATCCGATGGGCCCATTCAGATTCGAATCATCGGCGAATACAGTGCGTTTGAGTTGTTATGTCGCCACAACGATTACTGACGAAGATGTAGCCGCCCAGGCTCCTCAAGGAAAGAAGCAGCTTGAACTGCTCCGAAGATCCATACGGTCCATCCTTACACGCAACGATAGCTTGAGAGAGCCCCTCCCAGCGACATATGAAAGCATCTACCAATCCTGTCGCTCAGTAGTGACCGTCTCACACCTCGGTGGTGATCTATACGATATCCTCAAAATACTGCTGCATCAAAACATTCGCCAATTGTCTATCGAGCTTCCCCACGACTCTCCAAGGAAAGAGTATATTGCAACTTTCAACAAAGCGTTGGAATGGTTTGAGAAGCAAATCGTACGTTCATTATGTTTTGATCCACTCCAAGATAGCTGACAATCGATAGGTCCTACTGCGATCCCTGCTCACCTATCTGGATCAAGTTTACGTGGTTCATGAAAGGGGCCTTTTGAACGTTTGGTAGGGCTCCGATACCAAGATCTAACACCGACTAATGCAACTACAGTGATCTGGGATACATGATCGTTAGCGAGCAAATCTTTGGGAGTGCACAAGTAACAAATAAACTCAGAAATGGGATCCGAGAATGGCTGACCTGGGAACGGTAAGGTACTTTTTCTTCTACGCGATCGACCTAATTTCTTTTGTAGCCTTGGGCATGAAGATACGGGCCTCATACCTACCCTTGTCCAACATCTGATCAGACACCAGCAATACTCTGCGTTTGAAGAATTCTTCGTCCAGATCACTCGCGACTTCTACGCAAAGGAATCTGAGGCTGAGGCAGATAGGTTGAAGGACGAGCCGGAAACGTTCTTCATTCAAGCGCAGAAATGGATTGAGGAAGAGGTCGAGCGGTCGAAGAGGGTCTTGCCTGTGACAAGTTGGAGCATTGTCAGAGATACAACGGAGACGGCCTTGTGGGATGGCAGGATGGAGTGGCTTTCTGAAGGCAGTATGTACGTTCACTTTCTTTCTTGTAGCCTGCTGAGCAACCCATCCAGCGTTACCTGACTTCATGGAGCGCAAGGACTTCGCGTCTTTGGGTAAGATGTACGTCCTCTTCGCAAGGGTCAGAGGGACAAAGACTATCTGCGACGCTTTCCGAAACCATATCAAAGCCACCGTCGCGAGCATCGTCAAAGACACAGAAAGAGATGACGAGATGGTGCAGCGATTGCTTGATTTCAAAGCCCTCGCAGACGAGGCCATCACCACCTGCTTCCTCCAGGAAAAGCCAGCCGTCAGCATCATTACATCGACGGCTACCACCCCACCAACACCAGTGTCCCCGACGGCATCAACGAGCAAGCCACCACCTAAACAGCCTGACCAAGACTTCCTGTACGCCCTCTCCGATGCCTTTACTGTCAGCTTCAAAGCCCGTCGTCTCAAACCCGCAGAGATGATTGCCAAGTACCTCGACAAGGCGATGCGCAGGGGCCAGGGCAAATCTACCGACGCCGAGTTCCAAGAGATGTTGGACAAGGTTCTGGCGCTATATCGGTTCACAGATGACAAAGACGTGTTTAGGACCTTTTATCATCGCAGTTTGGCAAAGCGGTTGTTGTTGGAGAAGAGTGCCTCAGATGACTTTGAGAAGGCGATGTTGAAGAAGTTGAAGGAACGTAAGTGGGCTTTTCTTATTTTCTGGAAATGAGGGCTGTTTACTTATGGTATGTGTGCGCTTTGCAGAGTATGATCCTGAGTTTGGCATGGGCGAGGAGATGTTTAAGGACCTTGCACTCTCGAGAGAGTCGATGCGCGATTATCACGAGAAACTATCTGAAGACAGCCCAGGAAGGAAGTTGAATGCTATGGTTCTGCAACGGAGTGCCTGGCCATTCTCTGTTCAGAAGCATTCCGTCGACCTGCCCCCTGCTGTACGCTCCACAGTCCCTCTCCTTTCTTCTGTTTAATGATGGCTTCTTCGCAGATGCAAGTCGAACTGACGAAGTACGGCGAGTTCTACAAGGAGAAGCACTCCGGACACGTACTCGACTGGGACCACTCCCTTGGCACAATGGCGTTGAAAGCGTGGTTCAAGCCAGGCATGAAGGAGCTCTCAGTCAGCATGTATCAAGGGCTCGTCTTGCTTCTCTTCAACGATGCTACCGAGATATCGTTCAAGGATATCAAGGAACAGACAAACATGAGTACGCTTTTTCTCCTGGCCTCAATTATCGATCTTCTTAATCTGGTGTTTAGACGATGCCGAGCTGCGCAGGACGCTGCAGAGCCTTGCATGCGCGAAGAAGAAAGTGCTTAGGAAGATACCGCCCGGCCGCGATATCAACGACGACGACGTCTTCAAATTCAACCCCGACTTCGACGACCCACACGCCAAAGTCCACATCAACTCGATCCAGGCCAAGGTCACGCCCGAGGAGAGCAAGCGTACGAATGCATCGATAGAAGACGACAGGAAGTACTACCTTGATGCTGCGATCGTGCGCATCATGAAGGCAAAGAAGGAGCTAACTTACGAGCAGCTCAAGGTTGCGACAATCGATGCGGTGAAAAGCCACTTCGTGCCGCAGGTTGACACGATCAAGCGTAGGATTGAGAGTTTAGTCGAGCAAGAATATTTGGAGAGGAGCGAGGACAGGACGACGTACTTGTACGTTGCTTGAGGTTGCTCCATGAGGTCCATTTTCTGTTATCAGATTCACTGTACTTATTCTGGCCATTTTATGAAGAGTGATTTTGCCGTCATGGGTTTTTTTACAGTTCCTTCCCGCTAAGCCATCTGTTTACCATCTCCAACGCCTCCTTGGGCTTGTTGTACGGCACCTAGAGCAACACCAGTCAATATGGAGTCCCAAAGCACAAAGAAATCAAACGTACCATATGCCCAGCCTCTTCAATAGTAGCGTACGTCAACCCCCTCGTAGTCCTCGTCACACCCGCCCTCTTCCCATCAACCTCCCACTCCCTCAAGCCCAGGCTCCTAAACTCCTCTGCACCAGACCACTCCAACTCCATCGTCCACTTCTCGTTGCCAATGACGTTGCAGATATAATCATTCGCGCCGACAAAGATGAGCACGCGGACAGAGCGCTCGAGGAGGGCGGCAATGTGCAGGTACGTCTGGCGGAACCAGTCACCGTTGGCGTGGAAGGCGAAGTAGGTGGGCTCGTCGGCGAGGGTGAAGTTCCGCCCTTGGAAGATAGGGTCGACGCCGAGGGTCTTGCGGACGGAGGGGGTGTCAAGGTACGCGCGGATGTGTCTGGGCACCGAGTGGTTTATGAGGGTTTGTGTGTTAGGTAGAGAAGGAGACGTACTTGGTGAATGGATAGCATATATCATCAGTCTCGCCGATACACTTCTCATTCACGTCATACGGGTTGCGGCCTAAAAACAATTTGGATATGATCTCCCAACGGTGTCGGTTCGGGGAGGCTGCTTACCTGTCAATATGTAGGGCATCATGAGCTCCGCCTCACAAAACGCCGTCGCAGCGTCGCAGCCCAACCCGTCATAGATGTCAATGCAAGCCTCTTTCGACCACTTCTGGCACCTTGGGATCTAGGTGGTTGCATTTCGTGAACTGAAGGCTAGAAGAAATGATGGGCAACCGTACTGCCCGTTTCATGCGAATACAGGTCCTATTCCGATACGTTAGTTGCATGAAAATGACATTGAAAGGGACATAGCAGTGACTAACGCAATGTCCAGAATGGGAGGACTGACGGCGGCCGTGCAGACGAAGTCGTGGTATGCTGGTAACATCGTGAAAAAGTCGCTCAGGCCGTTCCCTACGTGAAGGTTTGACCAACTCTGCCTAACGAAAAGGGAGCACACAAACCAATCATGACGGAGGTAAGGTTGATGGGAGTCAGGCCAGCAGCGACGAGCTTGGTGTTCTGGTCGTATATCTCGGATGCGAAGATGGGTAGGTAGCGGCCCTATATTCCATGATTAGAATATGCCTCGAAGGCGTCGAGGAACAATGAAAGCTTACTTACCCCATACGATTCTCCAGAGAGATGGAACGGTCTTCCTTTGAATTTGCTGAAGTTCTCGAAGAAGATCACGACGAATGCCGCGACGTCTTTGGCAGCTTCCTCCGTCGTGCCCTGCGGAGCATTAGGTATTGCCACTCGGATCTACACACATGAAGCAACGTACAACGGGGCCGCCATAGTCCGCGTACGAGAAACCAACGCCTGCAGGCTGTTCGATGAAAAACATATTTGCGTTACTGTTCCATGAGTACGGGTTGAATTTCGGTCCTTTGTCGTCCAGGATCAAGCAAGGTCCTGATGTTCCTCGTTAGATCCCTCATTCAACAATCACGTTCAGCACACGATATACTCACCAAGTTCCATGAACAATCCAAGAGCTGATGACGCACCCGGGCCTCCATTTGTCCACAGTACAACATCGTCCTCGTCGGGGTCGTTCCTGCTCTCAAAGAAGTAGAAGAACAGATGCCTTTTCGTGGATATCGATGTATCCTGTGTATGCGTCGACCGTGCCGTCGCAGAACGCAGACTTCTTGATCCTTACTTGGTGGTGAGGGAGCGCGGGGTGGGTCAAGGAAGTGAATGAGTGAGAGGAGAGGCTGGAGAGGGAGCCAATGGAGGTGGAGGGGATGGTGGAAGAGGGCTGGTTGAAAACTGGGGAGAGTCGGACTTCAGACATGCCAATCGAAAAGATCTAAGCGTACCAGAACTGAGAAGGGCTTGATTCGCTGCTGAAATACCCAGCAGCAAGGTGAAATTTACGAGCCGCCGCCCGAAAGAAAACATCGCGAAGGGGAAGGGGACAGACTGGGGACAGAACAACTTCCACGTTTCTCAGCGTTGATATGACTTGGAGGGGTTTACATCTCTCCGAAATAGACTCGGAACCGCATGGCATCGGCAGCATCAGTATACTAGGTTGTCCTCAGGACATGGGAACTCCACAAGCTCGAGGAGCTGCGGTCAACGGAATAGCTCAGCCGTCCACAGCTTTCTGGCCAGAAAAGTGTTCAGACTTCCAGCTTCATGGCCAGTTTCGTTGCATTACTCATGGAAGCTCTTGAATCTCGACGATGAGTTCGAATTGTCATGGAAAGAAAACGAGGAACAGTGTCAGAAGGAAAGCCATAAAGAGTCCTCGGCAACCGCCGGTGGTCCAGAACTGATAACTCCATGACTTGACCGGTGCCGCAGAAACAGCCTCTCGCATTTCATGACTTGACCAGACTCTATCAGCATGTGGCAGCAACTTCAGGCAGCAACTTCAGGTTCAACCTCGACCTCCACATTCACTGACGATATCGATGTCGTCCACACACACGAAAAATCTGCGAGAAGTGAATAATTTGCTTCACAATCTACGGTAAGTGATTCACCTTCGTTCAACTTTCTGACCTAACTGCGATTCAGCGGTGAACAATTCCGCCACCGTCAGAATGTAGCTGGTTCTCGAGAACATATCTCGGCGCTACGAAATTACAATTCTCCCAGTCTTCCGGTTCGTTTGGCAGACCTAGAACACGGTCCTTCACCTGCAGTAGTTGCACCAGCCGCACTCCAAAAGAGACAGCACAGTCCTACGGAAACCCTGACGAAGGAACGGCTTGGATGGCACCGTCAGGCTCTAAACCTAGTCGCCTCCCACCTTGGCGGTTTTCCTGACCCGCTTGAGGCCCCTTCATTGTCGCTTCTGTGCCTGCAGACAGTGCTTTCCCATTGTTCAAACAGCGCGGAATTCAAGGACGGCGTTGTTCCTTTTATTCCTCACCACCTTCGACGCGACCTCGTTCGATACTGTGCCATCCAATCGCCTTTACCGACCTGGAAGTTGGACGCAATCTTCGAGCCGCATGGGCATGCAGACGGCGAGATACTCGTTGTAGGATCGGAAGCTTCCCTTCGCGAAGACCATTTCTCGCAGCACCAGCCTCATTCTCCTGAAGAAGACATCACTTGGGAACAAGAAAGCTCATCAAGCTCACTACATACCCTCGTCTTGCTTTCAACGTGCCTGTCCACTTCCACAATCCTAACCCTCCCACCCACTATAACAACCCTCGCTCTCATCAACCTCCCATCGTCTATTCCTCTCCACAGACTACCCAAACTCTGCCCTCTGCTTGTCTTCCTCGACCTTTCATATAACTCCTGGCTCCAGCATCCCGGTTCGAATTCGCTGAACAGCTTGGAAAGGGTGGAATGGCCCCGCTGGAACAATCTACGAGTTCTCGGGCTTCGGGGGTGTTATGTGTCGGAGGAGGTGCTGAGGAAGGTCAATCAAGGACGTTGGGATGATGTCGAAATTGTCCGGTATAACCTTCCCTCAATTAAATGGTTTGCAGGCTTTGAGTGCTGTGAGGCTCGGGAGCAGCAAGTACTTATCACATAAGTAGATCTTACTTGTTTATTCTCCCTCATGAGGGACGAAAGCTCTATCTTTTCAGTTGAGAGAGTCCTCGAGGTAGGCGGACCATCCGGCCCGGTTGTGTGGGCTTTAGCCTGTGCCGCACCCGGCGAACCGATGACGAACTGAGGACATCCAACCGGCTGGGAGAGCCAGAGCCCAGAGTCCCGGCATATCCCGAAACACACGTAAGCCGTGAGCTGTGACATTTCCAGGGCGCTACCCGTTCTGGCGCCTATCAGCCTCTGCCCTTGGCCTCTCCGTTCTAAGCCCCTGAACACCCTCCCGTCGTTCTCAGTTTTCTAGGTAGATATGCTCCCAATGTGAAGCCCATATAAATAAATTTCCTGTACCAATAGAGCATGGTCCTTTACGCAGTTTTTATTTTGAATTTCCTTTGGATAACATTAGGATAAAGCCGAAGTCATTCTGAAGTCCGACCTTGGTGTGTCCCCCGCTAGAAGCAGCCGGCCCTAAATGATGGCAGACTTCATGTGCTGGTCATGCAGATGCGATCAATCGGATTGATCGCAGGGAGGGACGCGTTTTTGATTAGATTAGATTTCTTTTGCTCTTTGTCTCTTTGTCTCGTTCCGTGTATATAGCTCCCCATTTCTTCGTCTCCTTTTTCTCTTCGTGTTCACCATCCTGTATCTCACATAGCTCGTTAGGCACTGCCTCGAGCACCTTTTTCTTTTTACTCCCACCCTTACCACTTGCCCATTTCATTGTTTTGTTTTTTTTTCATTTCATTTTCATTTTATTTAGTCTACGTAGCATACTACTGTGCCTGTTCCGGCTTGAGCTCGAGGCACCCCGCCGTCTCCGTTCAGTTCGCGGCGGGCCACCCTTGCGAGAGAGATTTGGCGCCCAAAAATGTGATGTCCATTTTCTGCCCCTACTTTATCTCCGCGCACAACATAGACATCACGTTACCCAGAGGCCAAATTGTTTAGTCAGCAACTGCGCCCGCAATCGCTGACTAAACAATTCACAGGCTCATCCCCACGTGCTGCAGCTTGAGTTAGCGCATGCAGTCGGCCCTAACTGATGGCTCACCATATCTATGTAGGATGCTTGATCAACGACGGGTCTTTTCTCCTACCACCACTACCCACCATAGAGTACGCGCTCGCGACGCACCTCCATAGTATAAAGCTCAGTGATACAACATAGAATACGTATATTACATTATATCTTGTCCTATCACTGCTGGCAGGCGTGTATATTACCCGGTCTAATATCCTTTGAAAATGCATTCTTCTCTTTTAAAATATTAGCGCGAGTCAATTGTAAAATATCTAAAGCGTTCTCGCGACGTACTAGCGGGCCCAGTGGGTGACTTCCCATCTCTTCCCATAAGCTTTTATTCCGGGGAATAGATTACTATCCGTAACCGGTTACTCGGTCACACCAGCTACTCGGTCATTGCCTTTGTAGATGGCACAGTTGCTCATTTCACTCCATTCTTTTTGTGCACTCATGTATAATAGTATCAGAGCAATGTAACTGCATTTTTTGGCAGACAGAACACCATTCCTCGCGGAGAAATGAGCCTCCCCTTGTGTCTGGTGACGCGTGACGCCCGATTTCCTTATTTGATACCATGTTTCTGGTGGTCCCGGAGGGCTTTTCTCGACAACATGACACATTGCCAGGAAGATACTTTGGACTTAAGATTTTCATAGTGACTACTTTATAATTAAGCAAATTTCTCTTATGTTGAAGGATTGCTGCACTTCCAACCTTGAAAATTGGAGAGTGTGTCATTTTGGAGGTGGATTGGACTGTTCCTGCTGATTTCTCTTAGTACAAAGCATCTATTGCATAAACAAAGAGGTGAAATGAATTGTGAGGCGAATATGTGTACATAAAAGAAGATCCCCTAATTTTTACAAATTTCTTCCAAACATAAGACACCAAGCAATTGAAAATTCTTGTTTTGAGTGATGAGAAATGTCAAATTAAATAACTGAAAGGAAAACATCAGAAATCACGAAATAAGAAGACCAGCTCATGATAGAGGTGTCTAACTTTCACTGGAAGCATTTTTTCATTTAGGTCAGACCAACTTTGAAGAGCAATTCAAGGTGGCCGAGTGCTGTCCTCGCATTCCGAGGTTATCTTATCATCAGCTTACTAAGCATAACTGACCCTGGTTACAACCGGTGTACGGGACCAATACAAATCGGTCTAGTCTCGGGGCCTGGCCGACTTCCTGGTTTGACCGATTTTGACCTATTGAAATAAAATATTCGTGGAGGTCTCAAACCCTCCCTTAAATTTCTGATAATTGGTACACAGGTACTTCAGATGCTTGCCTATTGAGTAGTACTGTTAGTTTTTTTAACACCCCCAAACCAAGCACACAAATTTTAGGAGACTGTAGAGTGACCGAGATGCCGGTCATCTACAGTAAGTCAAGCATGACAAAGGCACGTTGCCGTGATGCCGAGCCCAATTAGGCAGGACTTGCATCATTCTCGGCCCTCGGGGTCCTTGGCGGTGGAGCGGCGGGGCCGCCCCTCCGGTTGTCACGCTGTCACTCGGGGACCCTCCGAGATCACGTGGATACATGGACCGTGGCTCCAGGCTCCCGGCTCCGGACTCTCCCAGCCGGCTGGACGAACTGCAACTTCAAGGCAAGTTCACCACCATGTAGCGACATCTTCCAAGCCATGCCTCCAAATTCGTACACAATGTCGTACACGCAGAGAAAAGACTCACGGGGAGTAAATAATTTGCTCCATAATCTACGGTAAGTAAGTGTCCTTACCTCGTCTCAGTAGCATTTCTAACCGAAACTTTGAATTAGCGGAGAGCAATTTCGCCACCTCCAAAACGTAAAAGGCTCTCGAGACCACATCTCAACGCTCCAGAACTACAATTCCCAAAGCCTTCCAATCCGTTTGGCGAATCTTGAGCACGATCCGACGGATCCTTCACCGGCCCCGACCTTTTCACCAACCGTGCAGTCGTGCTCAGGACCTGCGCCTCCAAAGAGCTGGGACCGGCCTTCAGAATCCTTGATTTCATCTCGCGGAATAGTCAAATGGCGCCGTCAAGCCCTCAGCCTCGTTGCTGACCATCTCAACGGGTTTCCTGACCCGTTTCAGGTCCCGTCGCTCGCACTTCTCTGCCTGCAAAGTATCCTGGCGAATTGCACCAGCAACGCGGAGTTCAAGGAAGGTGTCGTGCCCTTCGTTCCATATCACCTGTGGCGCGACATCGTGCGGTACTGTGCCCTGCAAACGCCATTGCCAACATGGAAACTGGACGCGCTGTTCGACTCGGAGGGGCACACAGATGGCGAGATAATTGTCGTCGGACCGGAAGCTTCACTTCGCGAGAACCACTTCCTACGGCACATCCCTCACTCGACACGAAAAACCCAAGAAGAGACTACTTGGGAGGCGGAAGACAACTCGCCCAACTCTATTACAACCGTTATCCTCCTCTCAGTACGGCTAACCACCTCCGCACTCCTATCCCTTCCTCTAACGTTAACAACTCTCGCTCTCATCGACCTGCCCTCCTCCGTGCCCCTCCATCGGCTGACGAAAGTTTGCCCGCTCCTTGTGTTCCTCGATCTCTCGTACAACTCCTGGCTGCGGGAGCCAGCGTCAACGGATGCGCTGAACAGTTTGGAGAGGATCGAGTGGTCGCGTTGGGGTCATCTTCGAGTTCTTGGTCTTCGAGATTGCCATGTGTCGGATGAGGTGTTGAAGAAGATAAATCAAGGACGGTGGGACGACGTTGAGGTTGTCCAATGACCGACAGCCAGACCTTTCCATCCAGCAGCAACTCATATTTGGATGCTGCCGTCGGGAAGCCCGGAGGTTCATGTTTACATTGAGGAGATGGATTCGTGCCTGGACAGTCGTCGTTGATGTTCGTCTTCATCCGCACCTCGCAGTTATCCAGTATGTTCTTCCAATTTGCTTGGATTTAGAGCAAACAGTTGATTTCATCACTTCCAAGGAGCTCGCGAGACAACTTCTTCGATCCGTTCGACCTTGAAGAGCGTTCGAACAGTCCCTCCGAACACCAGAACGGTATATGCAATGACTCTTCTACCCTGCGGAAGTTTGCTTTAAACCCGCCGGTACTTGATTCTCCCCTCTTTCGCACTGAAATCCAAGGCCAATTATTCCAGTCTCATCTCCATGTGAGTCACATTGGGAAACAATTTCGGAACCCAAACACAAGCTGCAGTGCTCGATGTCGGCCTTTGCCGGCCGTTGGCCTCGTGTCTGCAGGAAGAAGCAGCGCATTCAGATACGGGGATTGAAGGCTATGGGGTGTTGCGGCTTCGTGCAAAGTGAGAATATTAATATCGGATGCAAGGATGAGGCGATGGTGAGCACACAGGGCGGCGACCGAATTGTTCTACCACTTACAAAGAAAAACCAACAGAAAGAAAATTTGCATTTTGTCAAGCAGCCAAAATTAGCCCAACTACCGTGGTCTTTGGTTTTTGGATAGCGGTGTGCTCGCCGAGCTGTCAAACCATGGCTATGTTTTGGTCCGAGTTTGTAAGCAAGGCAGTGGAGGAAAGTTTTCAGAGCAGTTAACTGTAGCTTCCTTTCTGCTTTGACTCATTCACGCCATACATTCCCCGCCCACTCTGGCATCCCATTAACATAATGAATGATGGACGACGATCAAGCTGCAAAGCCTCCCCTTGTAAATGTCCCCAACGGACAAGTAATGATTGCAGGTGGTCGGTTTACCCAGATCAACGGCCGCGAATCGCTTCTCAAGAGTGAGTTATCTTTTGATTTTAGCCGCCTTCCCTAGATAACTCGGCTATCCGTGCCATGTTAGCGATCCATGACGCTTTCAAGGACCACAGAGCCCCAAATGCCACACACGACTCCAATGATCAAGCCAACCTACAAAAGTGCCATCCCGGAACGCGAACGGACATTCTTCAAAAACTCGAACGATGGGTTCGGGACCCTAACGACTTGGCCACCACCATGTGGCTATTTGGCCCCGCAGGTGCTGGGAAGACCGCGATAGTACGATCGCTCGCTCGGATACTGGCTGAGCAGAAGCTCCTGGCAGCCTCTTTTTTCTTTTCTAGAACGATAGAAACCCGCAGCGAGGACAAATTGTTTGTCTCGACCTTGGCTCATCAGCTCGCAGTGAACACCCCGAAACTACGAGCTCATGTGTCCAAAGTCGTCCACGACGACCCTTTCGTCTTCGAGCAGTCGATGGAAACACAGTTCCAGCGCCTGATTGTCGAGCCGGTCATCAAAATGCGCAATCCTGCGGTGACGTCGCCCCTAAAACGACTCATTATCATTGACGGGCTCGACGAGTGTTTGCACCGTGACGCTCAGTCCCTCATCATTAAAACCATTCGCGACTCCACACATCTTTTGCGCGATCACTTAAAATTCCTGGTGGTCAGTCGCCCGGAACACCAAATCCAGAGCACCTTCGATCAACCTCGAGATGGGAATTCTACGCGATATGTGGATTTGTTGCACGACTTCAACGCGCTCAACGACATTCGCATTTTCATGTCCGACAAGTTCGCGGAAATAAAGCTCAAACATCCGCTAGGGTACACAATAGGCAATGCCTGGCCATCGGCTGACATCATCGACCTTCTAGTGAAGAAGGCAGCCATAAGCAACTTCATTTACGCGCGCACGACAATGGACTTCATCGCTACGACGTACGACCGACCGCAAGACCGCCTCGAAGTCGTCCTTGGGCTCAAAACTCCGGAAAGCACGGAAGATCCTTACAAGGAGTTGGACGACCTGTATCGGTACATTCTGTCCTCGGCCAGAACGCCTATCAGTTGCATCTTGCGAGTCCTGGCTATACCTGCGGTAACTGCCGCTTCCGGGAATGTCGACATGTCTGAACCACTTCATTTCACGCCATTCCTAGAGAAGATACTTGGCTTAAGGCAAGGCACAGTTGAATTATGGTTAATCGACCTTCGCTCACTGATCAGCATAACCAAGGCGAATGAACCCAATGCGCAAGTTAGCACCCTTCGTTTCTTGCACACAATCTTCTCCGATTTCCTTTTGAATTCTTCAAGATCTAGGGAATATTTTGTGGACCAGAATCTGGCCTACCTTGATGTCGCTTTGGGCAGTCTACGGATACTTTGCGACCTGGAAGCGAGCTTCGGTCAATGTCACACTGATTTCGAGGTTTTCTGGGAATGTGTCTTCGATACTGGCAAGGTTTTCTCTTGGGCTTGTGAGCTTTCCCCTCCAAGCAAGCAACTAGAATTTGCCATCATGGCCTGCGATATATGGCCCACTATAGGACCAATCCTGGAGGCCTGTAACGATGGGGCTTACTGGGTTTGGTCCGTCATCCGTGACTTTCTTATCTGCCTAAAAACTTCCAGAGTGCGTTTCCCTTCGGTACTTTATACTAATACTAACATTCGATTCTGCAGGCACTCAAGAATTCCCAAGCATACGAGTATCATGTTCCCATGTTTTACGCGTGGTTGAAGACCTGGCTTGACAAATACATTGCCGAGGATCCAATCCTAGACGCATTCACACTTATCACCATTGCCAAGACCATTGGACGGTGCCCTATCCGCGCAAAAATTCTGAGTTCATTCTCATTTGACGACTTCCTACCAAGGATTGGACCGCGGTCTCCGCTGAGAACTCTTGTTTACTACTTCTCCATTGAGCTCGAGTCGCGGAATACCTTGCATGTACAGTTGATCGACCTTACCGTCAAGTTCATACTGGACAAGAACCAATCTGGGAGGCACAATGACCACCTGCGGGTCGGCCACCGAAAGCTTGCGCATCTGGCCATTCGCGCCCTATCCTTTATCTGCTGTCAACGGAGGTTTGTCTCTAGCATTTCTTCTCTCCGAAAAGAACCTGATATGCTATCTATCTCCAGCCAGGCCACAGAAACAATCCCAATGGAACACTTTTCTTTCATCTTCGTTGCCATCGAGGTTTTTAGCTATTTATTCCCCGTCCGGGACAAGGCGCAGAGACTCAAAAACTACGAAGCATTAAAACGAGCGCCTGACCCATCTCGGTATCTTTCGGCTAGTCCAAATGCTCCAAAGCTGCAAGATCTCATTGTGTTCCTTCAGAACCACCGCTTGCATCCTCTTAAATCCAAAGGCTATCCTAACCTAGCTCATTCCGTTCTCCGGATCTTGCTCGCTCAGAGCTGCGAAGAACAGTATAAGGATTTTCTGCAATACCAAGTTTTGATGTCAGATACAGAGGTCTCATGGTTTCTTGGCCACTCAGATCTTCATGAACTCTCATGAAAAAACTCTTTTTGTCAATGACCACTATGAGTTCTTTCCGGACATGGCCGTCACAAATTCTTTCCCTGACTCGAAAACTTCTAGAATCGAAAGGCGAGATGAGATAACTATGTACAGCATTAGTTACATCTCCGTTCTTTTGCGGTGAAAAGGATAAGAACGGAGTACAAGAGGGCGCTATACGAGCAAAGAACGGCTCAAGTTGAAGATGTTGGGCACCATAAATCCGATAAATTACATCCAAAATGTCCAGTTCGTTCCTCGGAAGCATGTGAAGAGGGTGCAAAGCAGGGGTAAAACCAGAGGTCATAGGGAGGAATCTCCATGGTGGCCACTTGCCAGGCAACGACCAGGGCGGGGTTCCCTGAAAATTAAGCAAACCCCGCGAAGGAATCCCAACGCAATCTCTCCTCCCCTCCTCTCTGATCCTATCCACATTGGCCACGCGAGTCGTAGAGTTGCTACGCCGCCGCCACTAATTCTGGAGCCATCGAATGGAAAGTGTCCATCCTCCACCTCCAGTGTAGATTCAGACCTCTAATAACGGTCTTGATGGGTGATGCATAATTTTGATAGGTGATGTCGGTGATAGGTGGTATGTTCAGGTCCAAGTAAGCAACCTGTAAACCCTGTAAACCCTGGTTTGCTGCTGTCTGGGTCTGAGGGTCGCTGCCGACCCGTTATGATGGTAGAGGAATGATGTGTGTGGGGTGTCCGGGATCATGAAACATGAGCGTCGACGAACGAGGGGGCTTCAAAGCATGATGTTGCGAATCTGAAAGACAGACAACCCAATCAGTCTCAGGCATATATTGGTGGGAACCCAATCACGGAGAGCACTAAGTGCCTATCACTCGCTTGGGAAATGGCGCTGAAAAAGTGCGCTAAACGGACAGCTCGTGCAGAACACAAGGGTAACATTACTCCTGACGAGCGCCTGATTGGCGGGTGGCGAAATCATATAATTACACCACGCGACCCGAACCCGACGCGCCACATTGTCCCGCACCCTCAAATGCCTAATGTGTCGGGGTTCGAGTTTCAACCCTTCTGATTCGCCAGACGCACGCGGAGAACCGAACCGCCAAAACCCAATCCCGTGGTTTGCTCGGGCATGGCCACGCGCAGCGAGGAATGACGAAGAAGCACAGTCATAACAGAAGAACCAAGATGTATCACTCACATTTTTGCTCACGATCGCACTGTCATCAGCGTAGATCAGAGGAGATCAGAGTGGGGTAACCGAAATTGGCCGGAGTGCGGGGAAATGGGAGTATGGGACGGGATTCCAAGCGTCAGGTCCGTCGGAGGTATTGCGTGAACAGGGTTTTGTCCGTGGCGATGTGGCGACCCAGTGTTTAGGATTTCGAGGTTCGGGGTTCGAATCAGGATTTTTATAGCCGTGGAGTTTGGCGGTGAATTGGGCGAATGAATGCGTTTGCGTCGGTTCAGATTGATAATTAAGTTTTTTTTTGTTTCGGTTCCCCGAAGAAGAACAGCAGCAGCAGCACCCAAGCAAAACGTTTTCGGTTTCGCATTTCGAGAGAGGGCAATGCAATGGAAAAAAGGAAAGAGTTGATTAGATCAGTTAAATGTGAAACAGAAACAAGAATGGAATAAAAATGGAAAGCAAGTTAAAGAGGAAAAAGAAACAACACCGCCGCCTTATGCGGCATTCCGAACGAAACAAAAGAAATAAAACAAATCAATGCGTAAACGACAGAGTCTATAAGATAAGGGGGCACGGACAGGAGGCGACGAATAGAAGAGGACGGAAGGAGATGTAGAAGATCACAGCAAGGCCGCTGTTTCCAGACTGGAGCGAAGCGTAATGCTAAAAAGAAAAGCAAAAGAGAAAGGTGATGAGCGCACGGATTTGGATCACGATTTCAGATCAATTGGGCTGTCCATGTGGCATGGAAGCAAGAAAGCGTAAGGCAAAGGGGGCGGCGTCGACGACGAAGAACGGGGCGGCCGTCCGACACCACATAAGCAAAAAGGACAGAAGGAACTCACTCTGTAAGAAAGATTAGACTAATCAGTATCTCGTGACGTAAGGGTAAGAGAGGACGCACCTTCAACTGCGGCCATAACTACGCGAAGCATTGCTGTATCTGTAGCTGTCGTGATGCTAACAGAATATTAGAAAGTACATCAGAAGAGGAGAAAAGACAGGAGAAAAGTGGATCATCGATGGAGGACGGGAGAAAAAGAACGCGATTGTCAGTTATCCCATCTGTCCATCCATCCAGTCATCCAGTGCATGATCAAATTCAAAGCGGAGCGGAACCCAACTCGTCAGCGCCGCGGAAAGAGGGAATAGGAGACAGAGCGGCCGCGCTGGCGTCTCTGGGACGAAGCTTGAATCCAAATGACTTACTGGATGTAAATCTCCCGCTCCTTCGATCTGCCAGCCTTTTGCGCTAGCCTTGCAAACCGGCGCTTGAAGTAATCTCGGCCCGCCTTGATGTCACCCGGTTCACCGTCGAAATCCTAAGCGGGAGGACGAGCTTTATCAGCTTCGATGAACGGCACTGGATTGCTGGGATGACCCACTGGGAAGAAACTCTTGATGTCGGATGTCGGGATCTTCTTCTCGAAGAGATCGTTTTTGTTTAGGAAGAGAATCTGATGTGGCCATGAATTAACACAATAAACTCGGAGGATGGTGTGGAGGAAGGCTGGCGTACAATTGACGTTTGCTTAAACCATTGCGAATGACATATTGAATCCCAGATCGTCATAGCATCTTGCATTTGATTCTGTAGCGAGGAGGATGGAGCCGAAAGTCAACCACGGAGCAGAGAAAGACGATTAGAAAGACGTACAGCATCCTTGTCCTCCACTAGACATTGGTCGTATCCACTTAAGCTGACCAGGAAGAGAATACTCGTCACATCCTGGAAACAGTGTATCCACTTCCGCCGCTCGCTCTTCTGGCCTCCTACATCCACCATCAGCATCTCGTGTTCGCGGAGCGTAAACGTCGTTTCAGTGATTCCAATCGTACGAGCCCTACATCGAATGATGTCCTGCTCTGTTGGCTGATAATGTGGATCGAACAGGCGGTCGAGGTCGGAATAGAAGTATGATAGGCTGGGAGGAAGTGTTAGTATAAGCTATCGTCCAAGGATGGATAGATAGGCCTACTTTTCAGGTAAAGCCGCCTCATTCCCCCGCTCCCAGGCCTTCTGCACGTTAGGATCTTTCCATAGAGACTTGAGGGGCTCGTAGTAGTTCATGGGGAATGGCTCGCCATCTCGGATGTCCCGCACGCCGTCAATCAGCTCAACATGCGCGAGGTTCTCCTCTGACACTTTGAGCTCCATGTCCTCCATGGCGTCCAGAAGGTATCGTAAGCCGCGTGTCAGGTTGTCGAACACTAGCTGGCGGTAGTGCTCGATTTCGGACGGCGAGAATGGTATTCGGTGTATCAAGCGCATTTGCTGAGCAGGTGGTACGATTCGAGATATGGCAAGGGCGCTTCCTGGTTAGCACACGACGTAAGGTTGGCACAAGGGGCGGCGATAGCGCACCTTCAGAATTGTCGACTTCCCCGAGTCTCCTGAGCCCAGGAGTAATACCTGCCCAACGATGTTCAACCGATGTGTCAAGCTTTGGAGTGATGCACTCCACCACCAACCTTGACCTGTGCTGCGAGCTTTGCCTTTTGCTATCATCGTGCGTCAGGAAGGGTCTCTCGCTGGCCATTTCGAAGATCCACACACCTCCTTTAGCTGTTTCTCTGCCTCCCTATGCAAGACGCGATCCTGCTCGGTCACCTCGATCCCTGCAGGGGCTGACATACAAGCGCCCATCGCGGCTGGCTGGTGTTGGTGGTGTAATCGGTGTCAACGGGTCGGATAGAGCGCCAACGGCGGCGTTGGATTTCAGGACGATGAACAAACTTGGAGAGAAATGAACGAGCCGCGGAAAGCCCGTTTGGCCCGTTTGCAGGTGCTGATTGAGCTTCTTGTTGATGGAGAACAGGTCTTGGTGTTCCGCTGCTAACTAAAGCACGAACAGCCGCCAGTCGTAATCGAAATAAAAGAAAAGAGAGAACGAGTGTCTGAGGGAGAAAAGGCGCTGAAAGTCCCTGGCGGGCGTGGGGGTAGTGGTCACAAAGGGACCTGCTCAAAATGAAATCTCCCGAGTACCGTGGCACCACCCCTTTTCGCCTAGCTCCCGGCGCCGAGTGCTCGGCAGACATTGTCCATACGCCCCGTCCTGGTAAGTTTTCTCTTTCCTTCCTTTCCGACATCAGATTCTGACAAACGACAGGTGATAAGTTCACAGTTTAGCCATCCTAGCAAGGACTTGAAGCCGACGCTTTGCCTCGTAAGGGCATAGGAAGTCTGTACGAAGCCTAGGCACCATGCTTGCTGCACGGAGCTACCAATTTTTTTTCTAAGGTTGGGCCCGAAGTGGTGTGGCGCACCACTGAACGTCGAACTATCACACTAACACTATCACACAGGGCTGCGCAGATCCAGAACGACCACTTGCAAAATCCGTCCCCAACCGTATTTGAATTACGAGAAAGCCTACTGCACTCCCGATAACACATGCCCAGCTCTGTTCAACCGACGCTCGCCTTCTTCCCCGACGGTGCCTTATACATAGTCGCTAGGGTGTCTCTAAGCTTCTACTCAACTTCTACTCAAAACCCTGCATCTCTTTCTCTTCTTTCCTCCACGCTCTTCCACGGCTTCGTTTCTCAGCATTCATCCCAGAAGAAAAGTCTTCCACAGGCCCTTCTTCTCACCAGTGACTGAGGTGCCTGGGTTAATTAAATCTCTAGGGGATATCGACTCCACTTCCGACTGTCTTTCTGGAGTTTCCTGGAGTTTCTCATTCTCGAAAGGTCCACACACGTCACCACCAAGAGGTCATGATTTCTCTTAGCCGCATCTCTGGGACCGTCATGCTACCTCGGGCTCTCATGACCCTCGGCGTTGTTCATAGAGACGACCGCAAGCGATGTCCGGACAGGCCTGGTCTTTTTTCATCAAAAAATTCACGCCTTCGTTTACTTTATCACATCCCAGACTATCCCAGAGCCAACCTCCGCCGGCTTCTTTCTCGGTTCTCATGGTCGGGCGCTACGCGCAGGAAGAAGTTTTCTTCTTCAAGTTCATCACAAGAGGACTGAACAGAATGTTCAACGAATGTTCAACAGTCCACTTCGACAACTCGTCTTCTTCGCCTCCCTGCCCAGTGCCAGTGCCACCATCTGGGCTCTGTGTTCTCGTTCTGGGCACTTACGAGACGCTATCACGCTCGGTGTCTTGCTGCCTTACCGTCTTTTCTTTTGCTCTCTCCCAATCCCCGAAGTTGTGATAATCAAGCTTGGAGAGGGTCCGAAGTAGGGACTCGGCATAGGACAGGCAATATAGCTTTCCAACATTCCAAAAAGCCTGATGATCAATCGATAACATACTCCAGTCCAGTCATCACGACATCGTATTCTCCATCTGTCCTCCCATGCCTTTCAGTGGCGGGTTTGCGCCTCGCGAGCTCGAGCTCTTCGTTCAAGCTTCAACTCAATCCCCAGTCAGCCCCAGTCTCGAGAGGGACCTGAGCCACCACCGCAGCATGACATCACGGCCCCACGGATTTAATTTACTCGCCACACCGATAATTGCAAATGCCAGCGCCTAACGCATATGGAACTTGTTCCTTTTTCTGGATAAAACCTGCTTACGCTCGCTCTTATCGTTGCTGCGGTTCGATCCCCCTGCGAGTCGGCATATCTATAGAACGGACCTAGGGTGCATCAAGCCCGAATGTTCACTTCAAACATGTCGATCGCAAGTTCCGAGCGACGAAAATAGCGCTTCAACGTATCTATGGCATTACGCGTACAAGCTGCCTATCTACACGATTCGGACTCGCCATAAATTCCTCATACCGTGCCCGCGAACACTGAGCCAGCATCACCTCCAGCGTCGAATACGCAAAGCGGGCCGCGCTATACCAAACAATCGGCCGCAAACGGTGGTTTTCCACGAACGAAGTAAGCGCGCTAAGCTTCACTGCATGCGGGCTCTCCGACAGTAGCGAAGACGCGTCGGGGGTCCATGTCGTCCCGGCTCTCTCGGACCATTTCTGCGATTTCCACAGACAAGGCGGCAGTATGCGGTCCAAAATCTCGATCACAGAATAGATGAAGCACTCGTATTCGATAGGCAAGGGTTCATCACACCCGCTATAGAGCAGTATTACCAGAATGTCAAGTCAGGTCAGGTCGCTCTGAAATCCTGCGAGGAAGAACCGAACCACGAACCTCGTCCCCAGCCCCGTCGCCGTTGTCGTCGATGCCGCACAAATCCACGAAAGGTGGCGAACGGCCAGCTTGGCGAGCTTCTCCCGATCGACGTGATGTCTTCCAGACATGCCCTTGTTCCCCAGGAATCCCAAGGTTAGCTCTGCCAATACGTTAGGCGATTCTTCTTCGAGCATGAACAGCGCGATGTGATTGACTGGGGTACTCGCAGTGCTCCTTGGGATTGCAGATAGACACGGCAGGGTCTTGTTGGGCTGGTGGATTAGGTGCTCGATGAGGTCGTAAGTAGTGTAGGGACGGATAAGGCGGAAGGGATCTCCTTGCCATTTAAGCTCGGCCGTAGTGATCAGCGTGAGGGCATCAAATACTGGGTCTTCTGGGGCGAGGGCGTCGAGGTGTCGCTTGAGCCACGAGTTGAATTCGGCGACACGGTATTCAAATACTCGTGAATGCATAAATTGCTGCAAAAAGAAGAAACGATTAAGAGGTCGCTTTACACGGGAAAGTAGGGTTCCTACCTGGCATTTTTTCAGACGGGTATAAAAATGGTCTACGACTGGACACACACGGCGACCCGCGTCCGAGTGGTTTGGAGGGCATGCGGCGACTTTTTCAAGGACAGGCAGTATGTTGTACGCCTCGACAGCTTGCCTCAGTTCGCTATTATTTATTCCGTAGTCGCATGCCCATAAAAGAGGTCCGAAATAACGGATGATCCCGTACTCCCAGAAGTGATTTGGCCTGGCGATTCACCAAATTCTCGTCAGTTGGAGAAGAATAAAGAACGAAGAAAAGGATAAATACCAGTCCTGCACTGCCGACTCTTTGGGTTCACGAAGGCTCCGCAAACACCCCAACTCGACATCGCGGTACACCTGATTCACATCAACCCAATGCTGCTTTGACCTCGAGCGGTCAAGAAGAAATTCCGAGAACGAGGTGTGCATAAAATTAATCTTGGGGACTATAGCAGATTCGTCGCGCAAGCTGACAAGCGACCGGAGGTCGAGCAAGAGCAGGTCAATGGTTCCAGGGCGGTAACAAAGTATCCTCTCCTGGAAGCTCGGGTCTCGCACGAGCTCGGAAAGGCCATAATATCCATGGACTGTGGAGTGCTTGTTCGTTGTTCCAAGTAGGGCGATGGCCAGTGTCCGTAAGACCAGACCAATTGGCGTGCGTACAGCGGAGAGAATGTATCGGTAGAGTTCGTCCAGCTCCTTGTACGGGGATTCCGGTCCTGTCGGTGTTAGCCCAAGTATGATTTCGAGGCGGTCTTGCGGCCTGTCATATGCTGTGGCGATAAAGTCCATCGTCGTTCGTGCATACACGAAATTGCTGACAGACGCCTTCTCCACAAGCTTCTCGATCGCATCTGCAGATGGCCAGTCCGCTTCTATCAAGCCTCTGAGGAGATGTGTCTGCTTTATCTCTGCGAACATGTCAGTTATGAATAGGCGGATGTCGTCCTCTGTCTGATTAAGGTCGCGAAGGAGGTCGACACGTTGGGTACAGGAGGCGAATGCGGGGTCATCAAACGTGCTTTCAATGTGGTATTCTGGGCGGCTCACGATAAGAAACTTTAGATGGCCTTTGAGAGCTGATATGTGGGTTAAGATAATTTTTAGAATGGCGCACTGGGCGTCACGATTCACACACTCGTCGAGCCCATCAATGACAATGAGCTTCGGCGATGGATTCGATCTCCAAAATAGTTTGGTGATGGGGTCGAGAACCAAGTGCTGAAACTGTGTTTCCATTGACCACTGGAAAACCATGGGGTCAGCCTTGATTGCATCTTCGACATGTTGTTGCATGTCAGGGATCCGGACCGCCAATTGGTATGAAATAGTGGAGATGAACAATCTCTCGTTGTTGCGAGTTTCTGCTGATTTGAAGAAGAAAAAAGATGCTCCCAGAACTTGAATTTCTGCCAGAATCTTGGCCAAGGAACGTGCAATTGCCGTCTTTCCCGAGCCAGCAGGGCCAAACAGCCACAGAACCGGGTGAGAATTCTTTGAATTCAGCGCCCACTGTTTGAGGTTTTCAAGTAGAACCTTCCGAGTTCCGGGATGGCATCTTGGGGGATCAAGGCGATCGTTGGAGTCAAAAGTAGCGTTTGCTGCTATGTGCGGTTTGAACCTCTCGTAAAGTTCTGTTAGGCCAAAATCAGTGGCCCCATCTCTGGAGTTTAACTTGAGGCATGAATATCTCTACCTTTGCTCGACGAGCCATATTGTGTAAATGTACCACCTGTTATCATTACCTGTCCATGGGGTATGTGGAACATGGATGAAGTCGCAAGTGAATTGTCGTAGTGCATTAGTAGGTGTATCGTGAGTCGCAAGATGGGAAAGATGTATGTAGTCGGAAACAACAACCCATGTAGGCGCCCATCGTGATGACAGGCCCACTCACGGAAAATCCCGAGCACCGCCTCAAAGCCGTCCAGGCTGGAGACTTTGTTGGGTACAGAATCATTAATCAGAATTCCTTATGTTTTTCCATTTGTCGAAGATATGTGATAATCTTCTCGTTCATCTTGGAAGAATGCAGAAACTTGCCGGTGCTAATCAATAAACTCTCTGAGGGCATCATGATCGTCCTTCAGTGAAGGAATCACAAAGGGGGCCCAGATATTAAGGACAGTTCATCCTCTCTTCGTAGCTCATCCTCGTAGCCGGGCTCGATCTCTGCTCGCGCCAAGGCACACCATTCCGGGTTGGAGCCCATCACATAAAACAACTTCACCTTTTCCCAATATTCCGGCCTCCAACCTGCCTGTTCCCAGTCCAGCAATCCGACGACTGCAATATCTTCCGGCCCTTCACCGTCCACACGAACAAGGACGTTTCGCTGGTTGATGTCTCCATGGGTGAAGCAGATTCGATGGTCGTCCGGCATCTCCTTGCGGATCTGCCTGAGCCGTAGTCCTACTTTCTCACTCGTATCACCAAAGAGCGAGAAAGTGGAGATACGCCAATCATTGTATTCGCGCTCGTTAGGGAAGGGGCCCCAGGTCTTGCTCAGGGTGATGCGCATGTCGTAGCCCTTGTTTCCGTTTGCAGACCCGATCCAGCCGGATTGGCCCGACCTTGGAGGCATTGGTGGCTGGCGGATCGTCCGCAGTTGCCTCACATAGCCGCCCAAGATACGCACGACTGTGCGTCGCTGTTCAGGCGTAATCCGCTTCCAGGCGCGCGCGAGGGTTTCCCCCGGAACGTAGTCCATGATGAGATACCCATCGCCGTTCTTATCAGCCCAGACGTCGTGGACACGAGGGACAGGAATAGTCGTATTTTGGCAAATAAATCGGGTATTCTCTGCCTCCAGAGCAATTGAATAATGAGTAGATGTCTTCAGCACTGTCTTGGAAGTAAGACGGCGCACACTTCCATTGGTGGTAATTCGAGGATAAAGGCGCTTTGCACGGCGCAGGAGATATGGTAGTAACAGCCTTCGTCCGGAGTTAAGTATGAGATACCAGAGATTATTCAGGAAAAGAAACGTCATTTACGATCTGAATTTGGCTGATTAGCAGATTACCACTGGTTTTGACTTAGATCGACTCACTAGAGGTCGAGGAAAAGGACATATCGACGCGATGGTTGTGTTGGCAGATGGGCCTCTTGGTGACATAAGCGATTCCCGCGATGTTTACATAACTTGACGGTGCCCGCTTCACTGGAACATTATTTACCGACCAACTACCAATTCATATACCGAACCCCCTTTTATGAGAGCCAACAGTTTTTTTTTGACGGTCACTTTAATCTTTACTTCTCGATGCACCCTCGAAGTTAAGTTGCGGGGACTCGGAGCAAATACTTATTGTGTCCCCGGTGTATCGCCCATTGTTCTCCATTCACATTGCACCCACTATGTGATGAGGACAACGCCAGATCAATCGATCAAGCCCCATTTCACTTCCTTCCAACTGTAGCACCAACATCTGACCTTCAGAGTCGTGGCTCCAACTGATGGGGTGTTCTTAGCACACGAGTCATGTTCCAATCTTGTAACAAAGAGCAATTATTTTGAATGGAATGTGCGGTGAGAATCTTCTGTCTATTGCTTCGATTATGCTCTCACTTTAACGGCTTTAGCATCGCCAGACAAAGGGGATAAGATTTATCTATTTAAGACGATCGTAACAGCTTCTGCATTCGCAGACTTGTCGCCCACTACCACCAGCAAATTTACGTATCGTCTCTTCTCGTGAGTTATCTTCACTGGCTTCCTGCTTCCCTAATAAATTAACAGATACACGGAGCTGTAATGTCTGCTCAGCAGACAATCCCTCTCATTGTCGCTCAGTATACACTTAGTGGCCATCCCCGCCGTACCGAGCACTGGAGTCTCGTGGCTCCAGTCAGCCGACGAAATGCACACGTATACCAGCTTCTAGGCAACACGGACACATTCCAATACAGCTACGCATACGTCGACAGATTTGCGCAATCGCGCAGCCTGTGCGGCGGCGTTCAAATTGGCCAGATCAGGTCCGATTTGGCTAGGGCATGGCTTAAAGAGAAGTTGAGGGAAGTCAACGTTGTCCGACTCGACCCAAATTTCGACTGTCAGACCTGGGTTATCGATGCCATTCATTTGTTAAAGGATTATTCCAGCGTGGTGTTAGTGAACGTTGGATCAGGGAGGAGCTTGCAGCGGACAAAGAGAGATGGGAAACTGGAGAAGACATTGTTATCGAAAGACTGTTCCCGGAGGATTAACAGCAGAGCTACTCCATCAAATCTGTCCTATGCGTATAGGAAAGTGTCCAAGCTATTGCACTTTTAGTTGGACCGTAGTCGCTTCCCAATCGTTCTCGCTCTCTCTCCGCACCTTTCATATTTTGGTCTGCAAATCGGATTTGTCAATGGGTGCATGAATTATCTCTACTGTCTGAAGCCATATATGATCTTGTTTCTGCTGGTGTCGACGTCGGCTGGAAATGCCGTAATCTCCGCAGCATTTGCTTTAGGAAGCCTACCTTCCTTTTCTGGGCCTTTTCGATTGGCCGCTCCATCGTTTAAACGATCATGGGTTGCTCTTTATATTTCCAGTAAGCGGGTGAAGCATTGCTCGTCGGATCAAGACCGGGGAACTGATTGGTTTAGAAGAATGAAATAAGCGATTACTAGGCTCTAGTGCATGAATAATCTTACGCAAACGTAGGACTGGTCCGGACGCACCCTCGGAGAAGCAAACTTCAACCACGGATTGAATGTCCTCCCATCGACCGTGCGGTATGCTGAACATAATTATTACAGAGCGAGTGTCCCTGAAGTTCGATAATCATATTTTCTCATGACCATAAACATATTTGGCACATGTTCTGGATGTTGAATGGGGAACCACCATTGACGGTCTGCGAGCCGACCAGCTTGCCCTTATTGTCATGTCGGAGTAATGATAATAAAAAACGAATTCGAGTTCCTAGTCTTGAAGGGGCCCTGGACCGCCCATAGGGAGTCACGCGTCAGTAAGTAGCATCATAAACAATTCAACTTTGTCATAATCTTCAACTACTCCTTCGCCGTATTGTGAAATTTCGCCAACGCTCATCAAGACAGTCGGCCACTATCACTCTACTGAAAGAGGAAATGGTGCCATTTACATGGCGAGACAATTGCCATGTACCGCCAATAGCAGTCCATCGCAAGGCTGAAGCATTGAGTGCCCGTGAAGTGTGTCTCGCAAACGTGGTCCAAGTAGCGCCATCTATGCTCTCAGAGGGGAGAATCATGGTCACATGAACAGATTCTGTATATCATATCCCAGGAGCCTATGATCCTTTGGGTAGTTTAACCTGGAATGTACCTGTAGTCCAAGCAGTTCGAGTGTTCGGTTGAGTGATATGGAGGAAAAGCAAACTCACACTGAGGCATTGACGTGATTTCTGGGATGACGGATGCTTGGTACCCTAGTCTCGATAACACGCCGCGTATAATGCCTGCTGGCATTGCTGCATACTAAGTGGATGGCGATACCGATTAGCACTCGTTCGAGAACAAATTGCATTAGCCTCACTATTCTGGCCCGCTTCATGGCGTCTGCTCGAGATTCCCAAGAGGACAGACGTGTTATGGGTTTGAACGCGTTGTCTTGAAGAACGTATACACCTCTGTGGTTTGTCCGCAGGTTGTCGACCTGCTTATCCCAACAGGCAGCCCAGACGTCCTTGCAGACGAATTTAATAACATCGAGTGTTTCCGAGAACATCGCTCGATCTCGACATAGCCTGACATCGTCTAGAATGAGTATGCATGCAATGCAAAAGGACGGTTTGAGACTCACCGTTCAGAGAAATTAGCGCCGACGTGCAATCCAATCACCTCTAACCTCTGCCGTACAGGCTCCTCCTCATCATCAAGGGTTCCCTTCCCCGCTTTTGATGACACAAGACTCGTAACCGAATCTCTCGCGTTGTCCTTCTTCAAGGATGATGGTACTGGTGCAGGCGGTGGGATTAAGCCAGCTTCGGTCATTTCGACTTCGATCTTCTTCTGGCGAGCGGTGGCCACAGCTGCAGACTCTCGGAGGGTAGCTACCATCTCAACGAGGAAATATTCCATGGCTGCGCCATCTATCTGACGCGTTGGGGGGTCTGCGAGAGACGCGAGAGATGCTGAGGAAGGAAGTTGTGCTGAGGTCATGGTGGTAAGAAGTCAAAGTTCGTGATCGCTGTTCCTGACCACCAACTATCATGTCTACACTGTCGGCATTCTTCCCTGGGCGACGCCCGCCGTCCAGCCACACAGATCTGCTCTCTGACCTCAGATTCTCGTTGGAGATCATGCCAGGTTCAAGAAAATACGTCTTTACGCCGACCGCTCGCGCCGAAATCATCACGAAGTTGTACATTGCGTTTATGGGCCAGTACCCGCACATGTTCTTGCCCAGCGGCGTCTCGCAAGTTCCCCCACATGTACTGTTGAGCGAATATCAGACTTCAGTGGGCTTTTGTGGCGCTGGGAAGGACGATCCATTGGTTCCGGGCAGGCCATGCAGCCATATCTTCAAGAAGGGAGAAAGTTGCTACAGATGCAAGTAAGTGCGTTCAACTGTTGGTTCATCTATTCGCTCTGACTGAAATCGTAGAGATTGTGCACTGGATGATAGTTGTGTCCTGTGTTCGCGATGCTTCCATGCCACGGACCATTCAACACACAATGTTAGTTTCTTCATCGCCCAACAATCCGGCGGGTGCTGCGACTGTGGCGACGAAGAGGCGTGGCGTGCAGACATTCGGTGTCCTCATCACCCACCGGCGGGTCCGAACGATCCCCAAGACACGACTCCCCGTCTAATTCTCAAGCCGCTTCCGAATGAACTTCCCCCAGCACCAAACTACCCTTTCCGCGTGGCAGCCCCGCCCGATCTCAAAAACGCCATGCGCAGAACAATAGGTTTCGCGTTGGACTTCATGCTCGACACCCTTGATTATTCGCCTGACGAGCCAACTGTTCCAGCCAACGAGGCCGATCTTCGTTTGCAACCATCTGCAGACCCGATGATGAAGGACCAATATTGCATCGTACTATGGAACGACGACAAACACTCCTACGACGAGGTTACAAAGCTCCTCGTTGACATGACCAATCTGTCACAAGAAGATGCTGCGATGCTTACGCGGCGGATAGACGAGATGGGGAGGGAGATTATCGACATGAACTCAAATGTGGCGCGTCTACTAGAGACGGCACAAGCAATAACGCAGATCGACCTCGGAGTGACGATACGCAGAGCGTATGACACATTCTGCGAACAGGTTGTAGGGGTGATTATAGAGTGGCTTTTGGACTTGACGAGGAGTCGGCTCGGGACCGATACCCTAGTGATAAGGGAGGCTCTGGCAGCGGAATTGTTGAGTCCGCGGAGGAGAGATTCATTCACGAAGCATTTGACGCCTCCATGTGCGTTAAACCTGGACGCAGAGATACCGAACCCGACGAGGATCGATACTTTGTTGCTCTATCACACTAGACTCTGGAAGCGGCCTCGGCTTAGTTTGAAAGAGGTTTATGCCTCTGTTATCTCGGTCAGCAGGGCCCATAAACTAGCAGTCGGTAAGTTTGCCTTGCTGTTCGAACTGATGCTTTTCTAATCGTTTTTAGCCGGCCATTTTGCGAACATCTATCATCGGGTGATCGATGCATACTTGCTCGTCGATCGCGAAGCTGAAACGAGCATCAAGTACTTCGCACTTCAGCTATTCACCGTACCATCCGTGTCTGGCCACATAGCGAGAAACCACAGACTCGTCCAACGTCTCCTGGCCATCATAACAAGCTTCTTCACCAACCGGATCGTCGACAAAAGGATTGTCTACCCCGGTTCCTCTACGTCCGCCGTCGCCTCCTCGAATAGCACATCAACCTTTCCTGGATCTGGTTCAATACCCTCCCCAACATCATCCTCTATCACTACTGCCGCACTTGGAACTATCGATGTCGACTCTTTCCCCTTCAAGTCGAAACGGTTCATGCCCGTCTTCAGTGATCTGCGGTATCTTGCGCATACAACCCAGGTCCAGGATCTTATCGCACACTCGCCCGCATACCTCTCGGCCTTCGCGTCCACATGCAGGCTCTTCATGTGCTTGAACCCAAACAAACGAGCTGTAGACAGCCATGTCGAGTATGAAACCGATGCATGGATCAGTGTGTTCAACGTCACACTTAGCTTAAGTCGCGTCATCAAGGTATTCGGCGAGGCTTTTGCGCGTGCAACGAACACAGAGTTGGTCGGAGCCATCGGGACTGTTGTGCACCATATACTCATGGTTGTCACACTTGCTGAGGAACGACTTGACCGGAGCAAATTCTCGCCACCTTCTTTCCATCAAATCGAGTTCGGAGGGCGAAGTTATCAGACGGTCAAGTTCGACGTGGGAGAGGGCTGGATCAGCTTTCACCATTCATTGCATTGGCTTTTAGCGGAGCTCTTGAAGCACACCGATTTACTTGGGGATGGTCTGAAGAGCGTCGGCTATGAGGGTGGTTTACGGGAGGTTTTTGCCAGATCTGCGAGCGAACAAGCGGTTCTAAGTGTTGTCGACTTTCCCCTGCGAGGTGCGCACGCCATTTCCTGAAGTTATAACATATTGAACTGACATTCGGATAAAGTCCTTGCGATGATTGCCCAAATCAGGACTGGCCTCTGGGTACGCAATGGCTTCGCCATCCGTGGACAGCTGCTGCACTACAGAGATTACATGCTCCGCGAGCTTTGCTATGACCAAGATCTATTCATCCTTCAAACCGCCCTCGTAATTCTTCCTTCTGACCTGGTTATCGTCTCTATCCTCGACCGCTTCGGGCTTCTTGGCTACTTCTCTGGATCCTACCTCCACACGCATTATGAAGGCACACAGCTCGGGAGCATGGTCGAAGAGCTGTTCTACGTGCTCATCACCATCCTCAGCGAGAATGCCAATGCAAGCAAGATGCCGATGCACCTTGCCATACGGAGAGAAATCGTTCATGCACTCGCGATGGGACCATGCAGCTTTTCAGATCTTGTGAAACGTGTCGCAGAGCGGCTCGTAGATGATCCTTCGTTCGAGAGTATGCTCCGCGAAGTGGCGAATTTTCGACCTCCGGAAGGAGCGACCGAAACAGGCGTATATGAACTCAGGGACGAGGCCTTCGACGAGGTCAACCCGTTCTTTTATCACTATACTCGAAATCGTAGGGAAGAAGTGGAGACCGTTCTCCGCAAACGCATCGAGAAGAGAACAGGAAAGAAGGAGTGGGAGGTTGTTCTACCCCCGAAACCCTTCGGCGTCACCGAAGGTCCATACAAAGGCATCAGCGACGTATGGGAAAGGGAGGTCATGCTGCAAATAACGTTCTACGCTATATGGAACGTGCTGGTTGTGACCGACTCTCTGGGGTTGTCTGTCAGCACAGGCACAGCGACAGGTTCAGCTCCACCCTCCGCCGAGGCAATACTCGATCAGGCGTTGCACCTCGCCATGCTTGGTGTTGTTGAGAGGCCAAGAGGCTTCAGCACCCTCGCATCAGCAAAGAGGTTCGAGGCGCAGAGTCAAGGGGGTGGTAAGACCCTCCTCGATGTCCTTTGGGCCTTGGGCGCACACGAGAAGTACGCGAAGCTCTACAAGGCGCGTGTTGACTGGGTAATGAACAAGATGGAGGCTCAGGTCCCTGACGCTGTGCGTCGTCTTCGTGGCATTGCAGCTCGGGCAGGCGAACATGCCAATGGGTCAGGTTCGAGAACTCCAGGTTTGGACAAGGATGAAGAAAGGAAGAGGGCAGCGAAGAAGAGGCAAGAGGCCATCATGCAGCAAATGAAGGCCCAGCAGGCCAGTTTTGCAAGCACTTTTGGCGAAAACTTCGATTCAGACGAAGATGAGGATACCGATGGGGGCGACGGGGATTCGCGTATGTCAGACGGGGACGGGAAAGCAGAGGAGGCAGAAATTGTTTCATTCGGGACGTGCATTGTCTGTCAGGAAGACCTGAGCAGCGCCAGTCCAGCTGCAGGGAAACCTTTCGGTTCTCTTGGGCTCGTTCAACCTAGCCGACTGATTAGACGGCATCCCGATGGGCAGAGTCCCTACCTTAACGAGGTCTTGCTCGCACCGTTGTCCATGGATCGTCCGTCAGCTCCGAGTGGTAGCCCCCCGGTCACAACATTCCCACCTCCCCAAGCAGACTTGTATGACGCCCGCTCGACGTCCCATAATTTTGAAGGCTTCCCGGCGAACTGTACTCGCTTTGGTCTGCATAGTTCAGTTTGCAGCCATCTCATGCACCTGGACTGCTTCCAAGTTTACAGCGTGTCGATCAGACAACGGCATCGAGCGCAGGCGACGCGAAACCATCCAGAATGCATCCCTCGAAAGGAATTCATCTGTCCCCTTTGCAAGAGCTTGGGTAATGTTATTCTTCCTGTGACCCAAGCAGACCAGAAAACACAGCTCAACCCGGTGCCGTTTTCCGATTGGATACGAGCTGCGGGCATACATATCCTCAAGAGCAAGCCTGACCCTCTTCTGGAGTCACTGCAATTCCGCAATGGAACCGGAGAATTCGTCTTCTGGAGCGCCCAGGACCCAGGCTACGCCAGCGCTATCCGGAAGAACGTCGACAAGGATAAGATGGATAGTACTCCAGATGGAGGGAAGATGCTCGACACTGTGATGGTTATCTCGAAATCGATCTCGCAGCAGACAAGGCACCTTCGAGAAAGAATGGAACCTGAGCCAACAGAGCGTGGTGCCGGCATATACCTACCGGAGGAGCTGGTGGGATATACGATTGCCGCAATGGAGATCCAGCAAAGAGGGATTGGGATAGACGCATCCGCTACACCCGGAACCATGATGGTCGATGCCCTATCAGAGTCGCAGACGAGGATGATCAGAGGACTTTTGGCATGTCTGACAAGGCTCGTGGCGCTCCAGTTCAAGAACCGCCCGGACGAAGGGAAAGATGCCGTTCGTCAAGCGATCATCAAGAGGTTGCTGCCAGAGTGGAGCCGCACCTCCCTTACATCGTTCTCCTATCCCCTTCTTCTACGAGATCCTTTCACGTTACTGGTCGAAACCGCTGCCATTGCGCCCGAGATGCTCCGTCACGTCCTGGTTTTGACCTATTACGCCTGCCTGGCGCGAACGGTTGTCGGCCTGGTTTACATACTAAACAAGTCGCGCAGTCACAACATTTCACAGGTCCAACGCAGAGCACATGAAGACATATTTGGTGACGTCCGCATGTTCTTCATGTCCGTCGTCCGGCATTCGCCTGTATTTGAGCACACAGCTACGATGGCCTTCGAAACCTTCGGCGAAGCCAGAATAGAAAAACTTCTATATGCATTCACCCTACCTTTTCTCCGTCGCGCAGCCATCCTCTGCCGATCTGTCCTTCCTCTGGCCTTCCCGACACCGGCTTTTGACAATCCGAATGAACCCGAATACAACCGTCTACTCTCTATACTCGGAATTCCTCCATTATCTGATCTTCCTCACCACGACACACTCCAAAATGCACTCTCTGGCTGGTGTGCTCACTACGGGCACTCACATTCCGTCTCTCAGCTGAACTGCGGAGTTCTCTTGGACTACCCTGCCATCTACCGTTTGGCAAGACTTCCTCTGGTCCTTGACAGCTTGTTCAATCGACAAGACAAGGCATTAATGTGCATGACCTGCGAGACCTTCCCGGTCGATGCTGCGATTTGCCTTATTTGTGGTATCACGATATGTTTGCAAAGCAACTGCTGCATTGACGAGGATTATGGAAACCGCGGAGAGTGTAACATGCACACACGAGAGTACGCATTTATTTCACGCCATGGTTTACTTGGATGCTAATGTCGCGAAATTTCAGATGCGGCGGCACGATCGGCATTTACTACTGTGTCAAGCGTTGCTGTGTGCTCTATCTAAACTCAGGCAACGGGACTTTCACCCCTTCGCCATACCTCGACGCGCACGGCGAAGTTGATCTTTCCATGAGGTATGCTATCGATCATCCGTTTTTTTACGATGTTTAATCAACAACACAGCAGGCGCGGACGACGTCAGTTCTTGCACCATGCCCGATGGGAGGTCATCCGTAAGACGTGGCTATCACATGGGATTCCAAGCATGGTTGCCAGAAAACTAGAAAGCACTCTTGACTCCGGAGGTTGGGAGATGTTGTAACTATAGACACCCTCGGTCGCCGCCCTTTTCTCGGCATAGAGCCCACATCGTTGTATCACTAGACCACCCATCTCATCCTCGTTCCTCAGTCGCATCTCGCATCTATTAGGCATTCTATCCTCGTTCTGTAGCACCGAACAATCATCACTCCACTGCCATCCCTCACGCTCGTCGTAATGCTTTGTAGTTAAACTTCGTTATTGTTGTGTTCAACTATCTCCATGTACTTTTACATAAAAAATACATCAGTGACATCCAAGAGCATCAACGAGCAAGGGTTCTGCGATTATCGCAGTCGGGCTAACGTCCTCTCGCGGCCCAATGCATCCATGATATCAGCAATCGCAGGTCCGTCCTAAAGTTTTTCAGGACAAATTACACGAAAAATAGAAATTCACGCGGACCTTCATTCCTGTTAGTGCGTATCTCAAAGGTGTCATGAAAGCCCTCGTCGATAACTCCAACACCTCGCGCTCCTTATGCAGAAGAGTGAGGAAGTCAATGTCGTCCCAGTCCTCTGACTGCCCTTCGAGCGTAGCCTTGACGGTTTTGATGACGAGATCTGTTACGGAGGAGAGTCAGAAGTGGCACTGCAGGTGAGAGAAGATATGTACCGTAGTTCTCAGAGGCGATTTTCTCCCGCATTGCTTTCGCAATTGCAGACGTCAGGTCCGGCTCTTGGAAGAGGTAGGGTGCATGGAAAGGGATGTCGTAGATGTTCGTCAGGCGGCCCTTTTACGAAGTTGGCGGTTGAACAGTGTTATACAGGCACAGACTTGACACATACCTCGAGGATGCTAATAGCCTTCTTGATCATATCCAGGGTAGTATGTGGACTACACGAGTGCAAAACATCAATAACCTGTCGCATCCGATTAAAAGTATGTACGAGTCAACGAACCTGTTCGGGAAGGCCTCCTTGATGTGCTCATGCACCTTCTGCGCAAGTTCTTCGAGACCGGTACGCGTAGATGCCCGGCGCATGACATGGTGCTTGTTGATGTACTCTAGTTTGGCAGCCTCGAGAACGGTGTTGCGGTGTGTGATGGCGGAAAGGTCGAACTACCAAGTCGGGCCTCGTTGAACAAAGAGTAGCAAGGAAAGAACGTGTGTATACGCTTACCTGGTCGACCATCTCATCCATCGTCATGATCCTCGTGCTATCAGGCACGATGTTTAGTGACCGAGCTTGAGTAGAGCCGTCTGGGGAGGGTGCTTCGTGACTGACACCCCAGCCAGAAAGGACGAGCCAGTTCAAGACACCCTCTGGTTCCCAACCACGCTTCTATATATCCGAGCCAATAAACGGTAAGAAAAATCACAAGTAAGCAAGCAAAAGTGACCGACGATGAAATCCATCACTTGAACGTCTCCGTGTCGTTTTGACATCTTGGAGCCGTCCGGGTTCAGCAAAATTGGCATGTGGCCGAAATGCGGGGCAGGGATTTTGAGGGATGCGTATAGGTCGAGATGGAGCGGCAGCGAGGGAAGCCATTCCTACAAGAGCAAGTAAGTGCTAGAAACTTCAATCGAGGGGTTGGCAAGAACCTCTCCACGCAGAACATGAGTGATCCCCATCTCGTGGTCATCGGCAACTGAAGCGAGATGGTAAGTAGGGAACTGGTCTGTTTTCAGGATGATTGGGTCCGTGGCAAGAGAGGCGTGGGTGTCTCTCGGGCGACCGAAGATGAGGTCGGTCGCAGGTGGTCGTGTTGGAGCGGCAGTATTCTGTCACAGCATGACACTATTCTCAGCTTGGCTGCAGAGTAAAGAGGAAAAGAAACGTACGTTAAACCGTACAACATATTTCTCACCTGCCCGCACTTTCCTCGCAGCTTCTTCCTCTGTAAGATGCAAGCAACGCCTGTCGTACGACGCGCTTGAGCCCGACCGGGCCAGCTTTCCTTTGATCTCGGCTAGTGTGTCTTGAGAGCAGAAACATCGATACGCGTTCCCTGACTGGGCGAAGAGTGTAAGCAGAAAAAATAATTGTCGAATGGTAGCGATGTAGCGAACTTACGTCCAGCAGCTTCCCGGCGTAGGATTTATACAAGTCCAGTCTTTCTGACTACCTGGCTTGAGTAAATACAACCCTCGCTCTTTTGCGAGCAAGCTTACTTGAAAATATGGCCCATGAGGGCCTTCTCTCCCCGGTCCTGGTCGAAATGAATTGGGCATCCAACAAACATATTGCGCAGACGAACCGAAGTCATAATGCAGTCCTGCCCATTCCAACGCGTTCCTGATGCCCTCCACGGAGCCCGGGACGAATCTACTCTATATTTGCTCCCTGTGAGCCTTTAAACCTTGAAAACGACAAAATGATTCCATACTGCGTCTGTATCCTCTATCCTCAGCAACCACTTCCCCGCGTGTTTCCTCGCGAAAAGATGGTTGTAGAGAGCCATTCGCAGACCCCCAAGATGTAACGGCCCCGTTGGAGAGGGAGCAAAACGTAACAAAACCATTTATTCGACGTATGCTTTGAAGATCAGACGGGACGGGGCGAGGAGTAGCTAATTTCGAGGAAAGCGGAAGGTGTAGGGCAAGACCAGGGGAACCTCGACCGGCCCGCCTTTGTCGGCATTATCCGCATATTTCTCACGCATGCTGCCACAACGCCCCGTTGCCCCGTTGCCCCGTTCCTCTTGCTAATACAAGAACTGCGTCGAGCATGCCATGGGAAATCCTCTCAACGTCTGGGCCAACATATTATAAACCCCCAGAATGGCATCATCGAGTTCCTTGGGCTTATGGACTCGAAGGGGTGAGTGAGCGGAACTTGCCAAAAACATTAGCATCTGTTCTAACTTTTAACTCTCAATTTCATTTAGGTTTCTGTTGACGATTACCCACAGGTCCTCATAGAAGCTTTACAGAACAATTACCCTGTCGCCCCTTCCAAGCTGGAGGAATTAAAACCTTTCGACAATCAGCGGCCGACCAGCTTCCTGTAGTTCAGGCGCGAATAGACGCGGTTAAATCCGAAGTACAGATGGCAAAAGCTGCCTTCGAGGAGGCCCAGAGTAAGCTCTGGAACCTTAAGAAAAAGCTGCAAGAGACTCAAGATACCCGCAAACCTTTCCTTAAGAAGATCGCGGCCTGCGATGTTGCTCTGTCGCCCATGAGGCGCGTACCGGTCGACATTCTTAGGGAAATTTTTCCTTACACACTGAAGAAACCGCCTACAGCGCACCGCAAGCGCGCCCCTCTCTCGCTCTCCCATGTTTCATCCAACTGGAGAAGAACGATTCATTCCATACCGTTGATGTGGAGTCATCTGAAGATCCCTCTTAAAGGGGTTTTCGACCGGTATTATCAAAAAGATATGTTTGTCCGCTACCAGTCCCAGGTGGCTGGGTTTCTCAACAACTCTGGTGACCTTCCTGCGACTCTCCAACTGATATTGACGTCGACCGCGATTACGGGAGACCCTGACGACCTGGCCTGCGACGAAAAAGCGACGATGGATATGTTCGACGATCTTCTCGCGTTTGTCCTCGCCTCGCCCAAAGTTACAAACATGGGACAATTGGAAGTTCAGAGCCCTTTTCTCCAACGCACGATAATAGCTCTGTCGAATGTCCAGCGTCAGCTCCCTCAACTGAAGTCCTTCAAACTTAAAGGCTCTTTGTTCAGGGATTATTGGCCACGTGAACTCGGTCCTCCACTTCACGACTCTGATGGCGACTCTTATCTCGCGCGATTCCTCACCCATGCACCAAACCTCCGTGATCTCTATTTTGTTCGCGATGTTCCAATCAGAGTTTTCTTCAATCACCCTTGATACAGCCACATTTGGCGCAGTCTGACTTCACTCACAATTGGCGAAACGTTCGACGTCTCTTCCTGGCTCCAACTCACGGATATGTGCCCTAACCTCAAGATAGGACAGTTCTCCCTCTCGGTCAATCAGCCAGAGTTCCCTCGGGTGCCGAGGGAGAATCTAACTCTCCAATTTCTTTCCATTACCTATGCCTATCACGAGTCACATTTCGACTTCCTCTATCCATTCCGCTTATTCATCTTCAAAGGTCTCCTGAGAGCGCAGATATCGCAATCCGTCACGGAAAACGAGCCCCATGCACTGTCCTGACCTGATACGTACTTGGCATATATGCATCACCCGCACGAATTGAAGCACAATCTTCCCGCACTTCAAGAACTATTCATCTTCAACGAGTGGATTTCAGTCACTGAAGAGTTCACCAACCTCCTAGCCCAATTTCCCGACCTGCAAGTCCTGAAGATTACCATCCCAGCGAACGGCGCGCAACAGTTCCTGGATTTCCTGCTCGCTATGCAAGCCGGGTGTCCTGCACTGCAGAACCTTACTTGGCTTACGCGTCTCTCCATCCAGCTATGGTTTCAGCCATGTATGATCAGTGAGCAAGACCGGAAGATGCTAGGTATTAAGGAAGACAGCTCATCTGGTATTGTTCACCAATTAGTGCAGTTGTTGGAAGGCCGCTATCACGCACCCTGTCAACAAGATGAAGAGTGTCATCGACCTGGTTCCCTAGAATCGCTTTCACTAAGTCTCGCATGTTACTGGACGCCCCTTTATCAGGAGGTACGACGAATAGAAACAATGCTGAAGCCTTTTAAGGACATGGGTCTCGAGCTCACTGTGGACGCGAGGGGCTTAACCACTTCCTTCAACCTGTGCTGGCCATCATCTGAAGAGGATGACTAGAGGTCACACAATCGAATATATTGTCAAGATTTGGGTGCAATGTACCCAATTCCGTCTCACTACGACTGCAGACTGTACTAGGCATTTTTCCGAGTCTGTATAAATTCTGTCCAGTATCATTCGTGTGTTCAAGTGGTTATTTCAGTCAACCGTCTCCAAAGGCCAACCCTTGAAGGCAGTCCCCACTTTCTAGCTTGTGATTATATTTTCCGAATTAGGCAGGCTTATGTCCACTTTGGGCTTTGCAGACGGTTGCAATTCAGGGGTTCGGGGGCTACAAGACTCTAAGAAATCATGACGTATGATTCTGTTGGGGAGATGTCGTAAGGAAGGAGATACGGTGTAACTGCATGAAAGGAAAGAGTAAATACCGAGGACAACAATCAGGCTCACTGACGCACCACCAGCACGTCTACCCCGACCGGAAGGGTACTCATTGGACAAGACAATATATCATGCAAGTCCTAAGTACCTCTAAAATCGGTGAATTGCCTGAGTTTATTCTCCTAAATGCAAACAGAATAGCATGGAGGATATATTAGACGAATAAGGTGTCGAATAGCGGCTGAAGTGCAAGATGTAGCCGGAGCTCCTGACCGCGGCATAGAAGCAAATGTAGATGAGGGATTATGGTATAGTGGGGATTCGTAAGAACGCTTCTGAATATCCAGAGATAAGTGCGAGAGGCCTAAAGATACAAATTACATAAGTCTATCGATACAGGGGAGTGGGTGAGGGTCATGCTAACGCCCCGCAGTTTCTGCAACCCAAGGGTATATTGGATCAGTACGGGGACCACAGGAGAAATACAACTTACTCCACTCTCTTCTGTCCATAGGACACTGGCCTTTCGACGCCGGTTGATGTATCCATTTGTATAAGCAGTGCATATGGAAGACATGGGAACACTCTCCCCATACTGCGATAGCAAAGAACGAACCATTAGCACGTCCCATGTTCTATTCAAAGCGACCTCAGAAATAAATTAATACTCACTCAGAGGACACTCATCTCCTGGCATCTTGCACGACGGACAACACCCCTCATACGCCACACGGCAGATGCCACAAACATCATCCTCGCTTTCATCGTCCTGGTCCCCGTTGCGTGTGTCCCAGCGCCATTGTGCGACAGCGTTCCAACGTTTGACTGTCACTTTCATCTTTCTCGTGGGCAGCGCTACTGGGCAGGCGGTTGGGAAGATGGGAGTTCAGGTTCAAGTTTGCCGAGACGGGACAGCCAATTTGATCAACTATTTGGCTTTATGTACGTGTCACGACGCGTCACCCACGCGTCGCGGACTCAATAACAGGTGTGTTCTTAACCACTACTCCCGAAGACTGTCATGACTGAAGTTATTAGAATGGGTAAAACCGCTTCTATTCTTCGAAGGGATGCTGAAAGAGCTAAATTATTAGAGCCTGAAATCTGGGAGACTCACTTGCCGCCACTTTCCGCAGAGGGAATAGACGGTGAAGAGATCGAGGGAGCCCTGACGACTCTAGCCAAGATCGTACAGGTCCTCGATATTCCTGATGCGTCATTCATGAGGTGAGTATTCATCAAAGATATTTACTGTCTTCCTCTGCGATGACTTACAGCCTATTTATGTCACAGCTACTCAACGGCAATCGAGAATTTAAGCACACAACATTGCGCACTCAATCGTTCCTTAAATCGATTTAAAAATATCGCGGAGGAGCTGAAGGACTATCTGGAGACCTTGAGACATGAACACGACCTCCTGAAGCAGTACGTGACTGCCTCTCGCTCATGCTTCCGAAAATTCGACAACGTATCTCTCGCAGTTGGAACGAGGCTTTAGTTCCTGGACCCTCCTCGAAATCAGGGCTGGATGCTGCCTCAACGCTTGAACGAAGAAAGGAAGCATTGGTCAAGAAAGCCAAAGAACAACACCGTGAATTGGAGGCACTACTGGTAGGGCATCCTTATTTTCTCGATGCTGGATATTAATTGACGCTCCCCTGACGTTTGCTAGGTGGAAGATAAACTCGACATTCGCGTCAGCGTCGATAAACTAATAGCACAAAAAGAGAAAAATCTCGCCAGCGAGAAGGAGCTCAAAGAAAACCGAGCGAAGATCAAGGCGTTTCAAGGCTTGCCACCAGTAAGAAAACCCGCCGTTATGCTGTCGATTCCCAACTGAGACCCTTGCAGAATCTGGAATTGGCACGGCACGAGCTGAGGGTTGCCCGCGAGAAACAAATGGAACTCATCCAGCTTCGAGAGCGCCTCTTAGGTAGGATGGCGGACAGTGTTTCTTGAATTGTGTAGGCTTCCTTACTCTGTTCAGACGGAGAACCGTTGACCAGTATGATGGACCTTGTCTTTACATAAATCGACAGGAATGTGCAGATACGTATCACAGAAGATCTGACATGCGTTGCACTAGTATCGATTCTGGACCCTTGGAATTTGATTCCAGAGAATATTCACGCAGCGATAGAATCACCACAACCACAACCACAACCACAACCACAACCCAGGCAGAAATGATCAAGTTCAACATCTTCCACGGCCCAAAGTTGTTGTCGTACCACTGGCATATCCCGACTCCCAAAACTAGAGTGCTTCCCAATAGTAGCCGAGTCCACGACGCATGCTAATCTGTTCATATTCAAGTCGCGCCCAGGCATCCTCCACGGACTGGCCCTTGGTTCTATCTGGCTTCGGTGCGACTGCGGTTTCGACGACAATGAGAGAGAGGCCTATACCAGTGTCGATGGCCTGCAGAATGTCATCGCGACGCTCATGATCTATCCCAGGCTCTGCCTTGGCAGTCTCAGGCCGTCCTCGCCCTCGGTGGTGACCTTGCACGGGATGCAGCTCCGGCTGTGTCCATCGAGTAGCAGACGGAAAGAGGTTGCGGATGGCCTTCCAGGAGTAATTGGGTAGAAGGAATGAAGACGGGGTAGGAACTCCCGTTTGAAACTGCCATTTGCATCCTGCGCTCGTGACGGGCACAGGAAGAGGAGGAACTCGCGTTGTATGTTGAATTTGGAAAGAAATAGTGATTCTAGGAGGTGGCATGCCGGCTCCCGCAAGAGCTGGACGAGTTCCCAACGATCCATGTGAATCTCTTCCAGTCGCAGAGAGGTGAGGTGGCACACGGAAATATGTAATAAACGGTGCACGTCACCCACCCAACCATCCCGGTAGGATAGCATAGCGGGGAAGGGAAAACGAGAGGTCCACTGTCGTCACTACAGTTTTGTAATGCCGATGGAGTGAGGTTGAGGTAGAGTCCCCTCCATCGCGAGGAGTGTTGATATACGAGATGGATAATGGGATCAGCGCGCATTGGACTCCTGCGGGACAGGCGGCGCATGAGATAGACAGAAAGGGGCAGTTCTCGCGAGTGCGCCAGCCATTCCTTCGCCGACTCCAGCTGACGCGCGCCGTATTTCGATCCGACATACACACTGATACGAGTCCAAAGCTGCGGTGTCGAAAATGTTATGTTCCGCCACGTCTTGCTGACAGACCCTAAGAGTAAAGGGATGGGGGGATGAGGAGGGACGCCTGTGCTGCTTTGATCGTCGGGCATACACATTTCGAAGATACGGCATACAACCTCCAAAAAGGGATTTTTGTGGTGAGCACATCATTTTCCAGTGCTTCGTTTAGTCTTCATGCGCGATTGGTGCTCATTCACCTGTTGATCGAGGGGCCGTTGCTGGCGTGGCCTTTTACGAGTCATTGATCGGGCAGGGATCTTTCACGAACGTTGTAGTCTTATTGATCGAGCATCGATTGGGTTGTGCACCTGAAAAGATACTTATAAGTCAATTTGTGGTTCAATATGATACGATATTACAATAGGAAAGGAAAATGTTAGGTAGCGCAGAAGCATCGTAGGTGAAAAGGACACATTGGGGTTGTTTATCTCAGTCTGTGGGCGACGTCGAACGATGGAGCTTCTGAATGTGAGGGTTGAGGACAAGCTTGAGTGCTTAATCATGGGAGAATTGCTGGACTTTTGAAGGATATAGACACGTGATGACGACGTGACGCGTCTTTCCTATAAATAGGAGCTAATGAAAGCTTGAACGCCGAGCCGGCTGGTGCCGCAATGAGGGTGAATCGGTGGAAAGAGAGTGTGGAGCACACAGAGGGGAAAAAAAGAGTGCAAATGACGCAACCGAAGTCGTTACTCTCAACCGCGACGGCGGGTCGTCTTCGAGGACTGCGTTTCGGTTTGTGATACACGGTCACTGGAGCGCGTAGATGTTAGGTTCCAGCTACAACATTTCCTGGCTCCGCAACAAGTATTCAAGAAGCTCGTCTTCTCCCACCTCGATCTCGGCCTGGATATTCTGGGGTAAGACATTGTACCACAATCTCCCCTGAGGACCACACCAGCAACCTTGCAGATGTCGGTACCCACCGAGTTGGATAAAGAAAAGGCGCTCTTCATGACCTTCTGGTAGTTCTCGAGAATCTCCTTCGCCCTACGCTGTGAGATAGTCAAACCAGGGGAAGGAGATGAGGAGACGGGGAAAGGTCGGCGGTGGCAGAGACGGTGGTGCAAGACGTGGGCCTGATGAGTAGCCCAATGCCTTCACGTAGTCAGTATTCCAATGGCGAGCGAGTCAGCAGGTAAGAAACAACAAAACCAACAGGTTGACCCACATCTTGGCCAGAGCTCCTGTGGCAACTTGCGAACGCCTCACTATCACGCATTCGCGGTCCGACCTTGATCTTCTCATAAGAGAGTTTTGTGGTAAAGGCAACATACGTCCAGCGTATGTGGCTAAACAAACAAGTAACAAGTTCAGCAATTACTCATAACGCAATCGAACAGAGAGGACCACACACTCTTCAAAGGCTGACGGCCATATTCCGATAGTTCCTTGTCTATTCTATCTCGGAACACGTTTGGATGCGTCTCTCTAATCATGGGAGTCGTCGACGGGTCTTGTCTTTTTGGTTTCTAGCAACCTGTTTCGCTTCACTGGGTCGGTCGGAAGGACGAGGCTGGAGTCGGTGAAGAGCTTGATATAGTGCATGCTCCGTGCTGCTCTGCTTCAAGAGTCGGTTTTGCCCGAGCTGTCTGACCCCGCAATGACGGGCTTACTGGTTCGAGAGCATACGTGAATTGGAAACTGCGGGCCAAACTGCGGCGATCACTGCGGCGATCATTGCAGCGGCACCTCCCGGCCACTTTCCCACCTCATATGCTCTCATGCTGACGACGACGAGTCGAGGATGAAGACTCTGAGCAACACAACACTGAGATGCATCATAAGTTCCTCATAGTTTCCACCTCAGCCTAAGTGTCCTCCTGCACCGACCTCCTTTTCTCATACCAACAGCCTCAACCGGACACCAATTTGAACCACACCAAGCTACCCCGCGACGTGTGTGGTTCAGCAGCTTCGCACCGCTTCCTGCCTCCGAGTCTGACAGCAAAGGTGACGTTAAGGAGGAGGAAGGTGAACTGATATTCGGGAATGTGGTGGGGAGTCGGAACGGACGCTTGATCAAGACTAGGCAGTGAGACAAATGAAGAGACTGCTCATCCTGGTCCCTTTGCCTCTACTAGGTGCGTCGCCACCACATACGCTGCAGGCGTAGACATAGATGCCGATGAAACACCTCCCGCAGACTTCTATCCGTGTCCTGCCCACATTTATGGCAGCAGGGGGCCAATGCGGTCGACGATCTTCACCTCGCTTCACTCTATACCACGTCGTCCTCATCCAACACTTCCTCGCCCACTTCAGTGTCAGCCTCTATTTCAGGTCTAATCCTGCCTCGCCCTCTCGAATATGCTGGCACGGAAGGGAATGTGCGTTTGTCGCCGAGCAGCAAGCTGGATACGGCGTGTTTGAAGTCAATCGGAAGGGGTCGAAGGACGTCATTGGGGGAAGGAGTTCAGCTACTAGTGTTTACTTGAGGCTGCCACCTGCTGTATACTGCTGAAGGACTGATCGGGTGAATAAACTCCAACATGTCTGTATTGGCGGGCATCAATTCATGGACTCAGAAACCTGTATAGGTGAAATTTAACTACCAATGGCCTCCCCTCAGGCAGCCAGCGCGTCGCGTCTAATTGGCGTGATTGATCACGTTACCGCCTAGCGGGAGTTGCCGCCGCTGTGATCGCCGCAGTCTGGCCCCGCAGTTTCCAATTCCGAGATCTTCTGACTGGTTCAACAAGCGGTTTCGGTATTTTCTTTCAAACGGCGCCGGGAAGTCAGGCCCGCTTTTCCGGCAAACTCCGAGGGTAACTTTTACCGACCAACGCGTCCAGCTCTGCTGCTAGATTCCTGGAGCCCCATCCCAGTATCGCGCTATGGAACTATCGGTGTGTCAATTTCCAGTCGTCACGACTTCACTTGGAGCCAACTAAATTTCCCAGAGTGGAAGTTGTCAGTGGACTTGAAATCGCCGTGAAGAATAACCTTTCAAAATTTCAACCGTGCACCACTCCAACAAACGAGCACTACACGAGGAAACGGCGTGTGTAACGCCTCAAAGTCGTGACGATAAGTAGGGCTGAAAACTGCATTTCAGAAAGGAAGATTCAGGTCGCCAGCAATGAACTCACAATCTCGATCGCGCCAGCCGAGGGGTCAAGGGAAAAATGATGGAATGCAGCTGGGCGACCTTGCGATTGGCGAACTAAATATTTACCCGCCTTTCCTTCGAGCCACCACCACCATGTCATTATATCTCTGGATACTTCGTGTTTCCATCCTACACTCATTTTTGACGATCCTTGTATCAGCGGCGACGGCGGAGGAATGGCGTGGGCGAAGAATATACCAGGTACGTGCTTGTTTCTCGCCTTTATCCTCGCTCCTAATCCAATTTCTTAGGTGTTGACTGACAGATTTGCGAGAGAAGACAACACCGCGGCACCTTGCGACACGTCTGAGAGAACATATTGTGGAGGGACATGGAAGGGCATCACCAGTCACCTTGACTACATCCAGCAGCTGGGGTTCGACGCTGTTTGGATTTCGCCAATCGTCGCCAACGTGGAGGGTGTTACTGCTTACGGCGAGGCTTACCATGGGTCAGTTCTCTCATCGTCTATAACTCTTCACTCTGACCTAATGATTGCCCAGCTACTGGCCAAAGGACATCACGAAACTCAATGAAAACTTTGGGACCGCAGACGACCTCAAGACCCTCAGCCAAGCCCTACATTCACGAGGCATGTACCTCATGGTCGACGTCGTGGTAAACCAGTATGCCCTTACTCCACTCTCCGGCAACCCTGATTCCTGACCACATTCCATTTCCAAGTTTTGTGGTTATACCTTCAGCCGACGGGTCGCTCGACTTCTCCAGCAGCGTTCCATTCTCCTCCTCCAGCTCGTTCCATCCCCGATGCACCATAAGCGACGCCGATTACACTCAAAACCAAACCGCTGTCGAGCTGTGTTGGCTCGGTGACGACAATCTCCCGCTAGCCGACTTGAACACGGAGGACCCGGCAATCGTGCAAACCCTTTTGGACTGGGTTAAAGAGACAGTGGAGGAGTATAGCATCGATGGGCTACGTATCGACACTGTGAAGCATGTTCGCAAGGACTTCTGGCCGGCGTTTGCGAAGGCGGCGGGTGTTTATACTCTGGGCGAGGTAGTTGGCTCATTGTCCTTCTCTTGCCTTTACTGACAGCTTAAAGGTTCTCATTGACGACGTCGATTATGCTGCACCATACACCCGTAAGTTGTCGGCCTTCTCTCGCCGTCGCCGCCACGTGTTAATCCTATCGGCAGAGGTCATCGATTCCGTACTCGACTACCCAACCTTCTTCGCCGTCACCTCAGCTTTCAAGTCGAACACGGGCAACGTGACAGCTATTCCGGACGTCGTTACGCGCTCCCAGACAGCGTACGATGGAGGTTTGTTCATTTCCGGCTCCTTCCTCGAGAACCATGACCAGCCAAGATTCCAGTCTCTTACTACCGACCAATCGGTAGGTACTCCGTTATCCTTCAGAAAAGCTAGTTTTAATTTATGACCTGTATAGCTTGTAAAAAATGCGATCGCTTGGACTTTCGTACAAGACGGTATTCCGATCCTTTACTCTGGTAAGTTTCAACATTCCATTTGTCCAATTTCTCGGTGTCTACCAAAGTTTTGTTTAGGACAAGAGCAAGGGTACGAAGGAGGCGCTGATCCGGCAAACCGTGAGGCGTAAGTCTTCATCGTCCCAAGATGCATGATCGTGCTAATCTCACTCTAGTTTGTGGCCCTCCGGATACCTGACCGACAAATCTCTCGTCACCCACGTCAAAGCCCTCAACAACGCAAGGAAACTTGCAGGCGCGGCTAATACCAACTTCCACACAACACCCGTCCGTATCACTCGCTCCTTAGCACAGCTCGTCCAACTAACCAACCCCGATCTCTTTTCAGGTTCAATTCATCTCGCAAACCGACTCTTCAACACTCGCCATATCCAAGCCGCCCCTCCTCACACTCCTGACCAACGCCGGGGAAACCCCAAGCTCGTCACCAGAATGGACGATCCCTGCCTCAGCGGGTCTGTTCGGAGCCGGCACGATGCTCGTAGACGTTCTGACATGCCAAGGGACGACCGTGGATTCGGACGGCAGGGTGTCGGTACGAGCCTCTGCGGGTGCACCCAAGGTGTTCCTGCCAGCAACGGTGCTGACTAAGGATGGTGGCCTTTGTCCCGATGCTGCGACGAGTGGGGCGGCGCAAAGGGGTTGGAGTGTTTTTTTGATGAGTCTTTCGATCGGTGTTGTGTTGTTGGGAACGACGATTTAGAGGCTTTTGAGCCATATACACCTGGTGTGTGATGTTTCTATCCTCGAATCGTTCTTGCATTTCATGCTAATTTTTTTCGATTCAGACTAATGGATCTCGCGTCATCTGGTTTCTTCCAACGAATTGCACCTGCATAGCTCAATCATACATTAAACTACTCACAATAAACTCCACCATGGACTTCCAGGATCCTTCTTATTAGTTTATTCTCCAGGAAGACGTGTACATGGATGCAATGGACTTGAAACCTGGGACATATCCGTAGGTGTATCTAACATAATGTTGACTGGCTTTGTTAATCTTTAGTATGTGCACTCTTCCATTAACACTCCTTGTCCTCCTAATTCAACGAGTCCGTTCAGGTCATCCACCTGGAAATGACGACCCCTGGTTCCACAAATTATACAATCTAAACTCAAAAGGATCCTCCTATTCCTTGAACTCTCTCATTTTCCGCCACTTCCTCCACTGCGAACCCCTTGCGGGTGGTATGACGGTTTTTGGTGTCTCATTCGCAGTACTATGGATGAGCGGTATGAGACGGACGAGGATCCCTCGTAAAATAATCAGGTCCATTTCAATGCAAACTATGATAGAGTATCAAGGCAGTGCTCGACCATCTCCAATGCAAGGTTGAATCAAAAGAGACTTCATTTACGCCCAGAACCCCACCGGGACCCCACCGAACCCCTTGCGATGGTGATTCCCATCATTGTGGTGAACTTAGACCCGGTGGAATTGCCTCTTGGTATGAATGTGATCCCTCCACGAAACGATGTAGGGAATTCAGGGGGAGACTCGGTACACATGAGAAGCCCGTCTCCAGTGAGAAGTCCGGGTGATTCGACTCCATCGAAAAGACCAAAATAGCAAGTTTATTCCTCTTTCGACATATTGCCCGCTTCGATATTGATCAGTAACAGTACGCCACACACCAAGACAAGGGCGAGAAGGTCTTCTCTTTGCAATCTAGCGCAATTCCCGTGTACTGAGAGAGACCCCGTATTAGGTTCTAAGCGATATCGGCAGAAGGGCAAGTCGGTATAGGTAGGATACGCATTGCTGAACATCACGACAACATAATAATCACAATCGATCGGGCACACAACTTAAACATTGGTGCGTTACCATTTACTCAAATGGATTTGCATGGAAGTCCCTCATTAGAACAATCCACAACAGAATTGGAGTACGTGGCGCCAGTATCACTGCTTGGGACGTTAAATAGCCGAAAATTCTAGGGTTCGTGTCGTCACGTCGGACGCTCTCAGGGCATTTAGGATCAAGAACGATAAATCCCACGAAGTATGAGTTTTCGTCGAAAGGATCATTTGCAAGCGCAGGAAACGATCTGGAGCCCAGCCGCGAAGGAATCGATGCATTCCAGTAACATATTCACTTCCGAGAACCCGAGACGATACGGCAAGCCTCATGGCACAAGTAGAAACGAAGGAATTAGGCATATCTCTTAGAGTCCGGAGTTCAACATCGAGAGTCTAGGATCTCCCTAGCACACTGAAGCTTTTGCTTCCACGTCGGGAAGATAAGGACAAGAGACACGCGAGAGACCAAAATTCGCCGAGTGAGCAGAACACCATAAGGTGTAGAAGTAGTTCGCAGAGTGTATCACACCAGCACCAGAGACCGGTCCAGCACTTAAAAGACAGAAGAGAGTGCGCATGTCGGCGTGTCAGACGATCGTTCCTCCGTATCGAGATAGTAGGTGTGCGTAACTTTCCGATATCTGCTTGACGTTCGGAAGTCATGGCATCAATAAAGCATGAAAGAAAATATTGCGGAAAGGTCAAATACCCTTTCGGCGCGAGCTTGCCCTCCTGGGACAAAACGGCAAATGACTGTAGACGCCTCGAACCATCTTTTTGCCTCGTCAAATATCGATGCGCTAACAGGGGACAAGGTCAGTGCATCTTCGCTTTGTTTTCTTTCCAATCGGGACGAACTGCAGACATTCCGTCCCTGTGTTATACGCCGTTGCAAGAAGCCACTGCCGTTCGTCCATTGGGTAGGGCTGCACGGGTACGCAGGTTGATCAACGAAACCGGGTGAAACGACAAAATCCGCACCGCATCACTATCGTTGTGCTCTTCGATGACATTGAGGGCTTGTTCGATGTATCCGATTGCCTTCAATCTATCGGTGGCCCTATCTTTGGCAAGGCAGATCGTGCAAATTGCACGTATCCACCGCGCAAACTTCTCAACGGAAAGAGAACCGTGAGTCAAACTCGCGCGGAGGATCGCCTGTGATAGAAACTGAATTAGAATTGAGGGTACGAAGAGGTTGGGTCATCCGAAGTGGACAGTGACAATACCTCCAAGCATTGGTATAGCACTAAAAGACAAAGAATCCGGACTTAAGTGAATTAGACATAGAAAGGGCGGATATTAATATACCATTAACAGGACACGCTTGATCAAGCCACTGTTCATATCATATCAGAAGAGTACAAGGAGGGTAATAGAATGGAGATCGGACCAGAATATCAGCTATTGCCTCATAAGTTCCGACCGCCAAAGGGCCGGAGTCAGAAATTTCCTGTAGAGAATCGGAATTCACGCGGTACTCATACATAGAGAACCTAGGCGAGCTCACGGTGATAATTTGAGATAGGCTATCCCAGTCTTGAAGCTGTGCGGCGAACTCCGTTTCGAATACCCGTAATGCATGGAAGAAGTATTGAACGTGTTCGTTATCTTGGGAATCCTTGAGCACTTTCGAGCATAATTCCTGGATCTTCCCCTTGGCCACTTTGATTTCCGTAAAGAGGGCCTCCAAACGTTCCTTCTGTAGGAGAGTATCGTTAGAATGGGCCGAGAAATACAAACACGAAGGCGATGCCGGAGGGCTTACATCAGCCATTCCAGTTGCCGCCATTATTTCGCGCACGGAAAATACTTCGGGGTCTGGTTTCAGAAAATTCCATATCTGCATTATTGGAAGAAGAACTGACCTCGACCCGAGACTGCAGCAAACGTTGCAGTGGCTAGATGAATGGATAGATCGGCGTCGACGTCGACTGGTGATGCGTGGCAACAGATCTCCAGAATCTACAGCAAAGTGCGCTCAAAACGCGTCTCGGCGAGCGTATTATGAAAAATCACCTCTCGTGCAATATCAAAAAGCTCTGAAATCTGGTCGCCTGCATTTTCCCACTCGGTACATCCTTGGACGGCACAGTTGTAAGCGGTTTTCCATAACCAGACGATGTCCTTGAAGACGAGAGGCACTGCCTTCTGCTCCGACGCCGCCTCGGCCAAAATCCGCGCTACAATGACACCCCCAGTTAAACTTGCGTCCTCAGCATGCGTTAGAGCTACCGACCTGTACGGAATTGGTTTACCACGGTGTCAATGAGGACAGGCCTATCGTGACAGGTGTAACTCAGTTAGCAAGTATATTGGCGGAAGGAATTGGACTCCTCCATCACCTGTTTGCTGCAGGGTCTACGAGAAGGCTCAAAACAAGTTTAACAATGCATCGAATGAGGGTCATGGCTTCGACCACGACCTCTTGGTTCGAACCGATTTTCAGGGTCTTGAGAAGGCTTTCGAGAACTGCTAAGAGCACAGGCTTCATGTCCGATTGGTGGGAGATCTGTGTGGCTAATAGCAGCATCTTCCGGTCGAAGTCCGGAGCCTTGACCATATCACTAATGGCCCGAATGGCTGAACATCCCTCATCCATGTCAGAAGTGGACCATATATAGAAGAAAAAGGCCGATACCTTCATCTTGTAGGCCTATATTTGCCCGACATCAGAGCACAACCAGAGAAATAACGGTAGTTATTATTAGTCTGAACCTCGCACCGCTCAAACCAAAGACTCACAAACCTTGATGTATGGCCGTCAGGAAGATAACATAATGAGTCGAGGCCTCATTTGTGGGACAACGGCGGATCACCGTGGATGCCAGCGCATATTCTCGCCGTTCGATATGACACAGAGCTGCCTTTCGGAAACATTTCGCGCAGGTTGAGGGGCTGTTTGTGGTGAAGAGCTTGTGGCTACCGGCCATGTACCAATCCGCTGCTTCCGACCACTTCTTGCTCTTGTAATGACGCCCTCCATATTGCCATATGAGCTAAAGGAACAGGTTTGAAATAGTGCATGGGACTCTCATCAGATCCACAAAAACCGGCTGAAACTGTGGCCCACTTACCGTCAGGCAGGCTGTTGCAGCGATACTAGGGAGCTCTAGGTCCGCATCGCACACCGCTGGAAGCATGGCTCAATGCGGTACTCATTACTCGAGGCCAACGCAATCGACGTACACGTGAAAATATCGTCAAGAGATTTCATCGCTCTTGCGTGTTCGTCGTCCTTGGATGTGTGAATGATCAGTGATAGGATTAGTCGATGGATGTGGTCCGGTTCCGTCGTGTGGCGTCGCAAGGCCCTGTCGAAACAGTGCCGGTGGACATCCGTGACAAGCGTGCTGGATCCATGTATGAGTTCACTTTGGTCTAATTCCGGCAGGGTGGGCGTAGGCTTACTGCTGATTAAGCGTTCTTAGATCCTGTAAGATACTGCAAAATGGAAGACGTTTAGCCGGTGTACAGCGTGTACGGAAAGTAAAAAAAAATTAGAACGCTCACTCTGTGATATTGGGCTCCGTGAACTCCATATGATCAATGATGGATTTGTAGGCTGTTGGAGAGCCTGGTCAACAGACATCGTCCCTCAACGTTCACGTAGACGCACCGCCCAGTAGTGTGTGATCACTAGCCTTCCTTCTTTTCAACACGGCCAACCTAAGCCATCGAAGCTCTTGATACTCGGAACTTGCCTGCATGTAGTCCAGCTTTACACACAGTTGGCTACGGGAATGCACAGGTCCTCTTACGTGATCCTGGGATGCGTCGATGGTTGGAACGAGTTCATCAAGGACACCCTCGGCGAGATCATACGACTCAGATAAGAAATAGGCCCTGCCTGTAGACGAGCTAACATCAATTCAGCCGCAGCGGGGATTGACTGAGCACTAACCCATTGTTCTGAGAATTGATATCTGCACCACCGATTGATTGAGCAAATGAGTACGTACTCATGGTACAATGAAGATGGAGTTACAAACCTTGAGACCCGTGAGGCCGGCCGTGCCTTCTTCCTGATCTGCCATGGAGAACGCTCGTTGCAACCATTGTACCGCATCTGCAGGTTTGCATCCATCATTGGTCTCTTTCAGGAGAGATCGACCAATTTGATGGAATTTGGAAGCGAGAAGGTCGCGCTGTATTCAGAAATCACTTAGCAACACCGGAAGGCAATTTTTTTGGGAGCATTTACGACATGAGGAGGAAGCAAGCCGAGACGTTGGTTATCATCTGAGGACAACACGTGGTTTACCTCCTTGCTGAGCACACTCTGAACGGAGGAAGGGTAACTTGCCTGTGATCTTTCGTGCCATATAGTCCGCCACGGTAAGATTACCCTCTTTCCAAGCCTGGAAGGAGACGTCATATTCATGATTAGCGTGCGACTTGGGGAAGAACGAACCGCTTCCATTCTGGTGGAGTAGTACACAGCAGTTGCAGAAGCGATGGCTTGTCGATGAGAATCATCCGAATCACTCGCATTCTTCAACTGTTCCTCAAACTAGTAACAAACGGTGTTAGGGTGAAGTGGCGCGATAATAGCATACAATAAACATACCTTGGCGGCGCTGGTCAAGACGGTCGCTGCTAGAGAGTTATTCCCGGCGTCTGAGAGAAAAGGGGTGAATGGGCGCGATCCGGCGACCTTTCGGCAATATCGAACTTGCGGTGACAAGACATACCCAGAAGAGTGATGCCAGTTTTGCTCGCAAGCTGAAGAATATGAACCAGGGCTTCACAGCAGGAGTAATCAGTCGTCGTGGGAGGAGACAATAGTAGATCGGAGCAAACTTTCTGTTCCTGGCTTTGTCTCCAGCCCGGCCTCAAGGAGACGCAGTGCCGCGAGTCTGACTTGTGAAACAATGATGATTTGTTTCCTTACAGAAGAGCGAGAGCATACGAGCGGCGATATGACGGAGACCGTCTTCTTCTGGCCCTTTACGCATGAGACCAGAGATGTTCCACAGGCTGACGCCTATAGCGAAAGCCAAAGTAAGAGCCACCCTGGAGATTAGGATTGCGAGTCGGACCTTCTTGGTCGAGAGAATCGGCGAGATGGCTCCACGCAGTTCTGCTTGACTTCGGGCGCTGTTCCGCAAACGATTCTGCTAGAGACGCGATTTTCATAAGATCCTGAGTAGCAGTAGACCAATTTGGGTGTCTGCAATCATCGAGCAACGGCTTGACCTTCGAGAGACGTTCTAGATAGAGCACTTAGCGCAAAGCGAGCTAGGCACTGTCGGATAGTAGGAGCACCCATAATGACCGCATATACATCCTGAAGTGTATCTGCCGACTTTTTCTTTCGCGTAGGCGACATGTCCGTAGATTTATGCGGTATCCGGGCAGAAAATGAGTAGGAGAGACAGGAATTCTATGAGCGGAGAGCAAGGAGAGATTCGAGTGACAGGTCACACCGAAAGCCGAAATGTGACGGACGCGGTGATCACGTGGTGCTTACGCGATCGGTCAACTCAACAGTCGTTCCTCAGTGTGCAGATCCGTATCCTTCTCCTCTTTTCCTCTCCACGGTCGACTCTCTAGTATTTGCAAGGCTTCGTTCTGCAGCTTTGAGCCTGATTTATTCTTTGCTTTCTTATCTTGGCGTCCGCGAACCATCGGTTGCAAAAGCAATGGACAGCTTTGAGCCAGAAAAGACACCAAGCTTACCCCCTGACGCTGTCGACCGTGTAATCTTAGTGAGTTATGGCCATCGATAATAAGGCATCGTAATCATTGACATCTATCTTCGTTCTATTCCTCCAGGAGGCGAGGAAGGAGGGTGTGTTTGCTGGACTTACGTCCGGTCTGGCATCAGGTGAGTAGTAATGCAATCAATCGGGCAAACATGATAAACTAACGTCTTCAATCTTGTCTTTGTTCTTCTGTGGCCGTCCTTGTCGCTGCCTTTCTCGTTATTTCAATCAGCTTTAATTGGAGCGCGACTATTTGGTTTCAAGAGGAACACGACCCTTTTCGCCGGTGTTCGTAAGTCCACTTCCGATCTCTCACCATGTATCCCTGGGGGTTTTACTCGTTTCCAGTTAGTGGCGTTCTTTCTGGGTATCTGTTCACCCAGGTAAGCGCGAGGTTTCATCCCATTTACCTCAGCCATTTCCGATGACCTTCTGAATTGGCTCACGCCGACTTCTTTGGCCCTGTTCAACCGCTGGGATCTTCATTGCCACAAACAGGCCTTCAAAGACACAGCAATGGCCCAATTACGTGCAGAGAAAGCCCGACTAGAGGCTCAAGCACCCCTCGACGCCGAAGTTCAGCCGCAGTCGGAGAACCTCTCTCCTTAGGTGTCATGCCGTTGCTTCGAACTGGCAACATTGTCCCAGTCTGTCATAGTCGACTCGTATGTAGGTATGTTTGTTGCAGCATATCTCGCGGACACTGCTCCTCTCCGACATTCGAATTTGTCATGTTCATGTATTTGTTCAGTTCTTCATCACCTCTGAGCCGTCGAGCCAGAAATGTCATCTTCGCGAGTTCCAGCTCAAACCAAATGATGGCATCTTTGTTCTCGACCCGGTTCTTGCCTTGGAATCAAACCAGGCGGATCGGCTCTGTCATGAACAACTCGTTCGTGTTCAGGGACCTCCTTCGACTCACTTCCAGTTCGCAAGGCCTGTCACACTCCGTACTCCGTTGCAAGTCCGAATCAGAGTGTCGGTATTCACCGTACACCGCACCCGTCATCGCACCCATGCCTCAAAGTTGAGTCCCTTGAGCATTGCGGGCGTTGTACGATCTCAAGACCCCAAATCTCCACTCACCTGCCTTCACCTGCTCTCTTCTGCATCGTATGCAACGGGAGCAAGCTGATCGGCAATCCTCACCTCAGGCGTTGCTGGGTTTACTCGATGCCACATTGAACGTTGTCCACGAGCAGATTGGACTTTGCTTCGATAAGATCGGATAAGCTACCGTACTAGGAGGATGATTCGGAAGACATCGCCTCCTTCTCGCCACCCTTCGTACGTACCTACACACAAAGTTCGCAGGTGCGCTCACGACTGCGGTGTGGTAACGACTGTAACTCCCTCCGTTCAATCGGTCTCTGTATAGATGTTAAGTCATTGTTCTCTCAATTCCAGCACAAAGATGGCCTGATCTCTTACAGAGTAGCGCTCTCATCCCTGCTTTGATCCGAGTTTATTTATTTTTGACCTTCAACAACCAGCGTTGGTCACATCCAGTCATCAGAAGTTGGCGTTAGTGCAGGCAAGGGCTGCAGTCGACGCTCGAAGGAAGCCCATTTGGCGGTTTACTTACGCGCTGTCAGTGAGCTAACCTGGTGAGCTCACGCGGTCGCCGACTTCATCGTGGATTCTAGAGCTAAGTACATACGTATCGATAACTAATATCCGAGAAGTCAGAAACATGTCGGAGTTCTTCACGGCGCTCAGACCATTAGCCCGCTTACGGCCTCCGTGTACATGTATTGACGTCCAGGTATGCTGCCTGCCGGCTCAGGGTGCAGATGCACGCCGTGAATTCGATTTTTGGAAGGCTGTCACGGTGAATTGTTCCTCTAAAACCTCCATGGATCCAGTTCTCTGTGTGGACTCCTCTTCTGATTCGTGAACCTGGTGTGGACCGGCTCGCTGTTTCGCTGTTGATTATCTTGCCCTTTATGTCGTGCATGATGGGAGCAAAGTCGTCGCAAATTAAACCTTTCCGTTAGATCTTGCTAGTATTTAGTTTAGAGTTCGTGAAAGGGAGATATGGCCTTATCAGGGGTGCTCGTGAGGAGCCCAAAATGATCCCCCAGATTGATTTGCCTTTCCTCTTCCAGACGCGCCACACAATCAGAATGCAGTGCAACCCCGGATTGAAACGACCGGCAACTCTTTCTAACAGAAAAGCCAATTGCGCTCCATTTGTATGCATCTGCCGTATTTTCACCGTGTCCGATTAACGCCAAACGCTCACCCGCCTCATTTCCCGACGAACTCCGTAGGGACATTGTCTGAGATGGAAGCAACATGATGCATTACCTAGCGTGGTGCGTTGCAGGATGTTTTGACGGCACATATGCCCAACTGCCACTACCAATCCGCCAATCCGTGATTTTACCTTTCAATTTCCCTCTGGAACACGTATGGAAAGGACCAAAATGACCGACCCGGACCGACCGCTAGAACCCGCAAGTGGAAACATTCCGAATTGAGAAAGGTTCATCCGTCCGGATCACCGCCACATGGCACGCACACCCTGCATGCATCATGCTCTCTCCAGCCCCCAGAATCGCTCAATTGCCCGAGGACCAGCAACAGGCAACAGCCGTAAATGCGCCCGAGTTCTTCGGCCTCCATTATTTGACGTCCTTTATTGAATTTTTGCATATTTCGCCAGGGACCACTGCTTCTGGGAATAAACGATCGGGCTGGAGAAAATCACAGAGAAAAAAAAGCGGGCTTGCGTGAGCGCTCTTGAAATCTTTTCGGTTCTCGAATATTTTCTTCGAGCACTTCCATCGCGACAGCTCCATCCGATAATATGCAGGAGCACTTCTCCCCACCTGAGCACGTCGGGGAAGACCATCTGTGTCCGCCGAACCAACCGATATGTGGTGATCCGGACACTGAGGTTGGCAGGGGCCCTATTTCCTATTTCCCCACTTTTCTTCCCTTCTCGGTCCTTCTGGGCCTTGCTGCGCATGTCCGTTTGACATTTTGCCCTTGGAAAAGAGGAAGCTTGTCTTATTTTGGCCTATTCTCCTACCAATTCTCCACGATCAAAACATGAACCCTTATTGATCCCCTGTACGTAAAGCAGCACTGTGTGGCGTATCATCCCATCTGGTCATTCCAATTCGATCGAAATGACTGGACTCTGATCGTCAAGGCTGCAAGGAGCTCGAGCGGATTCGTAGAGGGGTCTCTTATCAATGGAGAAAAGGTGAAAGAAAGATTGTCCAGGTGCAGTGTTCAACGGCACAAATCGGTCCAAACTTGTTACGCCTAAAGTTTTCAGTTCGATGGTACAAACGCTCCGCATCGAATAGGGAGGAATGAATTCACCGGCCGCTCTGTTCTGCAGAAAGGTCATGGCGTCATCCTTTTTCTAAGTATTGGTCTCATTTACAATACGTACGGAGAGTAAAGCCCGCAGTTTATCCATGAGCTTTGAAATCTGATCACGAGCACGCATTTACCCCCCTTTCCCTGCCAACCCTTGTTACGGTATGGGTCTGCACCACCTTATCATTCGTCTTTTCGGTCGTTACTAGTTCCCACCTCGACTCTTAAACCCCATTGAACCTCAATGCAACAAGACAGCGGCGCTCCGCATATCACGAGCCTTCAGGCAAACACTTCTTTCCAATACAAAGGCTATGCTTTCGATCGTCCAAGGCCTTCCCAATTTCACTGGCTGAAGCTTCCGATTGTGCGTATCACGGCGTTCTTCGCCATCGAGGGCGGGGTGCCTACGGAGTTTTCAGTCAGCACCGTTTGAATTTCTCCAGACTACCGAGCGACGTGGGCATCGACATCGTTCTGGACGTTCTTGGACGTTCTGAAGGGTATGCCTATGCTGGATTTGATACCCTTCACCTCCCCACTTCGTCGGTACAGTGCTTCCTGGACAACCTGAATCCTCTCCTCTGGCACCCTTCTCGTGAATCATGAATCGCGAATCAGCGGATCCGCTCTTCTCCTCGACCGAATGCAACATGGGCCTGACTGCACCAAGGTCCAAAAGCGCGTAGCCTTTCAAAGATGCAAAAAACAAATTGAATTCAGGAGCGACGTCGCCTTCTTCGAATCTCGTTCGAAACGCGCTTTCGGCGTGCTCCCAACGACAAACGCCAGATTAAACGAGGTTAGCAAGGTGCAAGGGGCGGTTGTCAGCGCTGGGCCGGGCGGCTAATCAATTGTAGTATACTAAGTAAGGGCCCTTCCATGAGAAGGGTTACGATAATGCACACTAATTACCCCGAGCGACCTAAGTACTATAGAAGCTACCCTACCCTCGTAGCTGAGGGTCACTGTACCTCTACATAAATGCAGAAAAAGAATCCCATCAGTGCCTTTGACAACACTGAAATTCCGTCCCAAAATACCGTTTCCCCGAACCGTAATTAAATTAAATAAATCGTCTCGACTCTCTGTCTCCGCCATCAGCAGTCCGACTTCGCGGACCCAGGACCTAGGAATGTTCGCGGGTACCTACGCACGCCCTGATGCCAATTCCGAGTTTTCTCTGCTTCTATGGATTGTCATGTACATCTCCAGACATCCACAGAGAATCAGATTAACCCCACAGGTCTTCATTCGACGGCGTGCAGCATGCCTCTCAGGCTGATCGTCTCCTTTGAACTTCCACACCACCATTGCATATGCATGTAAATCAGCACTCAAGTGCGCCCGTATGTACGTCCCTCCTGACATCCCCAGATCTTCTCCTGACCCGGCGTCAGGCTCAGTCTCTCAGAGACTTCCTCGTATCCGGTCGCCCTCTCGGGAATCTGGAAAAATGATGCTACAGCCTAGGAATACAGACTGCATACTGTACTTACCACGCGTCGACGCCCGAGCGGCGACCGACCTTATGTTTCTTTATGTGTCAGCTTCACTACACCTAGTGTCGGTGCTGGCAAATCGCAACTCTGTGGCCGACGCCGGCGGCCTCAGGCCTAGGGCCGGGGTAAGAGCTAGGGCTCAGCGCTCAGCAGGGATGGGAGGAAGCGTGAACATATCTCATGCCGTAAGTGCCTTCTCTAAGCACGGATCCGGAACTCTGAAATCCCTGCTGATAATGTGCACCATATGATATGAGGCATGACACTCCATCGTCAAGTTCCTACAGTGCACCTGGGACTCAATGAACGCGATTCAAGGGCGTGAAACTGGAGAGGGATCGTCGCTGGCGGGTGCAGTACGTTCTTGCTCGCCCAAGCTCGCGCACCTTCGAGTGCTGGGCTCCGCGCTCATAAGTACGACTACTATCATACCAACATCATCAGTACCTCCCCAGTGCCCCCTTTCCCTTTTCCCGGATCCCCCTTCTCCTTTTCTTTCGCCCAGGCTCGCCGCTCGCCGCTCTGTAAATATATAAGTACTTACCATACTCGCGGAAACGCTGAATTCACCAAATCCGATGCGCATGCCTAGAGTTCTGCTAGCAAATCTGATTTGGATCGATCATGATACTCAGGCTTCAGACGGAGCCGGAGCGACGGAGCGACCAACGACGACACGGTCCTAAAAAGAGGTAAATGAGATGAGTTCTGGCCCTTCTCCTTACATTCAGAGCTTGACGCTTGAGGGGCTCAGCGTTCAGGTTCGTAGCG